TTTCGATGGTAGAATGTTGCTCTTTTCCTAAAACAATTTCAAACAAAAAAGTTACAGCTATGATTTTTTTTTTTGATTTTTTTCAGATAGTACCCAAATTCGGGCATTGCAGTGTCCTTTTTAATACAATAAATAATAATAATATAGAATCTAATTTTCGATATTTTCGTGATAAATCCTTACTTTGTACAGCGATTGTAATACATTATTTTAGTCGATTCAGAGATTCGGGGGCGTTAATGTCGAATTTGTATTGTACACTCGAATTTTAGTTCTCGTAGTTCTTTAGTTCTATATACTCATCGATACAAGTATTGTATAGAGAAATATTTAGGCACACCGTGCGACGACGAGTGTCTCAGATGAGACGCCTAACCTAACACAACGAACGGCCATAGTCCGACATGTAATAATAATATTTTATTGACAGGTCCACTTAAATACTGTTTAATATATACACATAATATCCTCTATATTATATTCAATTGGACGGTTTTTTTTTTTTAAAGGTGTATACTTAATATTTCGTCTAGTGTCATGGGAAATGTTGTTTCTCTAACGTAAACTTTGCCAACACTTCAAAATTAAAAATTATTATTTATTAGGAATTACGCGTTGATGTTATACTTATATTTCATATATATAGGTACCTATATACCTAACCTGTTTTATACTTGTTAAAATGTGTGAATCCTTTGTGATATTATTTGAATACTGTCATCGAACGGTATATAGAGACGATGGGGGGGGTTATTCTTTTGATTTTGATACTGAAATATACGTTTTAGATATTTTACAGCGTGAATGAATTGCTTTTATAAGCTGATAGGTACCTATGATATAATATGTTGTTATGGAATAATTTAGTTTTTTTTTTTTATAATCATCGAATACCTATAAATGATGATGAATGTATGTTTGATTTTATTTTGTTTATCCTACATCGAACAGCGAATTATATATTCATATTTATATTTTTTACGTAACTTGTCGTGAAAAATTTCACATTGTGTGTATGCGGGACAGTTTTTGATTTTTAACAAGTATCCATGTCATGTCGGGTACTTAAACCCACTCGTAGAATATTATATGCTAAATCACTAAGCTATTCATCAAAGATTTTTTTGATTGATACAATGACAATAAAAATCTATTATAGTATCCACTATATTTATATTATATGTATATATATATGTATATTACAAATATAATCGTAATCCGTTTAGAAAAAAAAAAAAAAAAAAAAAACGTTGATATTGCCAATGGTTGTGCCAGTGTTTTAGAAGAGAAGCTGGAATTGAATATATTGTATAGAATAATTTAATTTGTGTCTGTACGCAACGATAAAACATTTGTTTTACATTTCTTTGTTAATTAAAAAAAATAATTGTTTTGTACATATCGTTTGGCTCATTTCCATAAAGAGCTGTTAATATTGTAAAAAAAGAAACGCCTCATAATAATATGCATGTTAATATAATAAATACTATCTAAATATAAATTGAAGTTTAATGTTTTTTAATTAATACTTTTGTATATAAAATAATATTTAAACTGAAAAAAAAGTCTCATACTGCGTGCCAATGTTTTGCAGGATAGTTGCAAGAGAGGATGTCTATATATAGAGCAATTTAATTTATTTCTGTGTGCAATGATAAACCATTGCTAAAGAAAAACGATTCTAAGCAGATTAATATATGTCGTATTTTTTCTGTCTTATTTTTTTTTTTATTTCCAATATTGTATTCTGATTTTATAATATTTTCTTTATAGTTCACTTTTTATTATGAATTCTGCAGTTATTCAGTTCATATGTTTATTGGATGAGCTTGCAGTTAATGTTATATTTTGTATGTTTTTTTATACTATATATTTTTATTAAGAATAAATTGTTTTTCCTTGTTGCCGAGGTAATCCAGACATTAACAAACATTATCTGAAAAATCGTCATTAAGAAAACTACAAGGAAATTTAAACCTCCTAAATACACTACCCAGATTAAAAACACTACAAGAAAGTTTCTATAAAGTCTTTGATTGGGGCAATATTTCTGGCTGTTATTTAAAAGTTATTTACAGGTATACCCAAAAAATAACACGTTATAGTAATATATTGTTTGCTTCGCTTAGGATTTAAAAAAAAAAAAATGTTACTTTTCACAACAACCAATATAATATAATATTATAAATTATAATTATTGTAAAATCTTTCCCTCAATATTATTTATTATAAGTTTTACATTTATAATTGAAATCTATTAAAAATTGTAGTAAAATATAGTATGTTTGAATAACTCATATCACTAATATCAGTGACGTAGTCAGGATTTCTCAATGGGGGAAGGTAGGGGAAACAAATCCAAAATCGCATGTTGGTTAATGTTAATTTTCATATTTACTCAATATTACTTATTTAGTCAATAAAAATATGAAAATAAACCGTATTATATACACCATAAATTAACATAAACATAAACACATAAACCATATGTTAAATAATAAGGCTAATTGGGGTAGGGGGAGGCATGGTCTCCAGGCTACGCTATTAGTAAATATTTTGTAATATAGGCGCTTAAAAAATAAACAAATAATTATAAGTGTTTTTCATAATAATATTTACAACTACAATTAACAATTTTTTTTTTTAAATTAATGATTTAAGTTTATTTTACCTAGTCTATATTATGTTTGTTAAAATATTTGTTTCATCATACACGCAATACAGAACAACAATATTATAATCAATACACGAACTCCAGAATCTTAGTATAGTCCTAAGCTATGTCAGTGTTAACCGATATGTGTCGTTATTAATATTTGATATAGAATTGATTTAAAAATTTATGCTCGCATAAAACTTCAATATTATGCTTATTTTTCATTTTTCGTCATGCGTACTGTAGGATTTTGCAGTTATCATACAAATACATACGATGCAATTAATTGTTTTTTTTAATAGACTGAGAAAGTATAAACGGAAACTATACTATACTATTATAATTGTTTTACAATGTGTGTGTTTTTTTCCCTTGCGAAAAACACTGTTAGAGCAGCAAACATACTAGGTACCTATATAATAGTTTCGCTAGGTAACTTTTTAAATAGATAATTGAATGGAAAGTACTTATATACAATATATATACATATTTTATATTTTTTAAATAATTGTATAGTGTGAGGTGGTACCTATCACTTAACTTTAATTCGAACGAGTTTTCTGAATCTTGCGAATAACTAAAAACTAAAATGCCAACCTTCTTGTAATAATGGCAAATCAGAGGCGATTTTATAGCGGTCGCGATAGATGTATAATCCCCCCTCCCCTCTCCCTCTTCCTTATTGGTTCGTGATTTTTACAATTGTATTTTTATTTTTTAGATAAGTAAAAATATAAAAGTTTGTACGTTGATACAAATTTGAATTTAGTTTTATTAAGGTTTTTATTGGTGGGAGGGGGTTGGCATTTTGAAAATTTCACACCCTCTCTTGCATTTCACTTATGACCACCACTGTAGTGATAGGTTTAATCACAGACTATATAGAAATTTTGTGTCTATAGAGTGGTTTTATGCTATATGGTTTTTTAAACTTTTTAATCAAACCTAACCGTCCTAATATACTATTATGTACAATCTAAATTTATGTTTCATGTAATATACGAAATACAAGTAGGATTCCAAATTCAATTGCCTCGGCTTGTTACGTATTATAACACATTGTGATTGTGCACATTTTACATTATGATGTATTTTAATACTAACTAGGTATTATATTGTGTTAAAATAAGAAATTTAATAATTTTATTGTGTATACTATGACACAGCAAAACGGTTAATATAATACGATAGGAAAATATTGTAGTATCTAGCTACTGCACTTATTATATCTTGATGTTGACTTGTAGTAACTCGAGTAACTTGTAGTTCTCGACCTGTAACTTTTTTTATTACCTTTCGAAAATACCGATATTGTTATGATGAACATTATTACCGGCAGACATAAGATAGCACAGAACATAGCACGTGTTTTTATAATACGTTTGATGTAATTTTTGGTAAACATTTCGTAGGAATATTGATATTTTTTCTTCCCCGTTCCTCCAACGATAAAACTCGATATAGGTATACATACCCATAAATCAGTGATAGATTGAGCGATTTTGGAGAAAAGTAGGATGGTGTAAAATTTCATCGGTTTTTTCCCCCGGTCGCGGGACGATTTATCTTAATTATATGGTACGCGTACAAAAATAATTAAAAAAAAAAAAAAAAAAAAAAAAATGTATGTTCTCTTAGGATATAGGTACACGAATAAAATACGCGAGACCCCGTCTACTAATATAACACAGGTAAATCAGATGTATCGAGTCGCTTCACTCTTTCGCGATATCAGATTTTTGCGCCGCCACGCGAAACAATATTTTTCGATTTTACATTTGCACCGATAATATTATAATTTTTACAATATTAAGGCTACGTTAAAAAAAAAAACAGCGAAATTTATTATTCGCGATATATCCGACTCGGGGTGTTGGCACATCGTGTAATGTATATATTATTCGTTCGTAATATTTTATTTTGTAAAAACGCTCGTTTTTTTCGGCATTTTAAATTAACCACGTGTGACGGCGGCGGCCAAGTATAATATATAAATAAATAACGTGCTGTACACAATCATATTATAGGTGCACGCGAGAATTACGGCACGCCGCTCGAGCATTTTGGTTACCAATGGATTCGCGAAGAGCAGGTGGTTGTCGTTGGGCACGCCGTCCGCTAGGCGGCGCGGCGTACGACGCCCAGGGGAAGAAAGGAACCAGTCCGCGGCGTCCGAGCAGAGCAGTACCGTCGGTTTTTCGTGTAGTTTTCGCGTTTTTTCGCATTTTTCCGTCGCGTTTTCACGTCCGACACGTCGGACCCAAAGCGAATTACTGTCTCGTCGAAAACCCCGTGGAAATCTGTCGCGAAAAAGTCCGTCAAACGGTTCGGTGTCCTTTGCCCCCGTCCTGCGGCGTACGAATACGGCATCGGTATTTTTCATGGCGGTCCGTCCGACGGCCAGTTTCAAATAAACCGCCGTGCAGCGCGCTCCGTGTTTTGTCGCTCGAGCCGCATTTACAATTTGTTTTTTTTTTAAATTTTTTTTTATCGTGCTATTATTTCGTCGATTAATAATAATTATAATAATACAGCAGTTCGTATTTCGTCGTGTTCGAATTCGGAATTTTTCCGTTTTTTTTTCCACGTCGTCGGTTGTGTGTGTATAAAATAATAATCCGTCGTCGGTTGGTCGTATACGAAAAAATAAGTGCGCGCGATAGAGACGACCGGTGCAATCATGATGTGCTCTAATATCGAATTCGGATAAATTTCGTCGGATACCTCTTATCACTACTGTTATTAGTCTGCATTTCTCTCTCTTTTTCTTTCTCCGTTTATCGATTGTGATTTATCGTTAAATTAACGACGACGAGAAACCATGAAGAGAAGAAATCCGGGCAGGACGTTCGTCGGTACGTGCATACTGTTGGCGTGCTGGACGTTGGCCGCGGGACCCGACGGAGCTTCGGGTAAATACCTACCTGTACTTTTACGTCGAGAAATCGACAAACCGTAACTCGCGTGTCCATCGCGCGCGGCCGCGAGTTACGGCGCCGTTTTAATTATAAAATCGTTAATAATCGTTTCGATTATAAACGTCGACTCGGTATATCTACCTGTGCTTGGATACGCGATCCTACAGGAACTTTTAGCGTTGTTGAAACGGAATAAAAACGCCGTTTTTTAAATTTTTATAATCTCGTACTTTTGATTCTCGATTCTCGATTCTGGTAACTATGAAATTGTTATTGTATACTTCTCTCTCTCTCCCTCCCTCGATCAAAAATTGTAATTCGGGTGATTTTTCCCGGTGGTTTTGCTACACGCGCGTTACAACCCTAGAGATTTAAACGCTGGCTTCTCGGTCGTTGTTTCCGGTGGTGTGATTGCGCCGAAAACGAAAAGCGCGTAGGTACCTATAGGTAGGTAGGTAAAACAAAAGTTTCAGAATTTTTCGCCTATTTTCCCCACTAAGCGACGTCGTTCGTTTCATATCACCGTGACAATAATATAATACGTAGAGTGCAGTAAATAATAATATTATTATAGACGTTTTGGACTCTGTGTTTATCTTCGAAAACAACGCTATCGCGACACCGCGTTTGTTGACATTATAATAATAATCATAATAAAATATTATTGTATGATCGGTAGGTAATAAAATATACAGATAAATAATATTAGGTATATTATTAATTTCAAATTACGATAACGACCGATTATCGTCCGAAACCGATCCGATCAACAAGTCGACGACGGTGCGGCGTGACATTGTCGGGCTTCGGTGGTTTGTCGTTTGTGCGCGCGTCCGTAATCCGTGCGTCTGTGTTATACGCACACCCTGTAGTTCTTTTCCGGCACAATGCGGCCAGACGTCATGTGCACCTTTAATAATCACGCACAACCGAAAATATTAACATTATAATAATGTCGTCGGGTACGTGCCCAGGCGTTCCCAAATTTTCGTCGTTTCAACGTGATACTATGTATTTTTTCAGCTTTTCGTGCGAAATCCGCGTGATTATTATTTGGTTACCATAAATGTGTTACTTGCCGCCGGTCTGCACCGCGCGTCGGGTAATATAATATATCGCCCACTTTCCCCACACGACCGTTTCCCCTTACGACCGTTTCCCCTTCGACGATATTTACGATTCCGGACGTAATTTTGTTACCTGTTTATTTAAGGAACAAAAGCAAAGCACGGATTGTGATCGATTATAATATCGTTAGAAAACCGGCCGCCGACGAGAAAACCGTTCGATCGCCGCCGCGTACGATTCATCGCATTCGGGGTGTCGATTTTCGTTTTCGATTCTCGGTCGTATCGCGCGGATTTTAAACGCCGCGGACGGAGAAAATGTACGGGGTCGGACCGCCGCCGGGGTTCGGTTTGTCGGTTTTGGCGTATTTCTGGACCAAACGGTCGTCGTCGTCGCCGGACTACGGACGGACGCGATTCGCCGACCATGACCGGACGGCGTAACGAGAACGTCGTTGGCGGCGCGTTTATTTAAATTGGTTCATTGGCTTCGAATTAGTGAATCGCACGCCAGACCAGACACCGTCGCGGCGGCGTTCGCGTCGCGTTCAATTAGCCGCGTTTATTGTTTTGTCGGCCGTGCGTATACACGACAACAAACACCGGCGCGCGGCAGCCGTCTCCGCGATTTTCGGGCGCCTAAATCTCCAGCGCATCGCGTCACGTTCGTCCGTCGTTACGATATTATTGTTATCGTGACGCGGCGACACGATTTCGCGCAGAACCCCAGCGATCGCGCGCGTATCGTTCGAACCGTTAACGCGATATTATCGCGTTAATCTACGCGGTTCAATTGCGACTTTATCGTTTACTGCTCAGAGCGCTGTTTTTTTTTTTCACCCGACTCGTTTTCGGTTCTTCCGCGGGCAGTAATTGTTTGCGCGTGACAAGCCGAGCTTATGAATTCGCGCGCCCGCATAACGAACGCGTTTTCGATCGTAACGGTTTTTTTTTTGTCCCGTCCCCGTCGTCTCTCCCCCGGGCGCACGTCGGGCGCGCGCCGCTTTTGGGCATCCCTGTCGTCCGTCGCACGGGGGCCGGGTGAATATTGTCGTCACGGTCGACCGGGGCGCCCGAAAACCCTCCTCACGCGCCGCGCACACACAAAACAACCCCTACTCACCTCCGCCGCCACCACCGCCGCCCCGGTCGTGGCCGCCCGGAACATCTGCGCGGCGGGCTCTCCGTCTCTATTTCTCTCTCTCGTTCCGTCTCGCTCGTGTTCACTTCCTCTCTTGCTCGCTCCCTCCCGTGCTTCTTCATCACCGTCCCTCTCGCCGCGTTTTTCGCTCCACCGCCGTCGTCCGGTATGTGCACCGTAACCGCCGCCGCCGTCTGCAGCTGTTTACATGTATACACTGTATTTTTTCGTCGGGCGTCCGCCCAACACGCGTCCGCCAAACAAGTGGTCCCCCACCGAGAGAGCACCGCGAAACGCGACGGACACGCGAGTCCCGTCGAAAATTCGGAAATATTGCACCCAGGTATACACGACAATATTACACCGGTCGATTCTCGAAATAATCGTTTTCAACGAGCGCGTACTCCTTACGCCCAATGCTCTCGGCTACGTTTTTGTTTTTTTTTTTTCTCGGTCCTCAACTCGTTCCGCGGTTATATCGCGGACCAGTTTTCGGCGCAGGGGTGCGCGTCGCCGTGCTCCCTAGGGTATAACCGTTACAAAGACGCAGCAGCAGCGAGTGCCCGTCGCAGTTCCCCCGACGAAAACGCGCAATCCTCCTGCCTCTACCAGCGTTAACGCGCATGCGATTTGAAATGTATTCGACGTGACGCGTTCACTCGTCGGTGTTGTCTCGAAGCGAGTTTTAGCGCAGAGTTGCCGACGGTAAGTGATAACGGCCAGCCAACGACGCTCGCGCTATTGACGCTCAGAATGATACGATTTACGCGGAACCATACAATAAACTAGAGTACTAACCGCCTCATATTATTATCATATACAGACGTTTATCGTCGAAGCCGTTAAGTCCGAGGCCCTTATCCTATATGTACTTTCGTAGCGTGATAACTGTCGAACTCCTCTTTTTATACCGTCGTCACCGCGGTTGTCAACGGGTATAAATTACCCAGATATAAAACAGTACGTTATCGCGTTGTAACACGCGGGCCTCGAATCGCGAGTGACGGATTGCAGACTTCGCTTCTTATCGCCGGTTAGCAATCCATAGTTTATACTGTGTGTGATGATAATATATATATGCGATTATTGACAGATTCGTCTCGACCGTTAGCTGCAGCTGTCAAGTCCAAAAACGAACGGTTCGTCGTCGGAGCGCCGCCGGTGCTCGCGTCTGAGCGTCCGAAACGAACGTCGCCCACCCTCTCTCACTGGTCCGCGTGTAACGCGAGCAAAAACAACGGGCGGCGGTGACTGCGCGATTTTATTAATTTATCGTGTCGGAAGACAACGGGCACGGACGTTCACCGCGGATGACAATTGAAATGGCGCGGCCTACGCGCGCTCGGCGCCGCCGCCGCCGGAACGCCAATAATAATATTGTGAGCGTGTCTGGTCGCGCGTAGACGTCGAAAAATGCGTCCCGCGTGTTTATGATTACGATAATAATAGGATTATCGAATGTTAATGTATTTTATCGTTCGGGGCACTCCTTAAAAAAAAATAACAATAATAATCGGTACTCGTATGTACAGAGAACGACTGAATATTAAACCGTGTATCGTAACGCGTGATGCGTGTATTTTGTACGGTCGTAATAGCGGAAGACCAAGAGAATCGGCGCCGCGGTTCTTTTTCGGATTTTCTTCGTTTTCGTAAAATTCGGTTTTTTTTTATTCTACTTTCGAACGAGACCGGCTTTAACGACAAGACTTCTCCGACAATCGGCGCTGCCCGACGCTAATCGGGGCCGAGAAGAGGGCGGCTTTTGTTGAAAGTATTTCGATATTTTGCCAATCCGTCCGATATTTGAATTCATCTCTCAAAGTCGACTTTCAAACATTTTTTAATTAATTTTATTTTTTATACAATTTTTTTATTACTTAGTACAGGGCAATAATTTCAAAAAAAAAAAAATCTGAACAAATCTCGCATTCGATTAAACTTCATGACGAATTCTAGCGTGTTCGGAAATTGTATCCGATTATACCAAGACCAGACAGTCGATACAATGTGTATTTCGATAGAAAACTCAGCCGCGGTGTCGAAGCCTCTTGAGATAAAAGCAAGTTCTGTAGATATTGTTATAGAACTACAAATTCCTCATCTCGGTACAAATGTAACAGTGTAACAGTGACGCCTTAGTATGAAACTTTTTGCTTTTTCGACGCTTTCACGCGGATTTTTTTTTTTCATGAGTTCCATTGTATTTTTTTACCGATTTATTTTTATTTTCTTCTTCTTGGTTATATTTTGGTGTTCATTTTTAACGCGTTATTCTATTTGGATTAGTGCGTTTTTTTTTGTGAGAATTTTAAGTGTTTTGTAAACTGTTTTTCTCGGCAGATTCTGCAGGCGCCGCTGGGATATTAATTTTATAGGTTTTTTAGCCCGTTAAATTTCACCACCCTGCTATTAAACGTTATTATTATTATTAATTTGTTATTAATTATAAAGTGACATTTTTACTGCGAACAAATTTAACGGGTTCTTCATCTCGAGCCGTACCGCGTACTCGGCGCCAACGCGCCCAGACACATAAAACATTTCGGATAGGTCAATAATTTTCGGATTCAAGTGTCTAAAACCCATCGAGTCGCGTGATTTTTCACATCATACGAAATGCACAAATAAAAATCACGATTTTCGTCCGTTCGTGTCAAATGTAAAGGGTTTAAAAAAATAACAACAAGAAAACGATAATTTCGGATATTTATCCGATCGCGGGATCCACCGCTGTATTACGTGCGTTCCGCGTGTTGTGTTTACGCGATTTAGAGACGATAATAATATTTACGACGTGTGCGCGTTTACATAATTTTGTTGTTTTCTCGTCAGACCGTAAAAAAAAAAAAAAATCGATCGTGAAAACATTTTCGTGTATGACGCCACACGTGTCGGGAACGGATTTAGAACTACAAGCTCGTTTATTTTTAAATCCGTCGTTTTCGAATTAAGATCAAATTTTAATTACACTCGATTATATTATTCGGACGTACAGTCGTCGGGGATTATTCGGTTTTTCTCCTCGCCAGGTTTCGTTTTTTCGACCAAAAAAAATATAGTCTCTATAGGTGTTTTTTACACGACGAAACAAAAGTTATTGTTTATTCACACGACGCAGACCGACGACGTGTTACTTGTTTAAAATTTCACGTATTCGCAAATATTTGTTGTTCGTCGTGTACCGATTAGTTCGTTATTATTGTGTTCACCGTATATCGCTTCGAAATTGGCGTTTCGGTGAAAATTAATGTTTCTTTTTTTTGTTAGCCTACATATTATAATAGGCGGTAAATATGAACTTATAGACTATGTAATATTTTGCAGTATTCCGTCCATTAGAATGTATAGTATATAGTAAGTATATTCTATAATATAGAATGGTCCGATTAAATTAAATATACGCGTAGTATTATTCACATAATATTCAATTACGCGATTCTTTAAGTGTAATTCGTAATACAGGTATAGAATTAAAAATTAAGATTAATGATGATATTATAATGATCGTACCGATGATTATTTCGATAGTTTAATTGGCTTTTATCGATGTTTATTAAATATCCGATAAAATTGGCGTATCAATATCATCATCATAACATTATCTCACTAAACGAATCTCTCTGTAGCAATGTGTGTGTTCGGTTTCCATTGAAGACACCGACCGTTCGTATATTCTGATAATATAACTGGTAGTTATGTAAGGATATAATATAGTTTTATTAGAGACGACTTTCCGCCATCATAGTCAGACTCAAATATTATCTGATACTTTGATTTAGTACTATTAATCACTAATAATTAATACGGGAACCTGAGCATTTAATTATTTCTCTACGGCACTTACCATAAAAAAAGAAACCGGCTCTATCGATAAAAGTGGTTAGGCTATCGCGGTAGTCGGATGTAGACACAGGCGGATTATTTTTATTTTTCTGATCCGGTCCTAATTATTTGAGTTTGTGCAGTAAAGTCGGGCGCTTTAGACGATCATAAAATACTTATAGCTCGGTTATTCATTTCAGCCGATTCCAATTATCTATTAAAACGTTCTCCGCGTATAATATTGAGCGGCGCTAAATAATTACAGTATATACTGAAATACCACACGCGTTGGAATGTTTTTCTTCAATGAAAATATGTTTTCTGTTTTTAAGCGACTCTATGTGTATTCGGATATCGAGCGCGTTTTAGAATCCGAGCGACGTTAAACATTAAGGAGTTTCAAAAATACGTCAATTCTCTCAATCGATTCCCTTAATTATCGACAGTTATCTTCGGGGGGAGGGGAGGGGGGTAAGGGGCACCTCCTCGCGTGTATTTGCTAACTCGCCGATTGTGCGTTCCGCGAAAACCTAATAATACGTGCGGATATTATGAGTGTAAATAATACGTTTTTAAGTGTCCTCAATAAACGCGACGACGACGGAACGATAATCGTCGTTTTTTCGTTTCCGTGTGTACACGTCTACGAAAAAAGAAAACCCCCGGATCGTGTTTGCTCGTCATTTCGGTACGTTTCCGTCGTCATAACGGTATAACTCTCGGGTATATATTATACCTATTCAAATAATAATATATAGGCGATAATATCGTCGAGGGGTGGTGGGGAGGTGCACGGGGTCCGTCGTCGTCTTTATCACCTATATAATTTGTCGTAAAACCGGAGACGGATAGCACGTGTGTGAGTGTGTGTGTGTGTGTGTGTGTGTGATGTGGAGTCGGCGGCGGCGGTGGAGGCGACGACGAACAACAGGTAGTAACACAGCCAAGGTTTTCGGAGGTCTCCTTGTCGTAATAATAATAATAATAATAATAATAATAATAATATAGTCGCGTATACCCGGACGGTCTTCCGTCCGTCGGCCATGTTGCCGGGTCTCGTACGTGTAATGTACGTGTATAATAGTAAAATATCGTATAGCCCATTGTGTCGTGCGGTCGCGCGTCGTAACATCACACGTAATACTATACGCGCGTATATTATAGAGGCGCGCGCACGAGGAGTTCGATTCAATCCGGTCGGCGACGGTTAAATCGCACGACGACGACGGCCATCTGTGTGTGTGTGTGTGTGTGTGTGTTTGTGTTTATTACATACGCGCGTACGGCCGGCAATAATAATACAACGGCGACAATATCGGACCCTGTACGCATTTTATGTTATACGATAATGTTATGCGTACCGGGCGCGTGCAAAGACGGCGGCGGACACGCGTGTACGGAACAGTAACGTACGGCCGACTCGGCGAGTCCGGGGGTACGTCGTAGTCGCGGCGGATCTACACGAGCGGTACGATGACAACAGCAATAGTGATTATTAGATATGAACAGTAAAAAGTGCGCGCGGTTAAAAAACCGTCGAAAAAATTATCTCGATGAACCGACCGGCGACGCGCCGATTTCATAGATTCGGTCTTGCGCTCTGTTCTTACCGTGTATGTATTACGCGAACATCATCGATATGCCGGTTGAGTCCTGCCCCGGCCGTATAATGTACAACATCGACTTTGCGGGAGTTTTCCAACAGCGTGTTTTACATCCACAGTCGTCGGGTAGGACAACGGGAAAACTGTCGTTCGATTTGCCTAATGTACTCCGGCTTTCGGATCTGTAATTTTCAGCTCTGTAAAAAAATAGCCCGAGAGTGGTGTTTAACTCGCGAGTTCTGCTCAGAATCGCAGGCGTCCCACGTAAATCCGATACTTTTCAGAGTTAAAAAACAAAACGAAACAATTCGTAATCTACTGGAACAGCGCTTGTAAAACCGTGTACCGCTTGCGTCCGTGTTATTGTGGTGACGTTCGGGTTGATGATGCGCGCGTGCGTGTCTGTATACGGATATACTCTGCCGCTCGCTGGCGATTCAGAAACGGCGTGCTCAATAATCCTAAATAATAATAATAATCAACTAATAACGGTGTAGCAGTAGAAAAAGAAATTAAAAATTAAAAACCGAGGTAATCGAAAAAAAATATAATAATAATATCGTGTGTAATGGTCGTCGTACACGGCCGCGCAGAGCGCTGTGCGGGCGCTCTCATTGCATTTCCGTTGTTTGGACCGAGTGAATTGAATTGCGGACCCGGGCCATGATTCTTTTTGTCTTTGGCGCAATACACTCTGCTCGTCTGTAATATAATAACATAAAAAAAAAAAATAAAAAAAATACGATATGATACGGTGTAGTTACAACACAGCGCGGTATATTAGCACCGACTCGTTTTTTTATTTCATTCTATTAAGCGCCGACACCGCTGCCGCCGTCACCCCGATGATATCATGACGGCCACTGTCGGCAGTCGCCCGGCCGTAAGCCGTTGGCGAATTAACGACCGCTTAATGGAATACTTCCTGCCCCCCCCCTCTCCCTCCCCTCCGGTTCTGGACCGGATGAGTTCATCATGTGTATGTGTGTGTGTGTATGTATGTATGTAGAGCGCCCGAGAGTAGCAGCGAAACAGCGACACCGATGTCGCAAGGGATTTTTCTCTCTCCGTTATTAGTCAATATATTTACTAACTGGAGGTATAGCGACGGGTCGGTCTGGGTACCGGGAAAATTTTTCGTCTGTCGTCGACGTTTTATCATAGAAGCATTTAGAGTTATGTTGTGAACGGCGAAAACTATAACGCGGCCAGGGCCCAGACAGGAATCCGCGTTCCCCTGCTGTGGCCAAGCCCAACCCCGGACGATGGACTCTTTCGAATATAGTTTATTGCGTTGTAAAACCGCCGGCAGTCTATAAACTTAACACCGACGATGATGACAGATTTCGATAATTTAGATAATATGAACCAGTGGCGTCGAAGGCGGGGTTATGGTCTTGTCAAGACCAGACCTTATTTTTGGGGCGGTGTCGGTATAGTGACAGTGGTTAACGGATAAAATTCCTCTCGCGCGTTTAAATAGTATTTTTAAAATCAGGCAATCGGAATAATATTTTACAATTTGTTTGAGCTTTGACCATTGTGTTTGCGCACAACACCATATTTATTATATTCTGAGTTTTTATTACCTATATTTTACAAAATACCATAAGGACATGATTTTATAACGCACAAAAATCCATATAAAGACGTGCTAGAAATATGCAATAAAAATTACGAAATAAGTAAAACTACAAAATGTTCAATATACCAAGGAATATTTTTATAATATGTAAATAAAAGTCAGGGCGCAGAGGACGAAGCAAACCTGATGGGTCTGCTTATAGGGAGGCGGTGTTTATGACTTCCTTCTAACAACTATTATATGGACTAGACTATTTCAAAACTGCAGATTCTACTGATATGAAATATCAATATAATATTCGATGAAATAATAGTTCGAATGGGACCATAATATATGGGTTCGATATAGTAAATATTCGGTTGTGCCCATCGCTATATAATATAGTACGATGTATTATACTGTTAGTTGATATGCATAATATTATTTATCGTCACAGATTTGTCTTATGACAATATCATTGTTTCCCGGAGAAGAAAAGCTAGTCAATCTCTGGCGGTTTTTAAATTGTGTCCATTGTAATTGTTTCCCCTTAAATTTTCCCTCCGGTATACAATGAGTGTGCTTCCGAATGTAATTACGTTGAATTCGCTTATACCGACGAGTATTATATACGAAATCGATTTGGCCCTTCTTCCCAAACGTAAGAATATCATCATTATTATACACAAATACACGTTTTTATATCCGGGCGGGCGTATATGGTGCAATAAGTATTAACGTTTTCGACGGATTTAGGTCAAAAAGCGCCGTCGCGTATTTTACGACCCTGTATAATATCGTACGTGTATGTAACACGTCTCCGCGCGCGCACCCCGGGTTACGGTTTCTCACGTTAACCCTTTCTCGAAAAATAACCGAAATTCGTTCCGGCATTATTATACTCGTATTGTAAACATTCCCATCGCAGCCCTTCTTGTGAAAATAAATAATGTGTTTTCAGGCGCGATCGTATACCCAATATGTAATATATTACAAAGTTTTACGATCCTTCCCGTCGAGTTTTTGAGTACCAAGGTACCTATAGTTTCTAGATTCTCAAAGCGAACCGATGGTCAAAACGGAATATTTTTTAAAAAACCATAACGACTTGTGCACACACCACTGCATTATTTATACCATATATCTATACGTATATACTTGTAATAATAATGAAGGTGTTGTGTTTGACCACGGCGAGGCGTGTCTACGCATATATATTGGAATGCCTAGAGTTTTTTTTTCTTTTCTTCTAAACGCTGAACAAACAAAACGCAATATAATATTATGCCATACGTTCTTTCCAGAAAGATATATGCTAATTCGGAATATAAATATTATATATAGGTATTATAATATTATTACAGTTGTGTAAACAAAAAAAACAAAAAATGAAAACCACTAAAGACTTACGATATTTATTTTTTATTATTTTTTTTTTTTTAGGGTCCACCGGGATCGTTTCGTGCTCGCCTAACCCATGTCTTCACGCGGGTACTTGTTACATGAAAAGGACCGGAGAATACGCTTGCAAGTGAGTACAACCAAAATAAATGAGACAATATTCAATATATTGTGGTTCCAGGGACTTAAGTAAATGTGTTGCCTGTTATTTTTCGGTCTAAATGATATAATATTGCAGTATTTATATTTTAAATACACGTTATACTGAATGTTATACTATGTGGTGTGCACTTTGGTTGGCAAAATAGACGTATTTATTATTATTACAGCAATTTAGCCGTTTAATAATTATGCCATTTAGTTTCATTTACTTGTATGAAAAAACCATACGAATTCACTTGAGCCCCGGGACCAAAGATATAATTTATATTATCTAGTTTTTAAGCGACGCGAGTCCGAGGACTCGTTTCGGTATTTCAGGTTATAATGCATTATGTTTACTCAATGTCTGCGATGCGCATACTATACTAGGCAAATACGTCGAAATTGATCAATTTTGTCGAATGTTGATGGTGTTACTGCGTCTAACTGAAAATCGTTTTACGGTTAATTATCGATTGTGAAAAGAAAAAACAATATACAAATTACACAAAAACAACTACTGTGAAACAGTCGTTGACCGAAAGTGTTTTTAGTGCGATTCGGGTGTATTATACTCTATACTGGCTAGGTATATACCTAATAGTTTTATTTTCTTGGCGCAATATAAAAAAATATTTCAATTTCGGTTTTCGTACAACATAATAACCATATCGCTCAACGTTTTTTTACTGCGAAATGACTATGTAAATAACAGAATATTATTACGTATTATTGACGGCCTGTAAACATATATAATATTAAAATGTGATGATATAATATAATAATGTATTTGAAACGCGATCCGCGGGTAATAATATCGTTAAATTGTATTGTCCGCTGCAGTGTTCCTTACAATAATAATAATAATAATAACATATGTTAAAAAGTATCCGTCAAAGATTTTTCCAAACGTATTTATATAATATCTAAATATATGTCGAAAAAAAATTTAAAACCTATTCGATCTCTGTCCTTGTTTGTTGTATTTTAAAATTTATACGTGTAGGTTTACACTGGTACCTACACATCACTCGACTTTACGGATATAATTTATCGATTTATTCAAATATACTGCAGCAGGCGTGTAGGTTTTTTTTAGTAATGATGATCGGATCCGCACTAAAATGGCGAAATTTCCGATTTTGCGCATTCTCTCGATTATAGTCCCCTTCGAGTACCTTTCTATTATTTTATAAAATTGTGAATGTAAGTGCAGAAGGAGTTTGAAGGATTGGATATAAGGGTGAAAAGGGGTTTTTTTTAACTATTTGTTTATTGCGCTTTGAACCGGAATTCATGATGGCAATGATAAATAATAATCATAATGGCCGTGGAATAATTAAAAAAAAAAAAATGTTCAATTTGTCGTTAATTTTCTTCGGCCATGGGGGTTTACAGACATTTTTTCCGTGACCATTTTTGTCCTTATAGCCGTGTTGTAATATTACCGATTACAGCGCACTATAGCAGACGAATAATATCGGACGGTAAACATAATATTGAACATTGTCGTGTTTTTCGTGGTCGTTCCCGGCCGATACTCTCGCGGTCTTTGATAACATGACGCGTTTCGGTTGTATACCTACGTACACGGGTTAAAATTGAATTACAATAATTGAATAATGTAATGTATTGTTTGGTCCGGGACGACGCGCGACGGCGGTACACGTATAATTTACCATAGACCATCATCGTGGTGATAGACGTCGCGTTATCAAAACGGCCCCCGTGATTATAATATATGAAAAATAGTTTGAATATTATTTTTGTATTATTATCCGTCATTCGAGACGAATCAAAGTATATTGTAATAATAATAATAACGTATACCTGTATAGGCAGCAGCATACGCGTTTAGGAATTCATTAATTTTCGTGGGACGAAATAAATCGAACGGCGGCGGCGTCGATAATATTATTATTTAAATTATTATGCTCTGTGTGTAATGTTTTCCGGTCGAAGAACTAATAACAATAATCATCTATTATTCGTATTATCGGATCAATGCGAGATAGTATTTCGATGCTGCAGTATAATACACCTAATATACAATATTATCGCGTTTCAGAACACGTTTTATTTTTACTAACGATCGCCCCGAGAGTCCGATATGTAAGGTTTTAAATTGTTTTTATTAAATTGGCGTGTTGAAATATAGTTAGGTATCTATGTGTATTTACGATTTTTTTTCGTTTTTATCGCTTCAAATTTATTATACACGAGTATGATATCATTGTATTATACTCGGAATCGGCCGTGTATCGTAAGTCGTAAATAATATTTTGGGAATTCTGCTAATGAACAATGTGCGGTATTATCGTATATTTAACAGTGACGCAATGAGCGGTTTAACATTTTTGCGGTGGGAAGTATTTGCCCAAAAGTCGAGAAATCGTTTGCATAAAATAAAAAGTGTAGGATTCGTGTAAAATCCGCGAAAATAAATTACGATTGCAGCATTACGCGCACTGTACAACATATTAATATTATAACTATATAAGCCCATAATTGTTGATGCGGAATTCATGCAGATGATTCGATGGATATAATGATGTTGTTCGACGTTTTTTGAAGTTTTGACGTCTGGGAAAGTTTCTATGTTATTCCTTATCAGTATCTATCGCTCGATGGCCCGTAAAGCAACTCACTCGATGCGACCCCATGAGAGATCTAGGATCTAGTCTTTCTATAGCCGGCACGAGCTTATCGATATTCGATGCTATTTTGACGTTGTCCTCCTACTCACAACCGAAACGTACAGTTTAAAATTTGACATCACGCTATAAATCGTAATGACGGTCAGTATTTTAAGGGGATTACGACCAGCGTGTTTTTAAAAATTTTATTTCCTAAAAATACCGCGTCAAAAACCCGCCAGCTTTACCGCCGCTCGGGAAACGTGAAATCGAAAAGAAAATACAAAAAAAAAACCAAAATGAACCCGTTTTGTGAGACAATAGGCATATAATATGGGTTTACCTTACAATGATATTATATATAGAAACCCGCGTTTTGGGGGACGGTGATAATAATTATCGTCCGTCGTGTTCTATATGTGTATATATATTATATATTATAAATTATACACAATACCGTGTGTACACAACATTACCTACTGTCCACACAGCGTTATTATAACCGGGTAGTGTATCGTGGACCGTGTCTAAAAAATAAACCAAAAAAAAACCCTATGTATACCGAGATCGGTAAATCATCGCGGCGGCGTGGGCGAGCGGCCTTGAATTTTTTTGTTGGTAAAACGTGATGATCGGTAATCGTCTCCGCGGCGATATACTGTGGGGCAGGAGGATCGAGCCGCGGGTATAAGGAGATCGTTGACCAAAGATAATACAATTTGTCACGGGTGCCGCCGTCGCCGAGTAAAAAACACACACACACACACACACATAGAGCTCGTATATTTATATTATATAGCTAGCGCTCTTGTTTACATTGCCGCTGGTCTTATTGGCTATGGCTTTGAACAAAAAAAAAAAAAAAACCGTCTAGAAAATTTTAATCGATTATCTTTCGTGTGCGTCCGTCCGTCCGTCGTTTTTTTTTCTTTCAAGTCAATCGAATTTTTTTCTATCCCTTCTCATAACGCCGCTATGGGAAAAAGTACACATACCCCGGGTACCTATAATTGTTACTGTTGGTTGTATCGGCTTCTATTGACGAAATCGTTACTGCAGACGACGCACGAGCGCACGAGTGTGTCGCACCCCCTCTCCCTTTTCTTAGCGGCATATAGGTATTGTACGAGCGTTTAGATAATTTTTTTCGTCGTAAAATTTGATGGGGGGGGGGAATTCGTTTTTCATTGAGTATATTGTATAGGGAGGGACAAAATGACGTCATCGGGGGACGGTGGCCCGGGCTTGCGACGACCGGAGGCGCTCTGCCCTGAGTTTTTTTTCATTTTATGATTGGCATTCTTTCGTGGTATGGGAGTTGGAAATTACATTATGAACGGTGTATTGTGGGAGCTAATAGGTAACTCTAACAAAAAAAATAAACGAAAGAAAGAATATAAAAAAAAAAACGTCACATTTTTACTCACTAATAACAGCGCCAACGACGACGACAACACGATTTACATGTTGCTGGTGATGATGCGCGTGTACGGTGTGTGTCGTGCGTGCGTGTGCGCGGTGCGAGTCAAATCGGTAATGACAAAAACTCATATGCATAATATTGTTATTATTATTATTGTAGTACACTCTCGGCACCATAGTAAATTTCATTTGTAAAAAAAAGATTCTCTCACAGGGCAATAACGACGATAAAAAAAAATATAATAATAATAATAATAATAAATACGTGTAATACAAATAAAATAATAATAATTCGTAAAAGCTTGTTCACTGCGTGTGTATAGCTATCAGCTATAGCGTATAGTTCTTCAACCCGCGACGTTTTTATTTTTTTTTATTGTCCTCGAAATCAATCCCCGGTGTTATCTCCGTCGAACACCAGTGCGGTGGCGTCTTACACTCGGCCTAATACAATAATACGATATTATAATAACATCTATAATATATATACGTATAATTGCCGCCCCATGCCTTTTGTCCACTCGTTAACGACTCGTATTCAAAAAAAAAAAAAAAAAAACAACTATTTCTACCGCTATAATATAATATTATAATAATCTCGTAAGCGTGTAGGCAACGTTCCTAGAGAGAGAGAGAGAAAGAGACGGAAACCAAAACCCGAAATATTAAAACCGACGGAATTTTTGAAATATTTTTTTTTTTATAATTACCCGCGAATATTCACATATACGAGCAAATAATGAGATGAAAAAAAAATGGCAACTATCTTATACCATGTTATGTTATGGTATTATTATTAGTATTTTTTTTTTTTTTTTTTAATTTTGCTGCGGGGCTATTCTCGCATAGAGAAAGGGCACGGTCCGTGCGGTTCCCACGGAGAGCAGTCGGCCATAGTACCTGGTCAGGTGAACAGCAGCGGCAGCAGCTATACGCGCGCGCGCACAGCCTTCCGGGGACTCTTCGGGAATGACGACTACCTATACAATACACTCGCGTGTGTATATACAGGGCGATCGACGTGATCGTCTTAAGACTCTATATCATCGTTATCCCGGAATGTGTTGAATTATTTCCTATATAAGTATTCGTTTTTCCGAACATTTAACGTGTGGTAGCGGCTCTAAAAAATGTTATTTTCGATAGCGAAACTTGCACGGCCAAATTGGGTTTTTTTTTTTGTTTTAAACGGAAACCTATATCGAGGGAATCCAATAAACGGACAAAGTTTTAGCGCGAATACGTTTTGGCGTCGACCCGTCGACGAGATATTCTTTTTTCAAGTTTGGGTAGAAGATGATAATGTGTAGTGGAGCGTATAATTATTTACGTGGCGGGACCGCTTTTGAATAAAAAAACTGATAGAGCATCTTGCCGACGGGTCGACGAAAATTAAAAATGTCAACGCCGAAATGTGTAAATCGAAACTCGATCTATTTACGACATTTTTAATACAGGTCGATGTTTGCAGAAAATTAAATTGAGCGTGTGTGGTGGTTTCACCTCCGTACAACAAGGACGACAATAACGGAAATGTGACGACTTAAGAGCCGCTCGTTTTTCAAATTTTCTAAAAAAAAAAAATAAAATTATAAAAACATAGTTATCCGGAATAACGATGACCGTCTTGCAGCGTTTCGTTGACCGCTCTGTATACATTAAGCGTACCGTTTGCGTTGCCGTGTTTGTATTGTTTTTTTTTCTCAAAGTGTAATTTTGAATAATTATTAAGTTATAGGCATACACAGAAGAAAAAAAATCGCTATGACATTTCGCGCCGATAATGTGACCGTGTGTGGTTCACTGTATTATGGTAATATTGATTAGATATTTCATCGTTCCGGAGCGATAACAAATTAAAACCGTATATATATCTATTATATAATACCGTGCTTATTGTGAAACGTAAAAAAACGATGATATCTCTCTAGGCGGAGATTTTTTTTTTAGGAGAAAAAAACATAAAAAAATCACATTTAAATGTACGTTTATAAAACTGGTTTTTTTTTTTTACTCAAATCGATAGCACGGATATAAAAATAAATTTATACAAAAATATTGCCTATACAATATACGCACGAGTGTTTACGTTACGTTGGAACATCCGGTCGTTCCGAAAATATAATATATTGTCGCGTTTAATTAAACGCGGGAGAGAGGGGAGGGGATAAAAACCGAATAAAAACGTCGTTTTCCGACGAAAAAATAAAAGTAGTATAGCGGCCCATAATAATGGCCGTTTGCGCAATTAAATCGATTTACACGCGATACTGCGCAGGATTACGGGAGGGGGGGAAAGAGGGGGTGGATTACGTTATGAATTTATAATTTTTCGTCGCGTACGAAAGGCGCCGCGTTCGCGTTTTGTAACGGATAAAACGCCGGCCGGGCCGAGTCGCGCAAGTCGCGCGGGGGTCTTTCGGAAATTATTATATTTCACGGCCGACATACGGTACGAAAAAGGGGCGACGCATTCGATTACGATTATTGTGCGAGGGTTTTCGTTGCAGTTGTGTACGCGGAACAATCGAGAGTTCTCTGATCCGTGTTATAAAATATTGTATATAATATGCCGTCCCCTCTATATATCGTCTCCCCGGGGCTAAAACAACGATAAAAATAGTAGTAGTAGTAGTAGTAGTAGTAGTAGTAGTAGTAGTAGTAGTATTATAATAATAGTGATGATCACCGCCGCCCTCTATACACATATAATATACCGTCATCGTAAACACCATTTGGCGCTCGAAAAAAAAAAAAACAAAACCCTACACACGGAGAAACCAGTTTTGGTTTTATGCGTTTTTTCCGAGTTGTACTCCGGGCAAGGGCGATCGTAAAAAAAAAAAAAAAAATTAAATAAAGTTATTATTAATTCGAATTATTTGTCCGGACGCGGTTCTCGTATACGCGCGCGCGTATCACAGATTATTATAATGTATACATACTTGCCCGCTATTGGAGACCGTGGTGTTTGTGAACCGAATTCGGCCGTCGCGATTCCCGCGCGCGAGTATAATCATAATAATATCAGACACACCGGAGGCTAACAATCTCGTGGAAAAACCAGTATTTCGGGCCGCGTTGCGTGTCTGGCAGACAGTGTCGGCACTCTCGGGGGGCCCCCCTCGCGTCCGTAATGAGTCATAAAATAATTACGGTTCGGTCGGTTTTTTTTTTTTTTTTTTACGGCCGTAATGTTCGTACTGTCGCCGGCGAATTTCCCCGGACGGAAGCGAATCGCGGGCGTCATTGTTATCATTATTGTCGTGCCTCTCGAGTGAGGGACAGATAGAGGATATTCGTGCGGTACGTTCTACTTCCGCGCGACGAGACGTCGGAATAAGTAACGAACGGGTACTCGCAATATTATCCCGTGATTAACGTCGGCGTAATAATATTTTAATTAGCCCGGTTCGTGTCGCAGTTCGCCGCGGGCGTTTTTCCGACCGGTTTTCGCGTATTGTTGTTTACATTGCACGCGTAACACACGCATTCGCGGCGATTGTGTTCCGCTGCTCTCCCAAGCCGAAAGGCTATGAGGCTAGTGTGCAGACGTCGCGGTGTTCGTTCTAGTGGTTTTGAGAAAAGTTAACTTTTTCCGAATCGTCTCGTTTCGTCACTGTATACGTATAAAAAAAAACCGCAAGCAAAATTATCGTATTATAGACCGAATGTGCCATCAGTAACTCAGCATACATAGGTTTAATATATGTACACATGCATTATGTTTAACACCGTTTATTATATGAAATCTATTGCATTGTCAGTATTTCTGCTTAGGATTAAACCTTTCGAATCGTCATCACGTTAATTAAAAAATAACGCAAATATTCTGTCATTTTTCAATTTTTTCGCTTAGCCGGGCGTCGACATTCCGAGAGTCCGTTTTACAATAACGCCAATGGTTAACCCTCGGTCGGAGTTTAAACCCGGTTCAAATCGAACATAACGTATTACAGTATTGACTGTCCGCGGTTTAACCGAAGTTAACAATCTGCAATTCGGTTGATAATTTCGGCGTATTGATAACGGAACAACGCTGTATAAATTTTATAATCAACAGACACGAATGTTACAAAATTATTATCGTTTGACTCGTCCTGCCATAAAATAGATACCGCATTTCGCAAACGACGATGGTTTAGCCAGACCGAACCAGATCGTCTATCGTAAAATCGCAGTAATAAATATATACACCTTGGAGTCAGATGATAAGCTATAAACTCGGCTAAACACGAATTAAACCGCGAATTGTAAAACGGGCTCGTAACTGCATCGGTTCGGGTTAATGTAAAGATTTTTTTTTTCCGTACGCCGTATTAAATATTTTATTATATATGTTGGTAATTATAACGCACGGTGAAATAATGAAAATTTATTAGATTTATAGAAGAGGAAAAAAAAACCTAACGGATATCGCGTTGTATCCGGGGTCCGATGACGTTTCGGTAAAGCGGTATTACTTTTTTAAATGTCTCGCGCGTGATTTTTTTTTTTTTTTTGGTAGCTCCGCATGGTATACTACACCGTGGGTTTTTTGTCCACAGACGAAAGGGTGCAGTTTAACGTAGCGTACGCCCTCGACGCGGCGGTATACAAACCATCTGGTCACGGTTAACCGACTATAAGGTTTTTTTTATTTTCATTTTTTGAGTAATTAAGCTCGGTATTGTGTCGCTCCGGCTATAGGAGGACACGTCGAGGAGGTGACAATAATATATCCTATTCCTGCATACATATATATATTTATACATTATGTACAATATTACGTGCATATTCCAACCGCGGGTTTGAATAGCAGTGTGATTGAAAACAAAAAAAAAAAAAAACGTAAAAAAATTATAGTCTCTCGGGCAGGTGTATGATGATGCGGTCGTCCCATCGTAGTATACCTATGCGCGTACACACGTAGGAGTGATAATAATATTATTATATACCGTGTAAACGTTATATGGTATAGAACAAAAATCACATTACTGAAAGAGATTTCGGCGGCGGCCCCTATAATTTCGGAAGGTAGTCCATTTCGCCAGAAGAATTATGATTATTGTGTGTGTATACATATATATATATATATATATATATATATATCCATTATGTACAGGTACGTTGCTGGTATCCGTTAGAGGTTCTGTCATCCCGGGCACCGCCTACTCCTACTCCGGGTACAGCGGTGCCGGCAACATGCCACTTAAAAAAAAAAAAAAAACTATGTTTATATATATACGTACGACGGTAAGTGGGGTGGAGGATAACCGACAGAAGAATAAGTCGGGAGTGTAATGTAGAAGAACGAGGAGAGAAATATTACGAGAAACCACTTAAGATCGGTTTTAGCTCCGGGCTAAAACCCAGGTCGACCAGACAATTTGGTCCGGCCATTACATTATATACGTATTATCCTGCGCGCGCGTACGCAGGAGACCCGGAATTCAGGTATCCTCGTCCTCGTCTCCGTTTTTATGCCGTGCGCGGCGGTTACCTGTCCGCGTAAAACCGCCGGGACTCGGGACGCGTCACGGATAACTTTTGTTTGCCTTAATGGCCGCCGTAGGAATTTCACGTACCGTTTGAGGGGGCGACCCGACAAAAGGACTCGTCTGCGTATCGACGGCCGAAAATACGTTTTTTTTTGTTTTTCGACTTTCGAAATCGCGTTTAAGTGCATATTGACCCGTCGGACATCGCGCATCGTTTCGTTATATTATTACCGCTCGTAATCGCAAATTGCGATGACAATGTATATTTTGTGATTTTATCGCTGTGAAATTTCCGGTCAAAACTCTGACCCCCGGCGCCGACGGGGACCCGCACTTTTACGACCGCGCGGGTTTATCAGCGAATCAACTTGACTTTCTTCTGTGTGCCATGCGCACGGAGTACAATCGTACTATTTTTTCGTCGTCGAAAACTGAAACTATATTATTATCGCGTCCGCTGTATAACGGGCATTTTGACATTTTGTGTGCTTGACTTTATAGTATTAAGGGTGTGGATCAATGATCGACTTCTCGTCCTCCCCGTTTTTACGATCGAATTTCATCACGGGGGGGGGGGAACATTTTTAGTAAAAACGTTTCATATTACAGTGACACTACCGCGTTCGATTAATGCCACGTTTCGAAATTACGTCTTATATGGATATTATTTTGTCAATCGTTCATAATTATTCTTGTTTACGCGTTTCTTCCACCGTAGACTATTTATTATTACGATTTGAAACGTCATATTATACGTACGAGTAATGTCCCTCCCCCATCATTGCGTCGTATGTGTCGCATCAATAGATTTGTCGGCGCAGATAGCTTCTTCTCACGGTCGTCGGCCCTGCAGCAACAGATGGCGAAATTTCGTAAATCCATACGAAAACACTACGCACAAAAAAAAAAAAAAAAGACACGTGACGTTTTTAGGCACACATTATTATACTTACGTATATTATTTTATACATATATTACGGTGTATATAAATTATAAAGTACGACTGTTGTGGGGAACGAATCTCTCGTGTAATGTGTGTATGCGCGTGTGTTAAGTGACTTCTAACGACACTCTCGCAGGCCCAATGATAAGTGGAGTTTGTTGTTTTTTCATATATTTTACGTGTACAAAAAAAAATGTACACGAGACGGCGACGACTGCGGTTATAATATAGTCGTAATAAATCCGCGGCGAGACACAACCGGCACAAGTGCGCTTATGACCTCTATACGAGGCCGGATTACACGAGGCGTAATAATATTATATACTCGGTTTGTTAACATTATTATTATTATTTCTTTTTTTTTTCCCCCGTCAAAGTTATTTGGCCGTTCTTTACCGTCTCGGGTCGACCGACACGACTACACGGACTGCGAAAGGACTGCGAGACCCAGTAAAATATCGCGGTATACCGAATTCGCTAATTTCGCGGACGCGCGTAGGACGGCTATAACTTTACCGCGTTCCGTATCTCGGCGTGTATTTCCGGGGGTCTTCGGCCCGTCGTGACGCAGTGTACTCACAGCCGTATAATAGTAAATCGGCCGAAAAAAACCGAACCGAACGCGCAAAAACCGTTTGTTCGGCCCGCTGACATTCCTCGGGAAAATGTTTTTTTCTGTTTTTTAATTTCCACCGGATTATATTATGTACGCTATCGTGTCGTTTATACATATATGTATATATATATATATATATGTATACTACGTGTGCGCTGTCGCAGAGATGTGGAACGCCAAGTCTAATCAAAATTCCGCGCACGGTCGCCACCGCCTCCCCTGTCGGATCGCGCGGCGGTGTCCCCGGCGACCTCCACAGTAGGTACCGCGTGTATGCCCAATAGCTGCACGTACTTATGACGACGACCGCGACGTTTCGTATGCGCGAGACGTGTTTTTTTTTTTTTTTTTTCAAAAAAAATGATTGTATTCTTTTTTATTATTCGTTTAATAGTTTATTTATTTACGTCGTTTTTCGGGTACCTAGCACCCGCGGGTGGGAGAGGAGGGGCGAAACAAAGGAGTCGTTTCGTCCGGGGGACGCGCATTTAATATTGAAATACACGCCGTCGTCGTCGTACACGGATTTTCGTTTCTATTATTTGTTCGTGTGTTTGTATCATTATTAATAGCGTTCGAATCTGTGATTTCCGCCGCATCGAACCGCGATCACGGTCAGCGACGGCCACATTATTATGACACCGCGTTATATTCCATTGATTTATGCAAAACGCCGAGCCTTTAAATTTACGCCGTGTCGAGCATGATATTATAATATTATACAAAATATTATAATATCATTGCGCGCAACACTGTAGGTATATAAAAAAAACCGAGGAGAGGGAATAACCGCAGTATACAGACCCATTGTTTTGTTTTTTTTTTTTTTTCGTGTCTCTGTAGCAAAACGCTTTTGTTATTCGTTTTTTTTTCTGCGACGCCCAAATTCCGAAGGGACGTAATACTGTATCGGGTGGCAAAAAACAACAACTGCGCTCTAATTCTTATCGACGCGTAAATTATAATGCATATTATTATAACAGGCGAACGTGCATACTGCACAATAATATTAATATATTTGCACGATATTATAATAATACACCACATAAACGGCCAATGATATTATGATTAATATTACACGATAGAAATAATTCCCTCGGTTTTTTTTTAAACATACTATTTTTATATTATGCTAGATTTTATCTCGAGTCTTCTTCGCGCTGCATTTCTGACTATGACGTCAATATTTTCACGTTTTCCCTGTATAGTAGCGTTTTGTTATTTTTTCGCTTGACAAGCGGTAAAAAATTCGAAAAATTATTTTATCTCGGTTCCGAGAAATACGCTGCGATTATATTATATTTTGGTCGTTGTCCTTGTTTATTTTTCCAACGGGTACCGACGATAACCGTTTATTTATTCGCTGTGATTTAACCGATCGGGTACTTTTCCCCCTCGCGTTTCGGATAAACAGTATGATCGACGGTCGTTACGTGTATAACAGTAGGACATTTCGGAGTGAAAACGGGTACGAATATATTTTAGTAACGCGAAGTTGTATTCTTGTAATAACTGATAACACATTGCCGTTTTAATTGTATTTTGTTATTTGTTATTAATTTTTTTTTTTTTTTGTAATTACAATAATCTGCGTTTCGGTATGATACGCGTGAACGTTTCAGAAATAATATTTCATTACCGCAGTTACCGTGTTTCGTCGCTTGTTTAACGCATCGCTCGTTGCATAATACGTGTATATGTGGGTATAGTTACACGGTTTGTTCGTTTTTAATAAATTATCGTTATAATATTATATTAAAAAAAAAAAAAAACTGTTTGATAATTTTCACACGTTAAAAAACACGAAACGGTTTGTGACGACAGCGGCGGCGGCGGTAGTAATAGTAGTAGTAGTACAGTTTCTTATAACAATATTATTATTGTGCGTATTAAAAACAATATTCCTCCGGACACGTTTTTCGGTGTTAGAGGCGGAGTTAAAGGTTATATTATTATCGTACATGTAGGTAGCGATGATAGAAGATTCCGGACGTATAAAAAATAAAATATATAATTTGAGTGTAATTTGTACGAACAGAAGGGGTTTCTTCGTATTATAATATTATAGGCGAGTATCGGATTGTCCGCGGGTCGGGTCATTATAATTTTTCATCGTCGACTTTTACTATTGTGTGTGACGCATATATAGGCAGGTAACGCCGTCTTTTGTCCGGAAAACGTATATACATATATATATGAATACGTATAATATAATGAAAGAAAAAAAAACCGTAAGTATACGATTTCTACGGGTATTTTTTATTATTATTATTATTATCGTCACTGTATAATATATATATATATATACTTACCCGCTACTCTTATTATATTACTCCGTTTGTGTGTGGCCGCTCGTTTCGGCGACTACGACGGTGGCGCTTAAAAGCATTGATATTAACGAAAATATCCATTTTTTTTTTTTTTTTTTTTAAATATATATTTTTATTCACTCCCGGCCCCCGGGGGCCCCTATCCGCTGCCGGGGCATTAATCATTCGGTTGTCGTCATTACAAGTTTATTGAAATCGACTGCGGCAGTCGCGAGCGCGCGCGCGCGCTTCTCCGACGTCCGTATTATACGTCCGAACTCGGCGGGATATTTACGAACCGGTTTTTTTTCCTTTTTTTTTTCGATTTTTTTTTTCCCCCGTACTATATACATTTTAGACGTGACGGAGAAAACCGTACGGGCCGGGGAATAAAAATTATCTTGTTTTGTCACCACCGCGAGCGTACGCATAGCTGCTGCTCCGGTAAGTCACTGCTGAGGAGCCGGTGTGGACCGGGACGCGTGTATAATAAATCGTGCGGATTTTCGGGACGACAATCACATATACTCGTATATGTATATACGTACACACATAAATTCATAATGTTTATGAATACGTAATTGCAGTCGGAATATAAAAATAAATATTTATAAAAAACCGACATGGCCCGGCATCCACGAAATATAACCGATTTTTTTTTTTTATCAAACTCATCTCCGCATACATATTATTATTTATATTGTAATATACGATACGACGTTCTCGGAACACCGGGACATCGCCGCCGTTGTGCAGCGCTGCAGTTATGTGTGTGTAGGTAGGGACGAACATTTGATTAACCTAACTAACCTAAACAATATATTATACTTGATTTTGGCATTATGAAAAAAAAAATAAATGTTTATTTTATTTTTTAAACGACTATACGGCGTAGTATTATTGACTATACAACTGTAGATAACCGGGTTTCGCCCGTGTGCAGTTTATACGTGTGCGCAGTTTAGTGCCCACCGTACACACTTTGCTGCGAGTACCTGATATTAAAATGTATAATGTTTATTAACATAAAAACATCTAAAAGCTATTTGATTTGTACTTTTAATAAAAAAATCGTGCCCCTCGAATTTTCAAAAATCTCTTCTGAATGAGTCCTTGCGTCATCAAATGAAACCATTGTCCAAATTTCGTCCATATAATTAGTTTCAGGGATTTCGGCTCGACGAGCTGTTATATTTTGTATAACATGTAAAATGTATGTGTACATAATGTATAATTATATTATACTTGTAAAACATTGTTAAATAATAAAAATAAATAAATAGCCTAAAATACAGCGAAAAATGCACTAAATACCCAATAAAATCAAACGAAAACTCACATACCAGTTACTGTAACACACACAATAACAATATTACACGCGTAAACTTTTTACGCACCTCATGACCTATAAAGAAAAATCCCCTAAAAAAATATAACGCTAATAAAAGAATCGTTTCAAAAGTGAATAAAATAGAATTTTCAATGTAAAACAATTGCCGATAAAGCAAAATAAACATTTCGTTTATATTACAATCGCGTACGAATTAGGAACCGGCTCAATCTGTGACGTAGCTTTTCATGTTGGACCAATGGAGGAAAAAGAAATCCGCGTATGCAACGTTCGAAACGCATTATTTCGGACAGACGCATTAACTATTATAATATATTATTATGTTTATGTGTTATCATATTTTTTACCCGCGTATTTATTTTTTTGAACGTTCATTCACACGAGAGATTTTACCCCTGTTTTTTTTCCCCTTCTTAACTTTCGGTGTAAACGCGACACGTCGTCGTCAATGTGTTCGACACATGTGACAGCCGTCATCGTCTTAAATGTTTTACGATTATTATTAATTTTTTTTCCGTATGTTGTATAATGTATAATAATAATACTATAGCGAGCATGGGAATAGCGAGTTAAATAATAAAGACGACGACGATAAAGTCGTTGCGCGAGAAAACAATGACTCCGTGTTCCAAAAAAAAAGTCCGTGATCTTATTATTATTATTTTTTTTATGTTATAACAATATAATCTAATCCGTCTGCAAAGAAGTGATAACCGGCGGTGGTGCAGGTAGTGGTGGTGTTGCTCTAACAACCACACTAGAGTGCAACAGTGTAGACGTCAGCTATTGTGTACACGCTGTACACGTCTTCTAAAATATTATTATTATTATTATTATTATTATGATGTCCGACCATTCTGCACCGAAACGTAGACGTTGTTCTATAGGTACACGACGACGACGGCGCGTTTAAACCAATTCTCCGATAGAGGATACCTATATAATATAATATTATTATTCTATTTTATATACACTGTCCGCGTAACACTCGAACCGTGACCGTTTCTCTCTCTCTTTCTCTCTCTCACTCGCTCGCTCTCTGTCTTTCTTTTTCTGTCGAGTATGCGTATATACCTATATTATAATGTACGTATTATATAGTCTATCCGTAATATACAGCGCGAGTGCGCACCATATAATAATAGTACAAGACTCGATATCGGAGACTCCGCCGCGTGTTTACATTGTGATCGTCTTGACATTGGAATTCTGTTGCGTCATCTCATTGCCATGTCCGATCCGATCGATCGTCTCGTATAATAATAATGTAGTCTATCATAATAATATTATATTGTAAGCGCATCACAATATTCTCGTGCGCGCACGCCGTTGTGCGGCATCGGTAGTCGGGATCGTTTATCCGGAGATTTCGCGGCACACCTCGACACAGCCGAACGTGTAAAACCTACCCGTACGGTATTATTACTATGGCAACCGGTACCAGAGCGTCTTCCGCACCCTTTTCACTCCTCCAACGATAAGTGCGCCTAACCCTCGAGCGCGTAGAAATGCACGGGGTACGGGGGGAAGGTGTTCGCGGAGATCGGCGGAGGGACGTCTCCCGGGGGGCGAGTCGTTGCGCGGTGCAGAAAACGGCAGCTGTTTTTTTTTACGGAGCCCGTTTTTATAACGGAAATATTTAAACGACGGTACCGGTCGGTTTTCGAAATTCGGCCAACCGCTCGTAGCGTATTATTATTGTAACGACACTATTATTATAGTATACGCGTATTTATCATATATATATATACATACGTATATAACATTAAAAGTCGAGACCCGATCGCGCCGATGATCTATATCGATCATCATCACGATTCGTGTGTACATCGTACGGAGGTGGTTCGCCTGTACAGTGGATTCGCCCGCGAGATCTATTCCGCGCGGCGTACCGACTGTCCGTCGCGGGCCAAAGAAGAGAATAAAAAAAAAAAATAAAATAAAAAGAGAAAGTTAACACCCGTACGTTATGCGCGTACCATAACCGAGGGGTCCCGCCCGGTTCTTTCTTCATCTCAGAGATCCGCGGCGGCACCGCCGCCGTAAATATCTAAGTGTGCTATCGCTGTCGTCGTCGTCGTCGTCGGGACTTTGCGCGCGCCCGTACGTTTCGGGTGTCGGCCATTACATACGCGCGCGTGCACCGCGGCCGATTTACGAAATAATAATTCTCGCTTGGCGGGCGCGTTTCGTATCGTACTACGCTGCACGGGCGCCTGAGATGCGCGGATTCGTTAACGGCGCGCACAGCCGAGCCGCGCGAAAACATTGTGCGCGCCGCCGGGGGATTGATTCGCGCGCGTGTGCCGCGCCGCGAGAATACGAATAGGACAATCGGATGAAAAAAAAAAAAAAAAAAAAACGACGACGCCGTTTAACACACACGCACGTTATACGATTCGAACGGAATATCGTTTGTTTGTATTATTGTTGTTATTATAATTATTTATGCGTCGGAATGGCGAGTTACGAAAATAACGGAACGACGATAAATTGTTATTTTAACGTCACGTACGTACGGGGCCGCGGACGGCGTGTTATATTATAACGACGTAGGCGGGGGGGTTTTTTTTTTTTTCCGTACACCCGTAGCCGGCCGTTCGTTTTTGGTTTTTAATTCGCTACGTTTTCAATACGCGCGACGATAAATTTTCCAACGGCCGGTTTGAATGGCGCGGGGACGCGTGTTCGTTAAAAACGGATGTGATCGAGCGAATACGTCCGATTGGTCGCCGGTGTAAAGTTTATAATGTTTCGTTTGTTCGTTTGTGCGATTGCGGCGGCGTACGCGAATCATACGATAAATATGCGTTTAAAGTCGATTTTACTCGTCGTCGTACGACGGGCGGGCGATGTGGCCAGATGTTCCGCAAATGGAACGTCGAACGCAACCCCGCGCGCGACTGTGGCGTTCCCTCCCCCCATCGCAAACGACGGAAACTCGCGAAAACGCGCAAAAAGTTCAGTTGTTTAGTTCGGATCGAAGAAAACACGGGTTTACGACTGTTACGATGTCTTGTCACGCACCGGTCCTAAGCGATGTCTTTATCGTGAAATTATTCGTGTTCGATGCACGGTACAAAAACTTCTTCTTCGGCTACACCGGATCGTTTGTCCGTTAAAAAGGAAAACTATTTCGACGGAACGCGTTGCGAAACTTAGAAACCGAAAAAAAAAAAAAAATTTAAAATACGTGTAATACGAAATGTTTTTTTTTTTTTTTTTATTGAAAAATACCACGTGTGCAAACATAAACTTTGGGGCGGCGCGGCCACTTGTCGATCGGGCAATATTATTAGTTTTGTAATTATTGTCGATACCGACGGTGTTGGGTGACAACGGGTTTTCATCCTCTCGCGTTACCGACGACGTGTATACCTGAACACTATATAAAACGAAGATTGTTCTTTCGAATTCGATATCTTCTGGTCGAATAAATATGAACCATTCGGTTTTTTACGTTTTTTTTTTTTTTTTTTTAATCGTCTCTCCCGCTGACATAATTCCTTTGTATACCTACACAATTTTTGTTGTTTTTTTTTTCCCCCGTTCACGATGTTTTTTTTTTCCGTTTCCAATACTCCGTTATACAAAATGTTCAAGAAATATCGTATGACAAGGTGTGATTTTGCATAATATATATATAGGTAGTCTGTGCAAGCATGCAACGACAGGACAGCGGCTATTATGTACACCGTTAATAGCATAATAAATTTAATATAATATATACCTATACGTATGCGTTTAAATTTGCTGCGGGATTATAGTATTTCGTTTTTTTTTTTTTCGGACGGTCCATTGTGTTTGCGGCTACCGATGAGATGGGGGAAAAAAAAAAAAAACCAAATGCATACCGGTCTATACTTATATTGTACGCACTATATAGATTTCTGCGCGCACATTTTCAGATGTCGAGCATTTGCCTTCGGGCCGGCGTGACTTTGGTTCTTTGTCGGAGATCGTTTCGAAACGAGAAAGAGAGGTAAAAAAAAAAAAAAAAATAAAAAAAAAATCCCGATATATTATTTCCTCTCTTCCTCGCCCCGCGATATCCATTAACCACAGCGCGGCAGACAATAATTATTATCTCGCATTCCATTTTTCTTTCTTTAAACCGGCAGCAGCTCGACTCGATAGAAACAAAAACATCACACCGCGCGCGCGCGCGGCATCGCGTCCCGGGCTTGCCGCAGCGATTGTCCCGGAATTTCGTCCGAACGATTACACAGAACGATAACTTTTTCGAATCGGTGTTATTATATAAACATAATAATATATTACGCGTACAATTTATCATCGTCGTCGTCGTAAATACGAGGAAAAAAAAAATCGCACATGAACTTCGCAACCACGTATATTGTATACGGTTCCGTGACCTAAACCTACACAGATATTTGTGATCATTTTTTTTTTTTTTTTTATCCCCCTATAAATTCGAATAACACAATCTGTACCGAGTCATCTCGTATGCGTACCGCAAATGTATCGGTTATACTTGTTCATTTCACCATGTGCGCATATGTAAGTATATCTGATGACGAATTAAAACGGACGCTCGCTTTTACGTTCCGCCGGCGTTTGTGTTCGCCGTGCACGGATCCGATCCGAAAACGATTAAAACGAACACGTACGCGCACATAATTAATTGCGACCGGATCCGCGGGCCGATTGTCGTTCGAATCCGACGGGCTGCGCGAAGTGCGTTTACAACCGTAGTAATAGCAGACCGCGGCGACCGTTCGGGCGACCCGGTACATAATGTATCGTTCGGTAATAATATAATATAATTCCGTAGAAATGAATGAAAAAACCGCGGCGGCGACGGAGTTGTTGTGATGTAAAATTATGTGACAGATGTTTCTGTACCGCGGCGTTTCGCTTCTTTGTGTGCACTTATAAATCTCCGGTGCTCCCTGCGAGTGTTGTTTTTTTTTTTTTTGTTGATATCGATCGAACAACTGCAAAAGGGTCGTATCCTCTTATTGTTGTGCGTATGCAGCGTGTGTACGTGCAGCACGAAATCCTCGCTAGCTCGTCTGCCGCCGCAGACGAAATTCGATCCCACGTAAAACGCACACACTCTACACGTGTACATATAGACGGTGATGAAAAAAAAAAACAAATCCTCGTTTACGGTTATGTATCGCGTGTCAAATATATTATACGGGCTCGGCGTGTACGATTAGGTTTTTCGCGTTAATGTATCGTTAGGTTTTTTTAAATTTTTTTTTTAATGTCAAATTTAATACGGGCGGTCCGTTCCTTTTATCGCCGTCCGGCGATCTGCGTACGGAGATTTCCGTTGTATACGAACCGTTTTTTTTTTTTATAATTTTTCTCGATTTTCGATGACGGACGGCGTAGTATTGTATAGCAACACGAAAAGTCGACATGACGTTTATAATGTAGCATGTAGGTTATTATTATGGGGTCAGAAACCGAAATCGAATTTACTACTACCTATAAACAAAAACCAAAAAAAAAATAATAATAATAATCTCCGTACAACAACGATAATCGCTTTGGTCCGCGATTGGGGGGAATCGGCCGGCTATACGGTTTACGTGTATCGCGGACGTCTAGTCGGAAAGTCGGTAGTATACGGGGTGAGACGGCGGTCGGTGACGGGGGCGCGGTGCGGCGTAGGGGCGACCGTTTGTATACGAGATGATTACAAAAAACAGCGCGCGGGGTACCTGTAATAGTATTATTATTGTAGAAAAATGATCGGTTATAGCCGCCGCTAATAATAATAATAATAATAATAATAATAATAGGTATACGTGGGTCGGGTACACGACGGAGGACTGGGCGCACGTTCTACCGGCGGCGGCGGCGGCCGCCCTTCCCCGTGTCTTTCTCTCTCTCTCTCTTTCTCTGTTATTATCGTTCCGCGCCCGGTAATCGCGGTATAACCTATAATACCGTAATGCGGTAACCGCCGTGCGCAGCGCACGACGACGCGAGCCGGCCGTTTGGCGGGACGCGAGCCCGCGGCACACGCCCGTCGTCGTCGGCAGTCTTATTCGCCGTTCCTTATTCGATGTATTATTATCGTAAACTCTCCGGAAACGTGAAATACATTTGCGACAATTTATTCACACACACGCGTGGATTATTGGGCAGGCGGGCATGTATCGTCGGAGAGGTTCTTTCGTTATCGGGGCGCGAGCATCTGTCACGCGAGAATATAGTTTGTCACGACGACGCCGGTTAATTAATTAATTGGCCGTGTAAATGGCAATTACACACGCGGTGGCTGATTGTTTGCCTAATGAGCCAGCACGACGGCCGCGATGTCTGGCCCGAGATAGTGTTTTCTGCTTCTGCGACCGCCCCCGCCGGAGCGTACAATACCGAAACGGCAACAATAACAATAATAATATAATATAATACGATAATAATATTATGGTATATAACGCTCGTATAGCGGCGGTCTGCGAGGTGGTCGGAGGAGGAGGAGTGGTAACAATAGAATACTATTATTATCACCGTCGTAGGAAAATAATAATAAATCCATATCGGCTATCGTTTGTACGGCGCGCGCGCTCGCGCGGTGGACATATTTTCATACGCGATATGATGTGACGGCTTGTACGTGAGTATATATATAAAAAAAAAAAAAACCGACGTCAACGAACCGGTGGCGTGTAGTACTGGTGTAGTGTAGCGTATATACAGTGCGTATCCATAGCACTGCGCCGAAGAATGCTAATAATAATAATAATAGTAGTGGCGGTACAATACCGGGAGCCCGAAGGTCTCTCGGACCGTCGTCGTCGTCCGAGTACTTTGACCTAACGGCGGCGGCGGTGCGCTGGTGAAGTAACTTACTTCGCTAGCGGGCCGAAGCGCGCGAGCGCGATTTCTTTCCTATTTTACGACTGGCTCGCGCGAGCTGTACCGCGTGCCACGCCCACCGCACGTAATTTTTCGCTCCCGCCTCCCTTATCCCCCACCATCACAACCCCTCTCTCGTCCGTAACGTTAAATAATCGGTGGTCAAGGTTCGTTTTTTTTTTTGTTTCGTGTTCGCTACTTCGTCGCAATATCATCACCGTGGTCGGCGACGATATTATTTAAAATATGATAATAATACGACGGGGCCCACGCGTAAACATTCCGGATTTCCGGAATGTACGAAAAAAACGTACGCTTACATTCGAGATACAGAACACGTTCTTGGCAGCAGCTATTCGCATTACCCGAGAGATACGCCAAGTAAAGATGAGGAGTTATCTCGAACAAAGTTTCGGTTTTTCGGCAGTGAATGTTCAAATTCTGTACAGATTAATTGTATTTAATTAACGGTCGGGTCGAAGTGTTTTCACTTTTAACAGGATTCAATTATTGCCCCGTTCGATTTTTGTCGAATTTTGTGGCTGAAACGGGCGTTTTTGTCGGCTTTAAACACGTTTGCACGCGTCGCCCAAATGAAGTTGTAGGTAGGGGGGGATTAAATGTTTTATATATTATATATTGCGTATATTGCGTTAGTGTTACGGATGACGTAATGTCTGTTGGCGGGAAAATTCGACTCTAAAGCGAGTCTGCTGTTTGCGGGTATTTTTTTTTTTTATAAATTTTTGAGGGACTCGATTTGTATAACAGCAACGTCCATACTATACTATATTATCGCCGTCGTGGTAGTAATATACGTAATAATATGCAAAACCGCGTCCTCGAGAAACGCCGGTTACACGGCGATAATATTACGACTATCGATGACCGAGCATCGCGACGGCGAGACATGTGGTCGAAAAATAACCGACGGTTTTTTTTTTCCGTTTATCGTACGCGAACTGTGACGACTTGCGCGCGTTCTTTGTTTTGACGGGCACTCTGTGCGGTGGCGGCACGCGTCCGTGTCCGAGTCCTCCGGGCGATCCGACGGGCCCGAATGAGACGTCATCGTCGCGCGGGCTCGTCTTGGTCGGACATTTCGTACGCGCACACACAATTATTACAACGCGTATATTCGTTCAACGGTACTCATACTAAAAGTTATCGTTTTTTTTTTTTTTTTTTTATATATCCAGCGGTTTTCTTTTCTTCTTTCTATGACGTTTCATTCGACTCGATCGTTTTTCTCAAGGTAAAAAAAAAAAAAAATAAATAAATAAAACCCGGACGGGAACGTAGGTCGAAAGTATAATATACGCGTGCATAATATTATACAGTCCTCGGGAGTTATTGAAATTCACGACGCACAATATTATCGCGGCGACCGTCGACGCCGTAAATCCGCAGTAGAGTTTTTGTTTGTTTGACGCACGGCCGCGGAGCTTATTACAATAATATATTATAATACAATATGATCGGTGCCTAACGCATTCGTGCGCGATGAATACACGGTAAAATCTTACACGGAGACCCCGGTGACGGTGGCGTGGGGGGAGGGTGGTGGTGGTGGTGGTGGTGGTGGTGGTGGTAGCGGTGGTGAAATCCCGAGTTCTAAACGTGTGCGAGACGCGCGCGGCGCGTACGAGAGATTTCTAAACGGCCGTAATAATAAACGGTCGCGTATAATAATACATTACGCGCGCATGTTATGTTGTGCGACACCCTGTCGATAATTCGCGACGACGACGACGACGACTGGGCGACGCGCAGACGGAGAGAGACGCAAGCCCGCGGGCACAGCGCTAATATACGGTTTTCTCGTGTATATATATATATATATACGTATATTGAACTTGTAATAATATTTATTATGTATTTGCGTCGTGTACGCGGGTCAGTGTTTCGCATACATTTCGCATTATACTGTGCGCCGAGCGAGCGCTATGGGATTCGGCCGGCCGCGCGCTCGTGTGGGGGCTGATTTAATGTCCGTGCGTACGTATATTATACTACAGCACTTTGTTTTGTTTTTTTTTTTTGCGCGCATGAATTTTATAGCCCGTGTACCCGTAACAAATTGGCGTTGTACACGATCGTCGTCGTCGTCGTATATTCGCGCGGCACCTGTAATAATAATGATACGACCGCCGCGGGTAATTTCGTATTCAGAGGGCGTCCGGTCGGGACGTCGTCGTCGTCGTCGTCGTCCGACACCGTCGCGGCGTGTCCTCCGAGACCCGTGATGCTGTGTCTGCGAGCGGTCCGGTCTATAGAGAAGATTCGTGTAGTAATAATAATAATACGACGACGACGACGACGAGACCGTAACGCGTCGGAATTGATTACCGCGCGCCGGCTAAGAACGCGCAAACTCCTATCTCCGACGCTCTTGTCTCAGCGCGGCACCGGACACTACTTATAGGTATACACGTAATATATTTGTTCGTCCTTAGCGTTCAACGTTCGTGTTATTATATTATTATTATTCATTAACCGTCTCAGTCACGGCCGGCCATAGCCCGTCTGGAACTAATTATTGTCCGCGGTGTTATAATTTTTCATATAAAACCTACACCGGTGTGTGTATTATCCCTCGGGGGTCTATTGAATATTATCATTATCATTATTATTATTATTGTTGTATTATTCGTACGGCGGCGATACGCATAATACGGGCCGCCGTTCGACGGTCGCGGTGGTGGAAGACCAGCGTGCATCACCGGTCGTTTTCTATCCGTCTTTTGAACGGGGGTGTGGAGGTGGAGGGCGCCCCGTGAATCGGGTTACCTATTTTATTTTTAACCCGTGCTCCGTCCACTATACATAGTAAATAATATTTTATTATACACGATATACGGTGTCGTTGCCGCGTCTCGGTATAGGTATCTTTATATACCTACTAATAAACAGGTGGTGCACGGGCGCGGACGTATATTGTAATAGTATAAGAATAAGAAGAGAGAGAGAGAGAAAAACCCTCTAATATACCTACGCGGACAGATTGTGTTTTGATATCGTACCGCGACGACGACGATGAGTATGCGCGTTTAAGTCTCCGCGCGGCGGGCCGTTGCAGTCGAAACGAGTTCAATAATAACCGACCCGCAATCGTTTTTCTTTACCGTGGAGCGGGACACGAGCGATACACACACACACACATATTATATTTATATATATTGTATACAGGGTGATTCGAATATAGAATATTTTTCTGGACAATTTTGAATCGTATGATATATCGCCACCTGTTTAATTATATCGGCGTTTTTCGGTACAGATATTCCGGGAGCGGGTCGGGTTGAGCTTAAAAATAAAGAACATAGCAGAACTCTCTAATATCTATTTAAGGGTTAAATCTCTAAAGAAAACTATATTTATATCGTGTACTATCTATCGTCATGTATAGAAAATAGAGACACGTATTCGCCGACTGAGGTCCGCGATATTTTTCCGCGGTTCCGAACTGATAACGACCGCTAGCCAGTTTATTTACATTTTTGTGTACGATGATCACTAGAGTTGTTCCGTGTAGATTATTTGTAAACAAATCGGATACCGAAAGTATCGGCCGAATAATAATACCTATAGAACCGTGTCTGTCTCGGGTACAGACTAATATAGCAATATAATATCGAGACACCGGGAATTGTGTAATTTTGTGACATTCAAGATTCGAGTACTTAAATAAGAAAATATCGAAGTGTCTGCTTATACACGTGCACTGTCGCGACTATAGGGATTCAGGAACCTAGGCGCCGGTCAAATTTTGGGGCGCCTGTGTCTAAAAGAAATTTTGTATTAGGGTAACTCCCATAAAATGAGGCCGCTTTAAGGGTACGGTGTACACCTAGTATTCCCATTGCATATATACGTGTACGAAAATTATATATAGGTTACATATTCCTCGCCGACGATAAAAATCGACGTCGACGGTTCATGGTTTCATCGTCTATATAATTATTATGATAGTATCACGAATCGAAATATTTCATCCGGCTAGTTTCCGTAACACGACGCGGATTATTATAATCGCGTACACATTCGGTTCCCGTGATAATAATAATATTATAACATAAGAATCGCCCTGTATAATATAATGTATATTATATCGTTTGTTGTCGTTAAAATATTAGGCTCGGGATCATTAGGCTGTTTCGTTCCGTCGGCCCGCGCCGTCTCTTCCATGCCTGTACAATATAATATAATATTTTCCTTCACGGTCGGCCGAAACAATCCATTAACGCGCGAGCCACTATATTACATATTATTATTATTATTGTATATGTACGAGGTACCACCGCCATCACAGTAATCCGACCCGCGGGGGCCTCCTTCGGTTTGACGACACAAAACGAGAGAATCGGGAGAAAAAAATTACCTACCTGCAGTGTATACTGCGTGTGTACGCCGCCCGAAGGCTAATGGACATATAGCGACTCCGGCGGCGGCTTGTGGATTTTGTGTATTATTATCGTCGTTATTATCATGTGGTACGGGCCGGAAACGAAAATGAATTTGTTTTCGTCGGGTATATGCTCAGTGATACGCCACTCTACACAAACACAATAATAATAATATATAATATTATATAAAACGTACGACGGCGGTCATCCGTCGGACGTAATTTTACGTTCTTATAGTTTATTATATTCTATTACCGTTGAGGTTTTTTTTTTTTGTCGTCCGTCCGTCTTCGTACGCTTAAATGCCATTCGCGAAATCCTCCGGGACCACAGGTTACGCCCGCGTGTTTCTTCTGGATTCCTGACAATTTTCGCGGGGGTAGGGGGAAACCCCGACAGTCAAAACCTGAAAGCTCAATTTTAAAATTTTTACGCGGAGCCGGATTTTTATTTTTCCCGTTTGTTTCTGTAATCCCGATGTTATACCTCGCGGCGGACTTAACGCCTACGATAACGGCGCCCGTCCGACATCCATGACAACGCTATGTATTGTTATAGATTTATTTTTTTTATGCAATATAACGGATTATTTACCTATACTCTACCTACTCTGCGACGGTTTCGAAATCCCGCCGACGACCGTCGTCGTATAGGCGGTATTGTCGACCAACATATTATACGATGTGCGCGCGCAATGTGAATATTATTTTCTAAAAGCGGCGGGCGTGAGGGTTGCGTTCGTGTATTAAATGCGTGTATGTATTTATGACGCAGAGCTAGGATATAGCGATTGTTGCGCAAACCCTCACGAACCCGAGCGGTAAAAAACGATGCGTCGCGATTACAATAATATTATATATAATATAATATGTAGAAAAGAAAAAAAATGGAAAATATAATAACAAGAGAGACGGAACGAAGTGGTTACGGACGGAGAGAGACGGAGAGAAATGCGCGAGTTGCCCGCAGGTGATCCGCTGCCGCCGCCGCCGCCGCCGCGTGTATAAATACGCGCGCGGTAAGGTTCTCGGCGGCGGCGGCGGCCTGGAACCGGTCGACCGAATCCGAATATTATGGTCGGAGATACGATCTGGTTTTTGTTTTTTTTTTTTTTTTTTTGTTCTAAACAATATTTCCAGTGGTCTTCGTCTTGCCCTCCGCGCCCGACCCTCGTATAATAATATTTTATTTATCTCGGCATCTCGTGACCGCTCCTTGTCCACAACGCTCGCGCGCGCGCACATCACACACGGCACACGTATAGGTATATACCAGACGAACGTGCTCCGGGCGGCCGATATACGTATACCTAGGTATATGTATGTAAAAAAAAAAAACATAAACGCGAGAGGATATATTATATTATATTATTATTATATCTCGACACACACACGTATATATATACACACACACACGCTTAATATACCGTCTTGTACATTGTTCTTGGTCGCGGTGGTGTATACCACTACGCTCACCGCGGTATCTCCGGTATCTGGGTGTATCTTCTTCGTCCGCCCGGCGCATCCCACGCGACCGTGCCCGGTCGACTATACGCTCTTTTACTATTAATATTATACCGCCCTATCCCTCTATGTATACGTGTATTATCCATCGCCTAAACTATTTGGTTGCCCCGCAAAGAACCCTATGAACTGAGCTTAAGCCGCCGAATTTTCGCTCGGGGCTACCACTTCCCCGGCTTCCGTCTATGCGCTGGTAACTCACCGTCGTCGTGGATTCATCCTCCCCTAGTTTTTCTTGGACAGTACCATCTCCGTCCGCAAACTACCGTCTCCCACAGCCACGCCCATTTGCCTATCAACATAATTACCTCGTCTCCAACCGCATATCCCGAAAATCCAGCTACTCGCCATAGCTATCATATAGACTAGGTAGGCTCTTATACATTCATTCCAAATCCTATTTTACTCAACCTATAAATCTGGAACTTATTCAATGTGATATTTTCTTCTTGATAACAGCATACTTTCAAAATATAAGTCATTCGGTTTTTTAATGTTCCCCGTTTGTTGTTTTGTGTTCTAGTTGCACGGGAATGTTCGTCGGACCATACTGCCAATGGAAAAACCCATGCAACACGGGTCCCGTGCCCAGGTGTCAGAATGGCGGCACATGCGCCGTCACGCAACTGTCGCCCCATTCTCCGCCCGGTTTCTCGTGCCAGTGTCCGTTGGGATTCACCGCGTCCCTGTGCGAGATACCCATTTCGAACGCGTGCGACTCGAGACCGTGCAAGAACAGCGGCACGTGTTGGCTGCACGACATCAAGGAACACCGGTGCAACTGCGCCCCCGGATACACAGGTAAACACCGCCGACGATGACCGTCGATTTTGCGCAGCGACGAGCGCGGAGAATGCAGAATCGGTAGTACACCACTCGGGATATTAATAACGAGAACTAGGGGGGAGAAGGCAAGAGAAATGCGTGTTTTTTTTTAAAGACTCAATGAAAACGTCGAAGGGGAAAAAAAATAACGTTTCCTCGTCAAGCGTTTTCCGTGAGCATAGGACGACGGTATAATATTATTATAACCGTGGCCGGTCGGTCGGATATGGATAATATTCGTTGCCATCGTTGACTCGCAATAAAAAATAAGTACCGACTAGGGATAGAGAGAGAGAGAGAGGAAAAGCATTCCGCAAATACGTCTTTTTTCTCGCATCGCGACGGCGGCGGTAGAATGTCGTGTGCAACGTTTTATTGCGTGGCGGCGAGCTAACAAATTGTACGTGTATATACAACGTCGTTACGCCTCCGCCGTGTTATATCGTTGGTCATTCTTCTCGGATTTTTTCCACCTTTTTTTTTTTTTTACCGTTTTTTCTTCTAATCGCAAATTTCCTCTTGTGCGCTTAACCGCGATCTCGGCAATCCGCGATGTAATCGATGACTTCCACGATCGTGTGTACGCGCGCGCCACGAAAACGTTACGTGGCCGGTATACACAGCATGTACAACGCGATTGTGATTATTCCGATCGACCGAACAATTATGTCGTTAAAAAAATATCGCTTCTCCCGGTGTGATAAGAAACACGACCTCAAAAAAAAAAAAAAAATAAAATAAAAAAAAAAACGTATTATACTGACTATCAGAATTTGATTTTAATATTATATTCTCGGTGAGAATTTAATGCCAACGAATCGATGGCCTCGTTGTATAGACAAGACTATCGAATTTTCCACTACGAAGTACGATCTACCCGACGTGGCCCATTACCCCTACCTTTATTTACACCCGATCTGGTTTACCAACTATTGATAAATCGATTTGTATGTTTGTAAGTTGTTTTATACACGGTTCTCAATTTTTCGGCCGTTTTATTATTTATATTCGTATCACCCGGGAAGTGTTGGGTGTATAATGTACATTATTAGTTGTTAGACATGCCCCGTGTAGTTGCTGGACCTGAGCCCACAGCATTCGGAAGGTTTTGATTTGACGCCCTGGAGGGTCGGGATTTTTTCTTGGAAGGTCTCGGGACGGCCATCGGTAGAAAATTTGTTTGAAAATAAATAAATTCGCTTTTAGCGACGGTTCTCGGTCCGTTCCTGTCCGGTAATCGTTTCTCCCGGTGCATTTTCCGCAATCGATTTCCTATATAACATTCAATTGCGACGAAACCGACGACGGGCATCCGATTTTTCGATTTCGATCTATTTTTTTTACGCAGTTTATCGCGCTCGCATTTCGGTGCGTATTATCTTATATTTTATTTTTTCTAGTGCAGTTTCGTTACAATAAAAAGTCGCTGCACGCGCGCTTTCTCTCCGACGGAAGAAAAAAAAATTATGCAGGTATACACAGGGTATTCACGTGTTCTTCGGCGCATTCGCGAAACGCCGAGCTCTCCGATCCCACAGAGCCTTGCATACAGTATATTGTTAATCCGCCGGCATGTAACCGGATATAATATAATTATATCGGCTAGGTTTACCGGCACTCAATTACACAATATGTTTCCGAGGACATATAAATATACCGTGTGTGTGTGTGTGTGTGTGTGTGTGTGCACTTGATAGATTCGTATAGAACAATATCGTGACGGTCGTTTATAAACGCCCGCTGCTCTAATATTTTATTCCGCCTGGTCTCTTCGTACACGCGCAAATTTTCGTTATTATTTCCCTTTATTTGTTGTATTCATACGATGAAGGCGATGTGGAATACTTACCAACCTATATAGACCGAGGAAACAGCTGCATGACGATTGGTGTTAACTGTGTAGAGACATTTCGGAGGACTAGAATCCTAGAACAACTGTATGCTGTGTGGACCGAGCATTCGATTCCATTCCCCCGCCTCCCACGACAACTAAATATCGAGCGAGAGAGATAAAAATAGTAGTTTGTCGGGTTACGGGAAGTGGATATTGTAAATTATATTATTGCATCCATTTCTTTATTCCGTCTATAGTGTTATAATTATTAGAGTTCGGATTTTTAAGATAAAAACACTTGAAATATGGCGATAATATTCTAAAAAAACTTCTAAATTCAATAAAAAATTTAAAAAAATATGCAAAAAACAATTAATAAATCCACAAAATAACGGAAAAAACCTTATTTCTGTAAACTTAAGTGTTGAATAACCGTCCACATTTTTACTCTCATAAAACTGTATAACATCATATTGGGTAATGCCGAAAAAAACGCATTGTACAAATTCGGACTCTATATTTGGTTTACATTATTATATAACATATATAAATTCTACAATGTTTGTATAAATACGTTTCGAAAGATGAAAATTCCAAATGTATTTTTTTTATACATTTTTTTTTTCTTATTTTCTCTTTCGCAGGACCCAATTGCGAGCTGGAAGACCATTGCGCTTCGGGACCGTGCAAAAACGGAGCCGAGTGCACGTCCAAAGACGATTCGTACGAGTGCACGTGCGCCCCGGGCTTCACGGGCACCACGTGCTCCGAAGACATCGAGGAATGTTCGACCACCGAACCCTGCGTTCACGGACAATGCGTCAACACGCACGGATCGTACGCGTGAGTATAAAATAATATATAGATATATATTTTTTTATTTTATTGAAATTATCCGTTATTACCGTTTTCGAAAACATAGAATTACCCGATAACGTACCACGCCGCCGCCGGCAAAGACGTTTCGCAAGCGGTTTGTATACGCTGTTGGAATTTTTTTTTCGAAATTAAATCGCGACCTCTGTCATGCACGTGGTTTGTGTTCGATCGAGTGTAATGGTCGCGTCCGAAAAACGATTCCGACCCATATCTGTGTGCGAGTGCTGCAGTTATAAAACAAACTAACCCGAAAAAACAGCAATTTGGACCGTTTTTCGGAACCCCCTCGATCCTTTGATCCCGCAAAAAAGACTTATTTTTCAAATGGCCCATGACATGTAATTATATATAAAAAATACCAACAATACCGACTTGTTCTCTTCATGTAAATACCAAAGGTATACAATGCCTACTGTGTATACAGTTACAAAATTTAACATTGAAAATTCGACCGGTTGGTAAAGTGAAAAAAAAAAGCCTACGCGTCGTTTTCCGGTGCTGTATTTAATTGAGTGTAATATTATTATAATTAGAGCCGAAAACTTTTACGGGGCGATGACGACCCGTAGGAAAACCGGATTACTACTATGTAACATACATTTTTATAGGCGTATAACATAACTTCTCTCGAAACTCGGGGGTTGGGGAAGGGGGGAAATCGTATAGACGAAACACGCTCCGGTGTGTGTAATATGTGTATAAAAAAAAATATATACGTATATACATAAAAAAAAAATCCAATGCACGCAAACGGACGGCGGCCCATAATTTTTAAGTCGTCCGCGGACGTGTATAATTATTTCTTTTCCGTAGGCGTTCTCGACCGTATAACTGCATAATGATCCGCGCGAGCGAGTAATAATATTGTACAGATATATTTTTATACACAATTTTTTATTATTATTTTTATTTTTTTTTTTACTTTTTTTCCATCTTCCGAAAACAATACTCACGAGCTCGCGCGCACACACGCCCGCGATATGCGCACCCGAGGAAAAACGTAATAATACGAAAAAAAAAAAGTAATATTTTTTACCGCACGCGGTAGTATTGTACCGCGTATACATTATATAGTGAATAATACAATATGCGCGAATCGCCCGCAGGAAATCCGAATGATGGCCAATATTATAATAATATTATATTATAACAACAGCGATGGCAATAATAATAATACGAGTACAACAAGATAAAAATAAAAAAAAAAATACCGATAGGGCACGCGATCCCGTCGTCGTCATCCACGCACCGACTTCGGTCGTCCCGCAATCTTTTACACGCACGCGTTACGGTCCACCGGACTTGGCGGTATGTAATATTATCATTATGTTGTTTTTTTTTTTTTTGTGCGATATGCTTGAAAATATATCGTCGTTTTTTTTTACGGAAATCATGTCGATTTTACTTGAACATTTTTTGGACTTTGAAGGATGCCACGCTTGGATCTATTGTTAAACGGCGCGACGTGGCTGATTTTCGTTTAGCAACGACGACTTTTTCCTGTCACTGTTTTTATCACTCCCGTGAACTTACCAATTCTAAAAGTTCAATGATAAGAACATTAACTGCGCTAATTTTTCGAATGGTTTAATTTTTAACAGATATATGAGTCTGCGAAATTTAAAAACGCTTACATGAGTCTCGGTTGAAAATTATGATATTGAAAAAAAACACCCACGCAGTTGCACAGACAATTTTCTTATCTTTATTTAGTTTGTCAATAGATAGATGCAATCTAACATTAAAACTGACAAGGACAAATTAGTAGCACCTGCTGAACGAAAAAAATGATGTATATGTTAGTAAGACGGAGACAGCATAATATGCGGGAGTGGCGTCCACTTAACGGGCGATTACGGATGAAATCTCCTGATTTGCTATAAGTTCGAGAATCCGAAATTCGAAATTTATTTTAAATCCGATTTTAAAACTATGTATATAGTAGCTGATTTAAGATTCTTGTAATACATTAAAAAAAAAAAATAATAATAATAAATCAATTATACATATATTCGTACAATTCACATTTGACATTTAGCTTAAAAAAAAAAACCAACCAGAAACCCGAATTATTGTGAAATCTGAAACCCGGATTTGTGTCACGTCTCATTATAATATTATTACAGTATATTCACGATTTTTTACATTTAATTTCCTGCATTTGTTAAGATTTTTGAAGACGACGATTATTCAGTAAAAACATAATATTTTTCGTCGCGTTTTAACTCTCTTCTAACCCGATGCACAATGTGGATTACGTCAAAAGATGGCAAAAACAGTGCTTAAAAAATGTTACTCTGTCTTATCATATATTATTATGTAATTTGTAGAGAAGTTTATATACTGCATTTGAAACCGGTTTAAAGCACGCGGTGTTGCTTAAATAATTGATCCAGTTGGAACGGCAGTAACATGAGTTTCGGTAGACTCTTTAATTATAACATACAATAATAACATCATAATGTATAACTAAATTTGTAAAGTTATAATTTTTTTGTTATAAATTCGCGATTTTAACGTTTACCGATTTCAAGTTATCATTGCAAGTTAAATTAACTACAGGTCAGTTTGCGAAAATTGTTGTCATTCGGAGTAAATGTTCACAATAATGTCACTAATACGTTCGTTGTTATCAATAATTATTATTTTAAATAACCGTTTAACAAACCGCAATGTACCGAACGTTCGGAAATCGGTTCCGATTATAAAACCTAATAAAATATTTACGATACCAGAATGATTAAAATTTCCCAGCAATAAATATATAAAACGTGAATAAACTTATTATATATTTATTGAAATTTTTTTTTTTTTTAATTGTATTTTATACGTATCAATTTGTACATTTGTGTTTGACCTGGGAACCAATTCCGTAGTTCATCTTTTCCCCGCCATAATCGATTATTGTGATTTTCAACACCGTAATTCGGCTATTTGCATTCACACATGAAAACAATTACAAGACCCAAAAAAAATCTTTATCATCGATGTATGTGTATACGGTTTTAACAGACATTGTGGTAATTTCTTTACATTATATACTTTTGTATACATAATATGTAAGAAAAAAAAACGTCTTAAGTATCAATGAGCACAAAAGTAAAAATCTTTTTATACCGTTTCTATCAGTTTATAATTTTATAATATAATATACAATATTATTATATTGTGCACGTATCGAACACAAGTCATAAGGTCAGTTATACATTATGTGAATGTTATTTTTAACATTTAAAATTTCACACATAATTTGATAGTAATGGTTATTATTTTTTGAAATATTCCGATTTTTCGTTATTTCGCGATGTACAATTTTACTGCGAATTATAATAGTCGGAAGCCTATAATATTGTTTCGGTTCGATGTAAACTGTAAATTTGTCGATATTTTTCCCCATTTCGTGTAAAAAGCTTCTGGCGCAACGTAACGAATCCGTACGATCAGAATAGATTTTCAAATGGTTGTATAGATAGTTCAAAGATGATTTTTCGCTGAAGGTTCTCTCGTTTGTTAAACCGTGTTAACTTCGGTCGTTACCCGCCTTTGGTTGATCAACTGTATTACGTGTTTCCCCGTCCGAATAGGGTCATATATTAGGTGATACAAGTTTTACACAAAAAAAAAAAAAACCCGCGAAAAAAACCGGTAGACATCGCCGTCGTGGGACAATCGACTCCGCGTATCATAATAATAGTACATTTTGTATAAATGTTGTGCGGTTTAGAAAAAAAAAATTTGTTTACTTTGTTTGTCATATTATTATTATAATATACACGAAAAGATAAGAAATAGTCGCCCACGCTAAATTTGGCGTACATACACACTCACACACACACGCACTACACAATACTGTACAACTATGTACTATATAGTTTGTGTGCGATAATTTTTTTATTTTTCATTTTTTTTTTATACGCACCATTCCATTTTTCGGTTCACACGATTTTTTTTAGTAAGAAACCAACCATTCAGGGCGGCCGCCGCCCGCGTACACAATTGGCCTATTGTCTTTTGGGTCCATGTTGTTTTATCATCATAGTATATATATATGTATAGTATAATATACTGTGTACTTATACAGAAAAAAAAAACATCGTCTACCAACAATGAATAATTTGCCTCAGAATAGAAAAATAATACGGACAAAAATTCTTTCTAAAATACACTCAACGCCGGATTTTGCAATAGTACGGTGTTAGGAAAAAAAAAAAAAATAAAAAATTACAAGATATTCTTATATTAATTGTTACGTCGTTAATAAGTCGAGAAAAACTACACCACGTTATGTTGTTATTATTGTTATTATTATTATTATGATTATCTTGTTAACGTGTTAAGAATTTCTTCGTTTTATGTATACCAACCTATTGTTCTATTACCACGTTAATTATAATACAGTATAATATACTTACGATGAGAATTTAATTACATTATTATTCTCATTTTACGCCGAACACTTTTTTCGAAAATAATTAGAGAGTTATTCGGATCTCGAAGTTAATATTGGATTTTAGATTCTGAGTGAAGCGAGGATTGTACGGGGTTTTCTGTAATGTGGTTTTTTTTTGTGCAAACAATTTTTTATACCAGAAATCGTATATACTTTACCGGAACTTTCTTGTAGCATTTTCGATCTATAGTTGGTGGTAGGTTGAAAAGGAAAAAAAACGGGTATTTTTTGTTAATTTCTGAATCACCTTAACAACAAGAGAACAATTACGGTTTAATATTCTGCTAAGAATCGTTTTTCGCTAGCAATCACTAACGATTAATGGTTTATCGTCTACAAATATAAATTAAATTACTCTATTTATCTTTCATCTAATTTGTCCTATTAAACAATCGATTCATCAACAGGATCAGTCTTTATTACGATTTTGTTTCAAAATGTTTGAAAATTGAACTCATTTGAAAATCTAATCCATTGTTAATGAAAACGCGACGATGAGAGCACTGTGGTCAGGGTAACGTAGGCTATAGACACATTTATAATAAAATAATGGACACAACATTCAATCTTGCCGCAAGCAAATGTAGTTTTTTTGGTTATTTGGGATAAATATTTACAATATTGTCACTGATATGAAACGAGTTTTGTACATAACCGTATTAACCGTGCATTAACCGTACATTAAAAGCCTTATTCTGTTTTTCTTTCTCATACCCGAAAAAAGAACGCCATTTGAAATCGATAAAGACTTGTTTTTTTCATTATTTTTTTATCTATGGTTAGACTAGCCTTACCAGGTTCGTCGGATAAAACTAATAATGATTAAAATTTGTTATGTTATCAATAATTATTATAAAAAAATATCGTTTTGTTTCAAACCGCAATGTCCTGAACGTTCGGAAATTATTCCCGATTATAAAACCCTAATAAAATATTTGTGATACCGGAATTATTAAAATTTTCTCTGTAATAAATAAATAAAACGTGAATAAATTTATTGTATTTATTTAAACGTGTTATTATTATTTTTTTAAATTTTATTCTACGTATCAATTTGTACGTTTTTGTTTGACCTGGGAACCAATTTCGTAGTTGCCCTCTTCGAATATAATCGATTATTGTGATTTTGAAACATCGTTATTCAACAATCTGTATACTCACACACGTGAAAATAATAGTAAGGTCCGTTCATAAAATATCTTTACTATTTAGGTATACGGTTTTAACATATATTGTGGTAATTTCTATACATTATAACCATAGTAAAAAAGAAAAAAAAACGTCTTTAAGTATCAATGAGCACAAAAATAAATACCTTTTTATACTGTTTATCCGTATGTAATATAATGTACAATATTATTATATTATATTGTGTACGTATCGAACACAAGTCACACGGAGACGATTGTAAGTCAGTCATAAAGTGATAAATCGGAATCGAGTCCGTGTGAAACGGCGAATTATCCTTTTTTTTTTTAATGCTCCGAGTGTATAAATGTATATATTATATTATCGTCGTTATTATTATTATTATTATATACCTGTACGACTTATATAAACTCGTATTACTGGTTTCAGGTGTATTTGCGAACCTGGTTACACGGGCAAAAACTGCGAGATGGTGTACGTCCCGTGTGATCCGTCGCCGTGCGCCAACAGCGGCAGGTGCGTGCAGATCGACGATCTCAATTACGAGTGCCAGTGCAAGTCAGGTAATTATTGTTATCGGTCTCGGTCAAAATATTACGTTATAACGATAATTATAACAAAAACAACAACAATAATATTTATGTGTATATGTGAGTTATGACACCGCGAGGTAACGAAATACGAGTACATATAGGTATCGCCGTTGACGAACCGTCTGAAACCGATGAGACCCATTATAATGTATAACCCGACCTCTGTACAATAATATTATGTTATTCGCCTCCCCGGGTCGACGGGGAATACGCGCACTCAAAAAGCGCATCCGCGATATCGTATTCGTCCGGTTTATCGCGATGATCCGGATTTTTTGCGTTCAAAGTCCGTGAGAATCCGGGAAAAACTTTTAAAGTGTCCTGCACGCATCACGAATCGAATTATATATTTATGAATTTCGGACTGCATTGACCGAGAGATTGGCCTGAAAAAAAATACACTGCATAATATAGGAATCCGGATTCTGCTTGTTTAACACTACGACGATTGGGCATAAACACTATTTACATTTACATTTTGTGTTCGCCTAGAAAGACTACTAGTGTTCTCAAAAATCTAAACTGTCGGGATAACGAGTTATTCACTAATTGAATAATCAATAATTTTTTCTCGCTTTTTTTTTCTGTATTTATTTTTATAGTATTAATTAGCATACAAAATATATTTGAAAATTTAATTTCGTATACTTAATCAATATAACAACTCTATTGAAGAAAATCCATTTAAGTTTAATATTCAATAAACAAGAAGACGTAATAACAGCTAATACATATAGTATACAAATTTCCAATGTTCAACGTAACTATAATAGAATATTACTAATAAATAATAACGTGACTTGTATTAATACATAATTAAATTAAAAGAATAGTGTACACTTGTATTTAATTTTAAGTATTTTCATAAGCGTTGCGTTTAAAACAAAAAGAAAAAAAAATGTCATTAAGTATCATTTCGAACGATTTGAAAAACTGGCAACCCTATACGCGTATAATATATTGTACACGACGATTTTTCGGTCGATACGACACATTTTGAAATCGATTTTCTAAGCATTTTTAGCGGTTTTTTTACGGCTGTACGATCTGGAATTCTCCGTTTAAAATACACCGCAGTAATACGGGAAACGTGCCATTTAAAAAAAATAAAAAATAAAATATGATGTATCCCGCGGCCTTATCACGCAGAGACGCCGTATCGCTGGCGCCTTTGGATGTTTGTGATATTCACATCGAACTAAAAAAAAAAAAAACAAAACAAAAACAACATGTAGATTCGATAACATTATTATTACATGTGGTATAATTATTTTTATCCGAGCGGCTTCCGGTCGGCGGTCGTATTTTTAATTTCTAATCGCCAATAAATACGTGATATTGGTCGGAAGTCGCCGGTGGTGTGCGTATTGTGCGGTTAACGTTTTTATCTGTGCGGCGAACGGTTTCGTGGGAAATATTTTGGAAGCCGGTTGGCTATCGCGCACTCTCGGACGCCACTCCATGGGAATCGATAAGATGACATTTTCGGTGGCGCCAGTGGTGGGAGGCCATTTCCCTGCAATATCTATACGAGATTGACGAGTTTTTTTTTTTTTTTTTAAATTTGTTTTTTGTACATCCGCGATAGCTCGATTGCTTAACAATGTATAAAAATATAGACACTTATTGCTACCCGCCGTACAATACAATAACCTAATACAGCGCGGTTCAAAAGTCTTTATCCGATAACGTAATCGAGCTACTGCAGTCGATCGCACGTTCGGAAAGATTATCGATTCTATTGGCGAGTTATTTAAGACGGAGCACCGCGGCCGTGGAATTTAGAATTTTGTCCGGTCAAACAACGGACTCTCTTAATGGCGGCGACGGTAGAGCCGGTGGACGGTTTGACGATATTCGACTTGGTCGATCAGAATCGTTCGAGAGTAATTCGAACACCGTTTAGCCGATGGCCAGCGACCAGTGGCGATTGTAATGATGTCGAACATTAATATTGTAACACATCATTATATGTGTATACAATTCAATTATCTGCCGCTCAGAATCGTTTTTCGTTAGCGACGGTTTATCGTTGTGTAAATTAAAGTGTCGGCCCTTTTTTTTTTATACTTTGCCTTCGCTTCCGTGTCATCGTCGTTTTTAGAAATGGATACGAATTTTTCGAAAATCGGACTTTCGGACCGCGCTGCGTCATACATATTAATAATACCCGTGCAGCGACTCGTTATTATCGTTTGACGACGTCGACGACCCCGAAAACCGGGAACAGTAATAATATACAGGCACGCGTATTTTTTTTTATTTATTTACGTGTCAACGACTATAAGATTCCGGTGCTATAACCGTGGCGTGGGCGTTTTTCAGGCGGAATATTTCCCATGATAAACTGTAATGACGAATATGTGACAGTGGTGCACACAAAATGCTGCACAATCGGACGCCGAGATAGCCCGCCGCGATTGTAATATTTATTGTAATATTTTAAATCTAATCACTCGCGTACAAAGGCGATTCGTTGGTCGTCGTCGTCGTCGTCGTCGGAGCAGGAAACGTTTTTATCACGCGTCGTCGCGGCCGTGTTTTGACTGTGTACCCCGACGATTAATGACTTTTTACTGGCGTAAAAGAAATACAAATGATACAAATAGACCGACACTTAATCATGGCTGACGGGCGCGTGCCTGCGTTGTTTTTGGAGGAGACGGCCGACGCGCGAGTAAATAATTCAATTTGTATATCCGCGCGCAACGATAAACCGTCTGGTCAACAAAAAACGATTCCGAATATTATTATAGCATCGTGTTAATTCTTTCGTCGCCAATGTTTAACCGCGCGCGTGTAATATCGACAAACATTGTTGCCCGGTTCCGCCTGTCGCCCATAAACGGGAAAAATGTTTTCCGAATCGAGGAAAACTCGTTTTTCCCATAATAGTATATTACATACGCGTTTTGAAATCGTACACCACGAACACTTGGCCGAAACGAAACATTGATATTGTCCGCACAGCGCTTTGTAGTATAATTAGTGTACCTATACCGTAGACGCATCATTTCGTAAAAAAAAAAAAAAAAAACTAACTAACGGTACCAACACCGGGTAGAATTTTAAATAAATCTCCCGCATTGTCGGGCGGCGCTGTTACAGCGAGGAGCGCGCCCTAAAAATCAACGCCGCGAGTGTCGTCGCTTCCGCCGGTCGGTCGAAATTATCTCTCTTAACGCGTGGCGGCGTCGTCTTCGCGCGCGTTCCCAATAATAGGTACCCGCGGGTAAATAATAATAAATGATCGATGATCGATCGACGCGATCGAATCCCCCGCGTCATCGACGTACACACCTCGTCGAAACCTTTCGGCGGCCCGCGTGTAATATTTTATTTTAATAATATTATTATCGTCGTCGTCGTCGTCGTCGTGTGATACGATATTATTACGCCGCGGTCCGTCTCACGAAACGCGTTCGCGTATCACGTCGCATCTCCTGCGCGGGCTGTCGACGGCACCGGACGACGACGTTATTAAGCCGTTCGTCCGCCGCCGCCCATTTCGCCGTCGTGTCGGGCCGTTCTAACGGATCGCTTTGGCTCGGCGAACACATCACACGCGCGGGCGCGCGCGCGCGTATACGTTTTTTCCCTCCGTCCCCCCCCCCCTACCCTTCTCCGCTTATGATATTATAATATTCGTCCGATTCGACTCGCCGCCGAGTTTTACGATTGCGATAATCGTGACCGCGGAGAATAATCTATACGTGCGTACATGCATATATATCATAATATTAATATCCGCGCGGTGTATAATAATAATAATAATAATAATAATCGCCATTTTTTTTTTTTTTTTCTTAAATACTACACATAATATTATAGGCACCACTCTGGTCGCCCGACACCCTGACGTACGTAACGGTACGCGTCGGACCGCCGCACGTCTTTTTCTCGTCGTGTCACTGCGGTATTATTATTATTATTATTATTTATTGTGTGATACGCGCGTCGTCTCGTCTCGTCTGCCTGTCGTCGAAAGCGCGAGATTTGCGCGTGTGAACGGGAAAAAAACCGAAACAAAAAGAGGAAAAAAAAACCTAAACCAAATCCGTCGGACGGATTTCCATCGGCCGCATAATATATAATAAAGCGGCGGACGTTTGCGGGCGGGCGAATCGATTAAAATACCGATTTTACGGTATCGTTCCGTATAACCGCGCGGACATACCGGAGAAAAACGCGCGCGCGCGCACACCCGGTGCAGGAGGACACGCACACCGGTTTTGTGCGGTGGGCCCACCTGCGCGGCGACGACGACACGCCGACCGATGTTCGCGTGTCGACGCGCCGAGTATTGTGTCGATCGAGTCGATAATTATTATTATACAATCGCAAATAATAATAAATAACAATAATAATATCGCAGTCGCCAGAACGCGGAATATCTCTGGCGACGCGATTTTTCGCGACTTTCTTATCGGACAGCAAACGAACCGAGTCCCCGGGGGAAGTGCGGGCTCGTAGGCGCAACTAGAACACCGACACAGGTCTCGATTAAAAACGCGAATTAATGCGTACCTACACGGAATCCGTGTACCCGTGAATAACGAATATTTGTACTCGCGTATGAATGTGATATTCGTGAATTTATACTATCCGTGTACGCCGATACTTCTCGCCGAGAAATGTGTAATAAACAGCTTGTTTTTATGTAAAGAGATCACCGAAAAGTGAATACGTTTTGGTTTTTCTCCCCGAATCGTTGTGTCGTGTCTTGCGTCCGTCTATAGTTTTTTGTTTGCCGTTTCTCGCCTATATATAATACTGTTATGTTTCTTTTTTGCGCAGGTTTTCGCGGCAAAAACTGCGAGGAGAACATCGACGATTGCATACCGCACGCCTGTCTCAACGGCGGTACGTGCGTGGACGACGTGAACAGTTACACGTGCTCGTGCACCCCGCAGTGGACGGGCGATTCGTGCGAGATGGACGTGGACGAGTGCGCCATGCGTCCGAGCGTCTGCCACAACGGGGCCACCTGCACCAATTCCCTGGGCTCGTACAACTGCATATGCGTCAACGGCTGGACCGGACAGGACTGTTCGGTGAACATTGACGACTGCGCCGGAGCCGCCTGTTTCAACGGCGCCACGTGTATCGATCGTGTGGGCAGTTTCCATTGTCAGTGCACGCACGGCAAGACCGGTGAGTGAAAACGTTTTAAACGTCATTTTTTTTACGGGCAACTGCGCAGTGCAGTTTTAGATTCGGAGGTTTGATGTTATAATATCGCGAATACGCAAAATAAACAATTTCAATTTTCGAAAATATAATGATTCCGCACGACTTTCATGACGAAAGCGTATATCGTGTTTTCGGCGGAACACGTCTATAGCTGTTTATTGAGTCATGTTAACGGTGAATTTTTCTCGCGATTTAACATTGAATTTTGTTGAAAATTCCAGTCTTTGAGAAAAAAAAACTGCCACTGAATGTATAGTTTATAATTTTCAAATCGTCTTTGTCGTATTCGCGTGTATGATGGTCTATACGACAAACGTCGAGATCAAAATGCTTTTCTAATGTCTAACGGCGTAAATCATGTTTTTTTTTTTGTCCACAGGTCTCCTTTGCCACCTCGACGACGCGTGCACGTCCAACCCGTGTCACGCCGACGCAATTTGCGACACGAGTCCGATAAACGGTTCGTACACGTGTTCGTGTGCGTCCGGTTACAAAGGAGTCGATTGTTCCGAAGACATCAACGAATGTGAACAAGGTACGATCTAGAAAGAAAAAAAAAGTTGTTCATAATAATATAATATAATAAATACAACACGAGTAGTAGTATAACATAATACGAATCCTCGGTGCGCCGAAATCACAACAGCGACGACGGGTTCCCACACTATCGCGTTTCCACGGGCATAAAACCGCACTCCGTCTTCGGCGTCCGGGGGGGTGGAGTGACGACGGCGGTGGGTGGAGGCTACCTCTTCTTCTTTTTCTTCTTCTCCTTCTTATATACTTCCATACTTCTATTACTTCTATTACTATAACTACAAGTCCTCCTATTCTCGTAATCCACACCGTACAGTTCGTCGTAGTATACACGCGGCAGGGCTCTTTCTCCGCGCGCTTCTCTCCATTATCCGGGCCGCCGAACAATGGCCCGCCGGCTTCCTGTTCCCATGGCCGTGTGCGTGTTTCGCCGCGATTGTGGGGGATAAGGGGAAAATGAGATTATCGTTGTCCGATAACGGCGACCGGTAATTAAAATGGTTACGTACGTACGCGCGCGCACGGTAACGTCAGCGGTCACCGCGAGTAACCGCACGTATGTAATGCGGTTGACACCGTTGACGTTGCGGACACGTCGTGTACGTACATGTACTCTGGTACAGTGCGTATACTGCGAACAAGTTTATTTTTTTTTCTCTACTGGTCAGGCCGATAATATTAATATAATATCCTATGGTCGCCGCACAGATGCTTATCTGGGTATTCAGCACTTGTCGCGCCGCTCGTGCAACGTACACGATCCGTGTTTTCCACGACATTTCAGGGCCGCGTCCGGAAACAGGAAGAATACCTGCAGCGGCCGGACGCGTACGCCGCTATATACACGAGTGTGGGTAGTCGTTTCGGCCGAGGGGGAGGGGCGGGTATAAGCCAGAGGAGAGGCTGTCGGCGATCGACCGTAAGTACGCGTACTACACGGACGGCGGAAGGGAGGGGGGCGTGCCCGTCCGGCAATCGGGAGATGTAGAGATAGGTATACCGCCGCGGAAGAGGAGGAGGAGCAGGCGCGAGCGGGTCGCGGACGGATGGATTACATTTCGTGAAACGTTGTAATTAAGACGTAGTCATCTTTTTAAATTGTCAAGTGAACAAACGGCGGCGCACGCCTCCGTTAACGAGTCAATTAAAAATCGTAATAGATTTTCGGTCCCGGTGGGTTGGCGAGCAGATTTTTCATCGCGCGCTGTTACGTAACGCGACGACTCTACTCCGCGACGGATACCTTTCACACGTTTACCGCTCGCGCGCGCGCCCACCTCGTTAATGGAATATCAACGTGCATCATGATCTATCACCCGCCTGTACCAATAAAAATTGTTTAACGATTATGAGCCGGGAGTTGTAGCGTTGAAAAGTTGATTTTTTTTTCTTCTGCGCTTTAACGCGTACTCGAAATCACCGAAATATATAAATAGCGCAGAAAATCGGGAAATATAATCGTCCGAAATCATATCCGACAATATTGCTGTAGATACTACGATGGGGACAGCCGTGTCTTTCTCGGGTTCGTACACCGACTGTTTTAACAATACGCGAAATGCTAATACCCCTAGCCTCGATTACGAGCACCACTTTTCGTTTCTGAGTGGTCGACACCGAGGATGTTTCTACGCTATTTTGATAATTATAAATAGATTTGGTTTAAGAATGTTCCCTCGTTTTCGGGTAAAATCAAAACAAATCTCTTTAAAAAAAAAAAAATTAACCGAGTTCCGCTCAGAATCGTTTTAACCTTCCTACCTTCCTGCTCGAATCGATAACTAATCCGCAGTATGTATGTAGTCCTATAACCTATATTTTATTTTCGCAGGATCACCATGTGAACACGATGGAGTTTGTGTCAACACTCCAGGATCGTTTGCCTGCAACTGTCCGCAAGGATTCACAGGGCCCCGGTGCGAGACCAACGTCAACGAGTGCGATTCTCATCCGTGCAAAAACGAAGGTTCTTGTCTGGATGACCCCGGCACTTTTCGATGCGTGTGCATGCCAGGTAATTAATTATTTTTTTTTTTACATTTTTTTTCGACATTTTCGCGTTTTCGCGTACGTCCTTTAAAGTAAATTCATTGAGCGATACAAACGATTTTAGCTTTAGGTCATTTATATTACTCCCGGAGCTCTTTTTTTAAGGAGAAGTAGATCAAAAAAAAAAAATGTTTCTCCGTATCGGTTTTTAATTGACTCCTGTCACTAAAGGTAAAAAACGTCCGCTGGTAACGATAATTCGTCAACTGTGCGAGAAACGACCGACCTTCTCGCTACACACAAACAATAGTATAGGTTGGTAGGTTTTTTTTTTTTTGTTTTTTTCAAAACGACTGACAATTTTCGTCATTTCTCTTCTCGGCGACATGTACGCAAACGTGATTTCACGGAATTCTTTATTTCTTTATTTCTCCGACAGTGCACACATTCGTATAACGTATACCTAAAATCCGTCGACAAACTTAACATTATATTTTCGATGATTTACGTAATATTGTACTTATATTAGGAGTCCAGCACGAAGATATTTATAATATGTATTAATATTTTACTATCATTTTTTTTTAAAGTAAATTTTAAGCGTTTTTTATATGCGTTATTTGAAATAAAATTTAAAAATCGGTGTTCAATGATGGGCTGTAGAACCACAAAAGTTTATCAATAAGTATAAATATATATTTATAAAAAAAAAATTATATTATGTTTACAAACTTGCGGAAAATTTCTGTACCGGGGCTCCTTAATGATGGATTTAAAACGACACTACGCGATGATCAATCTTCAAGTATTAATAACCAGTTTGGGATATTCTTTTTTGGCTAATTTACAAAACTAGCAAATCTAAAATTCCAACCATTTTTTTCCGTCATCATTATTTTTACAGTTAAAACCACTATCCGATTTTAACATTCAAATCGTAACTTACATTTAAAATATGGTAACATAGATGTATGAAGTTTTAGTTTAAACGATAACGTTGGTGTTGAAACTTTTAATTTCCGTGTCAACCCGTCGACGAGATACAAGTGGTCGGAGAGTGGGAATTGAGTGCCCCGGTGTTTGAGTTGTGATCATCCACTACTCTCCGGCCCCATACCGATGAAACGGCAAATTTAATATAGTGTACAATTGACGGAAATAATAAACGACAACGCCAAAATTTATTTAAACTAAAGCTTCAATCTATTTACGCAATTTGGTTTTGACGAAAACTAACGGTATATATTGTAGCATTTCAGAAGTATTGTTCTTAAATGTTTCAAAAAAACAAATTACGAAAAAAGTTAGTACTTTCCGAGATAATGAGTGTCTATTACCGAGTACTCTGTATATAAATTATTTTATTCGCGGTTTTTTTTTTTTTTTTGTACATACGACGGTCTCCAATTGGTATTAATTAAGAATTCCGCTATTTATGCAGTCGGAAAATTTCCGAATCGTAAACATACATTATAATTATTTTTATCTATTATAATTCCGCAAACGCGGTTATGGTTATTACCATACCCGTCGAGCGGAAAATGATAATAATAGGACGTTTCGCATACTATTATTATTGTTATTATACGCTACATCAGTGGATGTTTTTTTTGTAGCCGGAGATCTCGATTAGAAACGCGAATTATTAATCTACGTACGCGAACACGGAGTTCGTGTACACGTGAATGAAAAAAAGTATATTCGCGTATGTACTTAATACGCACGCGAATTTACTATTCGCGTTCACGTGTTCTGATGTCAATAATTCGTGTAAACGTGAATAATTTTTGAAGTACAATAAGGTTGTATAGATTTCAATGTTGTTAATATCATATGAATACGTGAAAACGCGGAGCTCCTATTTTAATTCGCTGCCAGGAGAAAATGTTACCTATGTTTTATTACTCTCCGCTCTTGTCCATTATTGTCATCGGGCAACGGATTCCCGTTCGACGATGGATTTTAGAGGAGAGGGAATCTTATTAGTATTAAAAACTTTAAAACAATGTTCGATACTCGTCTTTTTCGCCGATTATCGGAGGCGTTTTTTTATGATCTGCGAAAATGTGTCGCATAAGACGCGATGTATTAAAATATTTTGATATCCTTCGATATGCTCGATTCGATATCTCCGATGATCGCATCACAATCGTCCGTGTCCGGACTTTGCGGCGATTCTCCGTCTTGTTTCGTTGCGTTGTTCGAATATTTCGGGAAACCTCAAATATAATGCGCACGATATTCGTTATTCCTATAGTTTTTATGCGTTTCCTTGTCTAGCGACGTTAGAACGCGAAATAACGTACGATCTATAGTATATGGCGCATTCCTATATGACGTTTACGTTTCCGGAGGTTTTTTCCGTCTCTTTTCCGAGCACGGGCCCAAATCGGAAAATCGAACGGGGGGAGAAGAGAGGAGGGGGGGCTATACATTTTCGATGAAAACGAATAGAGCGAAACCGGCGGCCGCGGGGAGGTACTCTCGGTTAGGTCGCCGCGGGCGGTTAAGTTTTCGACCGGATAAACGGTATGCACTCGTGATCCGGAATGTGCCGAGCCCCTCGCTAACCATCGTTCGACCAACCGAGAGACGGAAAAAACAGTATCCTACATTACGTATATAATAATATTCATCGCGTTTCGTTTCGGTCGAGTAGCGACGACGACGACGACGGAGAAGACGACGTCCGTCACACGGGTCGTGCCGCCCGTGTGCCGGCGCGCGCGTTTGTCAGCGGCGTCGGCGAGGCGCATTCAACAACCGGTGCGCGCACAGACAAACACACACACACACACACACAAAAGCTCCGTCGTCGACGGCTCTCTCTTTATCTTTCACGGATCTCGCGTGATCTCGCGTATACGCGTACACGATCCACGGCAGATCAGACCGGCCAGATAAACACATCGGAACGGTCGTTCGCCCCACCGCCGCGCGCCGTAGTCGTCGAGGCGAGGCGCATACAAATATTGTAATGTGTTCCGCCGCGTGTTTCGTGTTCGGGTTTTTTTTTTCTGCCCCCGACCGCCACAATAATCGTAACGATAGTACGCGCACACGCGATAACGATATTACGGCCGCGTTACAGCGATAATAACGTTATAATTCGGTCGTCTCGGCGACGGTCAAAAGAAGACGAAATAAATCGCTTGTAAAAGGGCGAAAACGCGTGAACGGATGGGGGGGGGGAGTATAATCGCTCGCGCGGGAGTTACGGGACTTTCGCGGTCACCTCTTCTACGAGATTTGCCGCCAAATATTTTTGTTTTCAAAAACGTGTTGGATACAAATTTTTAAAAAATATCAACCCTGACAGCAGTACCCTTAATTTCGTTCATTGACGCAATCTGAGGGGCAGGACTTTTGAACGATTTCGACTCTCTTTCCCCGGAAAACTCGACCGGGCCCGTCAATATAAAGCGCTCATCAAGTAAATACTGAGCGTAACATGACGGGGGTTTATCCGCCCCCTTCCAAAAATATTTGGACTATTCGTGCCCGCGATTTGTAATTGACTCGGGGCAAAGACAAATATGAAGACCGCCGGAAACATTTACAATAATAATATGCAAACAACTCGTAGAAATTCTAAACGACATCGCGTGATATGAAGACGATCGTCGGGTGTTCGATTTGACTTTAAACGATATCGTATTGTCGACTGTTCATTCTTTCTTTTTTTTTTTTAATCTACACACCCGTCTCTTTTCCGTTCGTCGAATATAGGATCGCGTCCCGATAAAGCGATTCGCACGCGATTATTACTTCCCCCGATCGTATGGGCCGTTGTTAGTATAGCCGCGACAATTAGCCACGGATAGAATCCTTTCAGGAACGGATCGACCCGATGAATTTCGATCGGTTTTATGAAAATTCCATCCCCGGGGATAAAAAATAATACGGGTTTCTAGTTGTTTTCGGCATACGAACATCTAATTGTTTATTGATTTACTAATGTTCGTTCGCGGGTTACGCCGGTGACACGGATAACAGTTCGCGGAACGAGAAAACTGTTATCACTATTATCTAGCAATTATCCGCCGTAGTGTACGGGGGACGCTCGTGGATTCCTCGGATTTTCCGGACTCATCGCTACAGGACGTTTTTTAATTTTCCGGACTTTTCCGGAAATGCGCGACGACCGCGCTTATTACACTGCGTGTAAAGGACGCGCGGATTGGGCGCGGCCGCGGATTATTATTGTTTATTGCCATATGGGTACGAGAAACGGACGACGGCATTAGAATAATGTATATTACGATAATTTAATACGTGTATGAATAGCGGGTCGGGTTAAGCGGTTACGCCGACGACGTCGCCGTGGTCGTCGGACATTTGTACGCGCAAGATTTACGGTCCATTGTATATTGTGTATGCGTGCCGCCGCCGCCGCCCTTGTTCGAGACGTCTGCCCGGTCTCTGTGCAGCGCGCCTTCTTATCGACGCGCCGCCGCCGCCGCCGCCGCTGCCGTCTGTTCGATTGAAAACGGCGGCGGCGGCGGCGGCGTCGCGTCGGGTAACCGCTACGCGCATACACAATAAATATATTCGCCGCGGAGAGAGATCGCAATCGCTAATGGGTAGTAAAGTTCTTCTCCTTTATTGGCGCGTAATACCGGGTGCCTCATTAACCGCGCGGATAATATCGTCCGCGGGGGCCGCGAGAGGGACCGTCGTCGTCGTCGCGCTTCTCCGCCGTGCGCGTATTATAGTAATAATAATAATAATAATAATAATAATAATAATATACGTATACATACCTACAGCGCAATAATAATAATAACAATAACAATAACGACGACAACAACAACAACAACAACAACAACAATAATAATAACGATAAAATTACGCGTATACGGACGCCGGGAGGAGACGGGCGAAAAAAAAAAAAAAAAATTATAAAGAACCGCACGCTCGCGCGGAATGTACCGCATAAAAATCCGTACTTATCTTTACGCGCGCGCGCGCGCGCGTGTGTGTACCGCACGGCGGCGGCAAAAAAAAACCCGCGATCGTACAATGCGCCATTGTTCGGGTAAACAACAAAAAAAAAAAAAAACCATCGTTGGGCCCCGGTCCGTTCGTTACGTACGTATACGTTATATTTACATTGCTCTGCGAGTACGTATAGTACGTATAGTTATTTTTATTATTATTATTTTTCGCCTTCTACCCGTCTCTACCTCCCCCGTGTTGCTGTCGTATATTCTTCGCGGCGGCGGCGGCGGCGACTACGTTGACCCTAATCTATTATCGCCGCTTTGTTGTTGTTGTGGTGGTTGTCGTCGTCGTCGTCGTCGTTATCTTGTACACACGCACACACGCCCGCGAGATTTCGTCGCTATCACGCCCACGCCGCGGAATTATTGTTAGTTTTTGTTGTTGTGTACCGCGGACGGTGCGAGACGGGGCTGGAGCGGCTAACGAACGCCCGGCTCGTTACTCGTTGAATGCGTTGTTATTGCACATCACCGTACTTTATAACGCGCTATTGATTATCGAAACGGGGACCCGATTGACCCGCGCACACCGACTCCGGAAAACGTTAATGAACAGTATTTTCACGAAACGCATCATAATCCGGTGCTCGCGAGTACGGCGTGTCATACAGGGCGATTATTTTTAAAAGCGCACAAGCGATTTATAGGAGGACTTTTTTTTTTTTTCGTCAATAATTATTTCGGATCAATCGTGTGAGTCGACCGTGTTTTCTCTCCCTTATTCCGTATCTCGCCCGCGAAAACTCTCAAATAGCAACACAAATTCAAAACAACGATTTCTGAATAAAACAAACAAAACTTTCCGACGAATTTCGATGTTCAACACAATCGTCGGGTGGTCTTTTGAGTTTAAATTTTAGACCGGACGAGTGCCACGCGTGTAAAGGGAGGAGTCGTTATCTAAACGCGGACGTGCAATTTATCAACAACAGTTGTACGTATTATATATTCACACGAATCGCCCTGTATAAATCGACGTCTGGTCGTTAGAAAGTTTATAATACAATATTGTTGTGGATATATTTTTTTTTTTCATATACGTATTATTATTATTATTATATAGACAGGTGTCTGTTTAAACGAACGACGACTGCGCGTCACCGGGTCACCGGATAGGTTTCCGTTTTTTATTGTTATTTATTTTTTTTTTTTTAACGTGTAAGTGACGATAAAACGTAGAAAGAAAAAAAATTACAATAATACGATACTTTGGGTTTACGTTCGTTTAATTGCACCGACGGCGGCAGTTTGTCGGGTCGTAAATATTTTATCGTTCCGTAAACAACTGCTGCGCGAGCAATCGACAGCTTCTTCGCGTTCGTCCGGAGCCCCGTTTAACACCGCTGCGTTATTATTACAGTCGTGTACCGAAACAAAAACGAAAAAAAATCTCGTCTTACCCGGTGTCGAAATGCCAACCGTCGCGTGCATAACAACGTGCGATAACACAAAGGCGGTGGTCCTCGTGCGTTCGTGTAATAGACGATTATTGTTTCCGTGTGTACGCCGCCGGATTTGTGCCCGTCATTTCGCCGTCCCCGCGCCACTCTCGTAGTCCAGTGACGGGACGAGATATAACTGTCTTCGCCGCAAAGCCGTTTTGTATTCCGTTTTGACTGTTTTTTTTTTTATTTTTTTTTATTTTTTCAATCTCTCTAATTACGATGTTCGCCGTCATCGTCACGGTAAATCACGACGGAACCATCTGTCCGCGGACGTCCGTTATTATTATTATTGTATCGGTTACGACCGTGGTTTCGTCGCCGCCCGTACGGCTGATATATACCTAGCGATTTCCGTGTTGGGATTTCGCTTTACTACCGATCCGCCCCCGCGTCGAACCCGATGTACGTGTCCACAACGTCCTCACGACTGTATTGTGATAATGTGGTCACGAGGGACGACTCGCGTCCCCGAGTCCCGGGGAGCTCCGCGGAAATAGGACCGTACAAATTACCCCGTTCGAAACGGGCGGCATTATTACCCGGCGTGATTGCGTACCGACCGATGTTACCCCGCGGGATCGTTACAGTCCCGCGAATATGTGAACGTTGATCGTAATCATAATCGGATCTGCCAATCGCATAATCGATAATTTACAGGGTCCGGCGTTCAAGCGACACCCGATGCCGTTTGAAACCACCCGCTTTTATGTAACGAATCGAATACGTTTCGAGTAAACGCCGAAAATATTTGCCCGGGGCACGTATTATTACAATTATCGGGGTTGGATTTTAAAATAATTTTCGAAAGTTCGGTCCGCAAAAAAAAAAAAAAAAAACCCCGATAAAAGCGACGGACTCGGGTATCGGGAACAAACGACAATACGGGAAAGCCGGGGAACGCTAACCGTAAAACGCGCGAAAAACCGAGACACGGCCCGGTGTGGCGGAGGCCGGACGACCGGTCGGACGGAGTAAAAAAAGATTTGCCTGGATCGCGGGCTGCGATTGGTCCGAAAAGTCTTGTCGTACGCTGCCGGTATGTACGTCACTTTGCCGTCTACGCGCGTGTACCGTAACAGTTATTGAGTTTTCGCGACAAGCGGCGAGCGGCGGCGCTAAATGATTAGCCGCGTTCCCGGGCCCGTACCGCGAAAACTGGTCGCCGCGCGACGATTCCGAAAATGGGCGGAAAGGAATGAAAGAGAGAGAAAAAAAAACACATCGCCGATCCGACCGGATTCCGCGGACGGTTTTTTTCCTATTTGTATTTCGTTTCGTACCTATTATATCCGTTTCCAGTTAGTGGGCAATAACAAGCCGTACAAATCAACGGGGGCGAACGAATACCTCTCGCTCACTCTCTCTCTCTCGCTCACTCTCTCTCGCTCACTCTCTCTCTCTCTCTCTCTCGTCGGCCCGACAGACACGAGGACGACTACGGCGATTGCGACGACCGTCGCGCGCGTTACATTACCTTTTATAACCCGGCTGATTGACACGCGAGAACTGGTCCGGGGCAATAATAATAATGTATTAACCTCGCGTTACCCGGCCCGCGTACGATGATAACAATAATCATCATAATACTCCGCTCGCCGCGTTTCCCCCGTATGTATGGAATACACGAACTCCGCGTATACCCGGCCGTCGTCGTCGTCGTCGTCGTAGCGCGCGCACTATATTATATTATAATACTCGTACGCCATTACACGCGTACGACACGCGGCGTTATCTCGGCAATAATATATTATAATGGTATTTATATTGTCCGCGATCGTAAATTTCGAAACGCGTCGACGGGTCACGGCGGCGGCGGCGTTATTTACACCTCGTTCCGTTTCCGAGCGTAAATCATTTGCCCGGGGTACCGGGGTGGACACCGCGGTAACACGCGGTACCCGGGCCCGCTCGGCGCGGCTCCGGGAACGGGCCTTTGAACCGGTGCGCGAAGATAACGTACGGGGGGGTGGATGGCGGCGCGCGTGCTCGTTTAATAATAACGATAAAAATATTACGGTCTTCGCCGCGGGATCCTGTACGAACACGGACGGACGTGTCGGATACGCGGTCCGGCGGCGGCGCGGTACGTGTAATTCTCGGCTCGAGTTGGCACGACCGCACGACGACGGCGCTCGTGTTATATGACGCGACGCGACGTGCCGTGCCGTGGTGTTGTTGTTGTTGTTGTTGTTGTTGTTGTTGCTGCGTTGTTGTACCCGATAGCGTATACACCTATACGACGTGACATTATATTATGCGTTATTACGCCGGTCTACCCGGGGTTTTCGCCAACGCCGCCGTCCGGTTTAACCGCGCGCGCGCGCAACAGTTTATGTAATGTAATTACGCTCACACGGTCGCGCCGACTCGCCCTCGCGCGTACGTATCCGTCGTCGTCGCGTCCCCGTTACACGTACTCGTGTGCGACGGCGGGCGAATTCGCTCTACCCACAACATTGTATTTAACAAGTACGCGTGTTACAGCGAACACTTGTAAACACAGGGATCCTGCCAGTCCTCCCGGAGTCGCGTGGGGTTTTACGCGCGCGATAACAATATGCGAACGGACTAAAACCGATCTCGGTATAAACCTTTCCGTTCGATTTTCTCGCCCCTGTACTGCTGTGCCCGAACGATACGCGTAACAACGGGCGTCCCATATTAATACGCCAGTGGCCGCATCCGAGTCCCGTCCCGAATGTGAAGTACGAATTCAAGGATACACGAGTTATTCCCGTCGCTCTTTGCGTTTTCTGCGCAATACTTATACCAATATAGTGTGCAATTTACGAGTACGATGACTGTTCTCTATTATTTTGAAATAAGGGAATTATTATTGCTCTCGCTGCTTTCAGTCATCGCGCTAAATAATCGAATTAATAATAGGTACTGTATTATTGGCGCGTCTTCGTGTCTAGATGTATTATTTCTCATTGTACTTGTATAGTTATAATATAACATTCTAGTCGACCTTCGTTTTACCGGGCACGGAACGGGTATACATATAAATTTTCATCACCCGAGACAGAATCGGTGTTAAAAAAAAAGGTTATTGAGACGCAACTCGGATGCAGCCATTATTGTCTACGAATTTTCAATACCGTTAGTTCGATACGATATTTGTTTGTATTTGGTTGGTTTTTTTTCTTTTTGGTAAACAAACTCTAACCGAGTGCGTAGTCGGTATTTTGTGTCACTTGCAGTATTATGAAGTTTTACGTCGTTAGAGCCTCTTGTAATTTTCCAACTCGATAGATTAATTCTTTGTCTGACAGCGAGTAATATTAGTTCTTTTGTTGGCATCATTAGTGATGGGATTTTCACTTTTCGAAGTTACGCCGTATCACACGTACAGCTCAAGTTGTCACATCGAGTTCGAGCGGTTCCATGTCGACGTTATTGCGGCGAGATTCGCGTCCCACCGAACGCTGCAGCACTCTGTGGCTATTCCGTGTTTGTCGCTGCAATCGTGTCACTTTTCCCCCCAAAAAATAGGAGAAAAAAAGCGCTTCGCCATTGAATATTCGCGAACGTACGTTATACGAGTCGTTCGGGCGATATTATCTCGCGCAGCTTTGGGCAACACCGAATCCGAAATCCGTTTAACGACATGAGAAAAAAAAAAATCCGAAATCACGTCCCCCCTCCGGGCTCGTAAGAAAAAATTCCCGTCGCCTATAGTTTCGACACATAATAATTATTCGGGATCCGTTAACGGCGCGAGTGACGACATCGCCCCGACAGAGTTAAAAAAAACGACATAATAATAAATATATAATATACTCTATTACCATCACGCTGTTTAATATCTGTTCACTACATTATAACAGACACGCAAAAGGATTACATCCTCGTATTTTTTTAACACTTTTTTTTTTTTTGTTGCGGGTATATATATATAAAAAAAAATCAGGTTTCAAATTGAACCCGTTAAACGAACAGATGGGGCACATGATTGCACATTTGGTTCAGGGCATAATATTATTATTTTATATGTACGAGAGCAGAGACGGTAGCGATTTCCTCTTTAAATCATTTTCCGCCGTAACGCGAGCGAGGCGGAAAAGGAAAAAAAAAACAATTAGGCGTACCATATTTGTATTTTCGTGTTACACGTGGTTTTTCGGAGTTATTAATATTTCGTTGAACTCGAGCGCGGTGTGTTTTTCGCGTGAAAAAACCGAAACAGAAATCCACATGGCCGCCGGGAACTTATTACGCGACTCGTACAAATAAAGTGAAAAAAAAAAATGACTGATACTGCCGACGGGATGTGGGATAGGCGCCGACTAGACCACCAACTTTTGGGGTGCTAAAATTATTGACACGTCGCAAACCCATAGTGAAAATACCACCACAATTCCCTTTACTCGATACTTACAATAAGCAACTAAGCATTTTATTTACAATTTTCCTATAAAAATGTATTGTAATTTTTTAACCGCATTTTTTTTTTCTGCGCACATACATTGTCTGCAGTTGATAATATTTGTATTTCGTTCTGTTTATTAATTACGAAACACGTGGATATTTAGTCTGTACTGTAAAATAGTTTATTGGGTATTTTTGGCGGTATTTTGGCCAATATTTTAAACTCTGGGTTGTTAACCTGGAAACCGGAAGTAACTTAAAATGGAGTAACTTAAACGTATATCCGTGTTCAGACGATATCGGAACGGTTTAAGGGCGGCGGACCCATTATACAGAACCGATAGGGGAATCGCAGTGCCGAGTAGAAGAGAGAACTGTGTAAAAAAAAAAAAACACCGCGTACAAATCGATGAATATTTGTTTTGTTTGTGTTTCTCTCCCCACCCAATACAATTTCTACTGTGTACTTGCGCATGTACGCTAACGAGTCGTGATTATACACGTTTACGGGTATCGAGTCGTTATTATAATGTACATTTAATCGGGCGGTGCGTAATATTACTTGAACGTTATTGTATTATAATACGTCCGTATAACGAAATCACGTCGGTCTATCGGGTTTTCATTTTTTTTTTTTTTTTTTTTCGAATATTAATCGACGGGTTAATGCGAATTAATTGCGCGACGCAGTCGGTTTTCTTATTGCGATAATATTACGCGGTCCGGTCCGACCGAGTAGTTGGTTACCGCATTATTATTGTTGTAATATTACGCGTAGTAATACATGTATTTTTTTTTTGTTTTTTAATCGTGGGATAATATTTTTAGTACTGAAAAAAAAAAAAATAATAATAATAATAAGAAGTAATAATTATAACATTTGAACCGTTTTTTCTCTCTCTCTCTCTCTCTCTCTCTCTCTCTCTTCACGACGACGGTTTCGTAATTAAATGCGCGTTTTCGTCCGTTACTGTTTACGTATTTGCGCGCGCGCGTTATTATCAAAAATCATTTGCCGCGATATTTTCGACCGCGGCGCCCAACACAGAACTCGAAAAACACAACAATCGTCGTACCGCGGTGTCGATCCGATGCCCCCGCGGTCGCTGTACCGTGACGTGGCGGGTACGAAACGCGGTTGACCGACCGCCGTCGATTGTGAATCGGCGGTGCGGTGGGAGGGGGGCGGGCGCCGGGGCGTAGGTTCGGGTACGACGCGGACGGAAAAGAAACGCGAGTCGTGTAATACGTCACTCGCGTACGAAACGGCGCGCGGAATGTTTTGGCGTGTGAACCGATTTTTTTTTCCCCCCCGATTTTTCGAACGCTTCGGACGCGCCGTCGTACCGCTGTATTTACCCGGTTTTATTTTTTAATTTTTTTTTTTTTTTTTTTTATGGGTATACCCGTGCCCGGACCGTTCTCGCGGTGATCGCCGCCGCCCCGGACGAACGTATAAAAATACCGTCGCGCAACGTCCCGCCCGTGAACCGCGTCATCTCGGCCGGCTCGCAAAGGACAACGGCGTAATACACTTGTTGCTACACTACGGCCGCTCGGGTCGGTGCGGTGTACGCGCATAGAGAAACGCTCGCGCGCGCGCGCGCGCGTATATAATAATACGTATACGCGCATCCCGGTACGTCACGTAGGTACATATTGTTCTAACCTATAAATGGGATTGCCGGGACGGCGACGATTGGTCCTTGTCCGGCCGAACCCGGAGACAGATGGTCTCTGCGCGGCGCATACCCGCTTTCTGTATACAACAACACGATATAATAACCGACCGCCGTCGTCGGATAATAATTATAATTTTATTCTTGTACGATTACAAAAAAAAAAAAAACAATAATAATAATAATAATAAAAAACCAGATTGTCAACCTTTAATTACCTAACCGGGAACTGGATCCCGTCGATTCCTTGGAATTATTCATTTCCCACACACTGCGCGCGTATATTAAATACGCGCCGTATAAATAATATCGGCCGCGGCTCGCTGTTGCACACCTGTTGTATAAAATAATAATAATACGCTATATTCGCGACGATATGTGACCTGCATCCGTAATCTGGAACGGCGATTTTTTTTTTTTATTATTATCATTTTTTTTTCCAATAATCGCGTTCCCATGGTGGAACACGCGATCCGACCGATTATCCCGGTTCACTATCTCCCCGTTCCGTCGAGTCCGGAGCGGTTTGAACCAGCCACCTCGTCCAATTTAATCACGCACCCCCCTCCCCCCGGACGTGATAAGAAATTGATGATAACGTACAGTTGTATGCCCTCCGCCCACCAGATATGCCCGTCCAAGGCCGACGCCTACTTATTCAGCGGCCGACCGCTAGCGGTGGATCCAGAGGGGGCGACGGGGTCGGGTTCCCCCTTAAAACACCGTAGTGGAGTTTAATTTACTATTTTTCGCACTTTTTTTGCCCCTCACAAATATGAGTTCCGGATCCGACCGCCGCAATATTCTTTCGCGTACTTTTCCACTCGCCTCGGCCGATTTATAACGACTACCCTTATGCGCATTTTCATTGGTAAAGGTTTTATTAACTCTGGACTTTTTTTTTTCCTGTTCTCAGGGTTCGCCGGCACACAGTGCGAAATCGACGTGGACGAATGCGAAGCCGGTCCGTGCGATAACGGCGGCGTGTGCACCGACATGATAAACGGATACAAGTGCTCGTGCCCAGCAGGGTTCTCGGGGCCCCGGTGCCAGACCAACATCGACGACTGCGTGAGCACCCCGTGCCATCACGGCGGCATATGCCACGACTCCATAGCCGGCTACCAGTGCGAGTGTTCGCCCGGGTTCACCGGATTCAATTGCGAGCACAACATCAACGACTGCCTGTCCAACCCGTGCAAGCACGGCGAGTGCATCGACGGCCAGAACTCGTTCACGTGTTCCTGTCATCCCGGTTACACCGGACTCCTGTGCCAAGACCAGCTGGACGAGTGCGCGTCCGCGCCCTGCCAGCACGGCGGAACGTGCGAGGACTTGATCAACGGGTACCAGTGCCGCTGTCGGGCCGGCACTTCCGGTTCCAACTGCGAGGTGAACATAAACGAATGCGTGTCCAATCCCTGTCGGAACGGAGCGAAATGCATCGACGGAATCAACAAGTACGTTCCGTTGTATCTGTTGTGCAGTATTATACTCGTATAATAACCGACGTGTTTTTACGATGCCAAAGTACTGACGGTTGTTTTTGTTTTTTTTTTCCTCCCCGTAGGTATTCGTGCGACTGTCTGCCCGGTTTCACGGGTTTACACTGCGAAATGAACGTGGACGAGTGCGCCAGCAGTCCCTGCGCCAACGGCGGGAGTTGCGTCGACCTGGTGGCCGGTTGGCGGTGCGAATGTCCCCGAGGCTATTACGGACCCCGGTGCCTGTCCGACATCGACGAGTGCGCCAGCAACCCCTGTTCCCTGAACGCGCTGCGCTGCGAAGACGGTCTCAATCAGTTCATATGTCACTGTCGGCCCGGTTACACGGGGAAACGGTGCGAAGTCGACATAGACGAGTGCAGTTCCAACCCGTGCCAGCACGGCGGAGTGTGCACCGATCGCGTGAACGGTTACACGTGCCAATGCAAGCCCGGCTACTCGGGACACAACTGCGACATAAACATCGACGACTGTGCCATAAACCCGTGCAAGAACGGCGGTTCGTGCATCGATTTGGTGAACGCTTACAAGTGCGTCTGCCAACTGCCGTTTACCGGTTCGGAGTGCCAGGGCCGTTTGGATCCGTGCACGCCGAACAGGTGTCGTAACGGGGCCAAGTGTTCGCCTTCCAGCAACTTTTTGGACTTTGCGTGCGAATGTTCGATCGGATGGAAGGGTCGCTTGTGCAACGAAGACGTGGACGAATGCGCGTTGACCGCGCCTTGCCGGAACGGCGCGACGTGTCAGAACACCGACGGATCGTACAAGTGCGCCTGCGCCCCCGGATTCCAGGGCCGAGACTGCGTGATCAATACCGACGAATGCGCCTCTTGTAAGTGTCTATACGCCGTTGTTGCGCTCTGATTTGTATATTAATTCTAACCGTGCGATTTTTCCGATTCTAGCGCCTTGTCAGAACGGAGCCACTTGTCTGGACGGCATCGGCGATTATACTTGCATGTGCTCGGACGGTTTCTCCGGTCGCCACTGCGAAGTGGACGTCGACGAATGTCTGTCACAACCCTGTCTGAACGGAGCCACGTGTAAACAGTACGTCAATTCGTATACTTGCACGTGTCCCATCGGATTTTCCGGCATGTACTGTCAGACGAACGATCAAGACTGCACGGATTCGTCTTGTATGAACGGCGCCACTTGCGTGGACGGCATCAACAACTACACTTGTATATGCCCCGCCGGGTAAGTAAACCAATACGTTTGCCAATCGAATCGGAACCCGTATACGATTACACGATTAACGTTGAAATTTGTTTTTACGTGCGCAGGTATACAGGCTTGAACTGTCAGACCAGAATAAACGAATGCGATTCGTCACCGTGCGAGAACAGCGGCACTTGTCTGGATCACGGCAAATATTACACGTGCCACTGCGCGTACGGTTACACGGGGAAAAACTGCGAGTCGTTGATAGACTGGTGTAGTGGCGGCGGCGGCATGCCGCAGCCATGCGAGAACGGAGCCACGTGCAAACAAATCCAGAACTTGTACCAATGCGTGTGCCAGCCGGGTTGGACGGGTAAGGTATGCGACGTGGAAATGGTGTCGTGTAACGACGCGTCTCTGCGTAAAGGAGTCCGGCGCGACGCTCTGTGCCACAACGGCGGCGTTTGCGAAGATATCGGCAACAGTCACAGGTGTCACTGCGCCGACGGCTACACCGGCAGTTATTGTACGAAGGAAATCAATGAGTGCGACTCGGCGCCTTGTCAAAACGGAGCTACGTGCAGGGATTTAGTGGCCGGATATTCGTGCCAGTGTCCTCGCGGTTTCCAAGGACAAAACTGCGAACTGAACGTCGACGACTGTCACCCGAATCCCTGCCAGAACGGCGGAACGTGTCGCGATCTAATCAACAGCTTTAGCTGTTCTTGTCCGCCCGGCACATTGGGCATTATTTGCGACATAAATATCGACGACTGCACTACGGACGCTTGCCACAACAACGGTACTTGTATCGATCGAGTCGGAGGTTTCGATTGCCGTTGTCCGGCCGGCTTCGTCGGTCACCGTTGCGAAGGCGATATAAACGAATGCCTGTCGAACCCGTGCGATCCGTATGGGACACTGGACTGCGTACAGTTGGTCAACAATTTCCATTGCAATTGTCGGGCCGGTTACATGGGCAGGCATTGCGAAACCAAGGTCAACTTTTGCGAGAGCAGCCCGTGTCAAAACGGCGGTGTATGTTCCCAGGTGGAAGGAGGCCATACGTGCGTCTGTCCGAAAGAGTTCTCGGGCAGGAATTGCGAATTCTTCGGCGTCGACTGTGACTCCAGCCCGTGCCAAGGCGACGGGTTGTGCCATTCCCTGGAACACGGCGGATACCAATGTGAATGTCCGCCAGGTACAGCAGGTACTCATTGTGAAATCGATAGCTACAACGAATGCGAGAGTAATCCGTGTGAACACGACGGAACATGCCAAAACAAACTCGGAGACTACGCGTGCTTCTGTCCGCCGTATTGGTCCGGAAAGAATTGCAATATTTACGATTCGAAGTTTAAAGGTGGTCTAGGAAAATTCCCGTCCAAAGGAATCATGACGAAGAAAGATTACGATTGGGAACGAGAGCTCGCCGCTTGTGTAACTAACGGCTGCGCAGCCAAATCTCAAGACAACAGGTGTCATCAGGAATGTAATACGGCAGCTTGTGATTTCGATGGCGGGGACTGTTCTCTCGGTCTAAATCCTTGGAGGAATTGTACATCGACGAAAAACTGTTGGCAAGTGTTTGCTGACGGACGTTGTGATGTTGAATGTAATACGCCCGAATGTCTGTACGACGGTAGAGATTGTGAAAGAACGCTGATGCCTTGCAAGTATGTATTTTCGGTTTTTGTTGTATGCATAATAATAATAATGTATTCAATAATAAAAAATAAATAATAATACTAATTTTCAAATTAAATTTGTTTTAGTCCAATTTACGACGCGTATTGTCAAAGTCATTATGCTAATGGACACTGCGATTACGGATGCAATAACGCTGAATGTAATTGGGACGGTCTGGATTGTGAACGAGAACCTCCTAAAATCGCTGAAGGTGCCATGCGATTGGTGCTCAGGATGGACTACCATCAACTATTATCTAATTTAACATCATTCTTGCGAGATGTACGTGTATACAGCAATTTCGATTTGTTTTGAAAATATTTTCAATATTTAACATATAACAATATTTTTACAGGTTGGTCGAGAGTTAAGAGCTACTGTCCGGGTTAAACAAGACGAATTGACCAGCAAACAAATGATATTCCCTGCAGAAAATCCCCCGGGAGCTGTTGTGGTTTATTTGGAAATCGATAATAGAAAATGTGAAATAACCAGAGACGTTGAATGTTTCTCGAGTGCTACGGGGGTAAGTTTTATAAAACTGTTTATTTTTATTTAATCGTAATTTATATTGCGTGCGTATTAATCACGTGTTTGTTTAATTTTCAGGCTGCCGGATTTTTGGCCGCTTCGGCTGCTAGTCATGCTCTCTCGACATCGTTCCCCATTTACAGGGCCGAAGGTGTTGGCCCCGGAAGTCCAATCCCAATAGAACCACCCAGGAGCAGCACAGCATTAGTGTTGACAGGAATGTTTTTGATATTAGTCGTTGGTCTTAGTTTAGGGGTGTTAATATCGACACATCGAAAGAAGGCCGCTGGCATAACATGGTTCCCCGAAGGATTCTTGCGTACTGGCAGTAACAACAGTAGAACCAGCACTCAAAGGCGAGTGCCCGACGGACAAGAACTCCGAACGATGAAACAGAATAACATGACGTTGAGTTGTATGGACATGAATAGCGGTGCGATGACGATCGGAAGGGGCGCCGGCGCTTGGTCGGACGAAGACGCCGAGGGAGATATGCCACCCGCAAAACGACACAGGCCCGCGCCGATATCATCGCAGCCTTTGGACAATCCTTACGATGACGTTTGGAGTCATTGCAACTTGAATTCCAACGACAATAAAGCCACTGTTATGTATACGCCGCCGTCTAGGGTAAGTTTTTATCGGGGTACTTTTTACAGTGTTTTTAAACGCTTGTTTGTTTTTTTTATAACACAGGAAACCGAAGTCAATGAAAGACTTCCGGGAGGATTGACCAGACTCATGGACGTAACGGTCGCTGGCGGTGCTGGATTGGACACGAGCATCGATAATGAAGACGAAGACGGACAAGACGCGACGACCAATATGATATCGGAATTGGTGTCCCAAGGCGCCGAGCTAAACGCCACACTGGATAAAACCGGAGAGACTTCGTTGCATTTGGCCGCGAGATACGCTAGAGCAGACGCAGCAAAGCGTTTATTGGATATGGGCGCTGACGTTAACTTTCAAGACAACACTGGCCGTACACCGCTGCACGCTGCAGTAGCCGCTGACGCGATGGGCGCTTTCCAAGTAAGTTGTTCGTTATTACTCAGTTTGTGGGTACGAAGTTGTTATAAAATACGTGTTTTTAATCGATATGAATTCAATATGCGCTAGCAATGTTTAATATTATTATGTTCGAGTGGTCTTAATAGTATTTTTTTTTTTTTTTTATTTTTTTACTTAAGATTCTACTAAGAAATCGATCGACAAATTTAAACGCGAGAATGCACGACGGAACGACGCCACTGATATTAGCGGCCAGATTGGCCATCGAGGGGATGGTTGAAGACTTGATTCACGCTGATGCCGATATCAATATACCCGATAACAGTGGAAAGACGGCATTGCACTGGGCCGCATCGGTCAACAACGTGGACGCCGTCAACATTCTGCTGGCCAACAACGCAAACAAAGACGCCCAAGATGACAAGGTAAATAAATAAAAAACATTTTTCTTAGAATTTCTCTTTTAAGTAGAGTGAACTTTGAGCTTTGTCCCAAAATGAGTTTATCTAATCGGTGTATTGTTTAGGACGAAACGCCGTTGTTCCTGGCCGCCAGAGAAGGAAGTTTCGAAGCGTGCAAAGCACTTTTGGACAACTTCGCTAACCGGGAGATCGCTGACCACATGGAACGGTTACCGCGGGATATGGCGAGCGAACGGTTGCATCACGATATTGTGAGGTTGTTGGATTCACACGTGGCGCACCCCAACGCCCAGACCATGGTGCCGGTCAACAACAGTTTCATGAGTAAGTCGCAACGGAACCGGGTGGCGCGGCCGTTAGTGCCTCTGCCCAAGAACACCGGGACACCGCCAAAGATGACGGACATTGACATCGGGATGTGTTTGTTCACAGACTCGCAGCACATGATGTCTGGCGGCCATTCTAACATCAGCATACCCGGGTTGAAGTTGAACAACTTGAACGGTGGCGGGGGAACGGCCAAGGGCAAGAAGAGGCCGAAACCGTCGAATCCCACGAGTCCGGCTGACTCGATGGACTCGAACGTGTCGCTGAAGCGGAAGAGCAGTGTCAAAAATAAACCGCCACCGCCGTTACCGCCAATGTCGGCGGCCATGTCGTCCACGGCGGTCGCGCCCAGCAACAAGAAACCGTTCGGCCTGGACATCACGTGCGCTAGCGGTCCCAATAACATGGATCTGATGGCACTAGACGTGTCCAGGCTGTACGGAACAAGTGGCGGCGTCGGCGGCTTGCCTCAACAACCGCCTGCCTATGAGGAGTGTTTGTCGCAGTTGCCAATCGCCTCACAGAGGCCATCTATTGCCAACTACGGTGCGGCTATGCACCATCAACAGCAGCAGCAGCAGCAGCAGCAGCAGCAGCAGCAACAGCAGCAGCAACAGCAGCAGCAACAGTCCGACTACAGGGCCATACACCAGCAGCTGTTGGGCATGCAGGCGTCCTTCCAGGAACCGTCGCCACCTCACAGCGTGGTCATGTCGCCGTCGCCTGGAAAGACGCGACCGTCGCTACCCACGTCGCCTACTCACATGCAGGCCCTCCGGCACGCCACTATGCAGGCGGTCGACCCGTTTAGTCACTTCCATCACTTCTATGGAAGCGTGCAGCAGCCACCGCAGTCGCTCCAGCCGCCGCAATCGCATCACTCGCAACAATACCTGACGCCGCCGTCCGACGCGGCGCCCGAAAGCTTTCCGACGCCGTCGCCAGACTCGCCGTGGCACTGGTCCTCATCGTCTCCTAACTCCAATTCCGACTGGTCCGAGGGCATATCATCGCCACCCAACAACATTAATAACTGCAATAACAACAACAGCAACGGTCATCCCAATAAAGTGTCTGACGCCGTTTATATATAATATGCAGATTGATGTTATTAGTTAGGTTTAGTTAGGGCAATTTGTTTGTTATAGAATATAAAAATTTAAACAATTATTTGCAATTCCTTTACATTTATAATATTCGCAACGGTGCCATTCGTTAACCTCAGCAGTCTTGACAAGACCACCTCGTCAAGGTTACGTTACGCCCTACCTAACCTAACCTATGTCGGTCGTCGCCAATACCAACATATTTTAACCTATGATTATTATTTTAGTTATTTTAATTATTTATGTATGTGTATGTATATAAACCACAAACGTGTTGCAAAATTTTTTTTTTTTTAAACTAATTTTTCCATCTTTATTAATGTGTACATACGTTAAAAAAAATTGTTCAAAGTATAGATTTTATTTATGTATACATACGCATATAAATATTTTTATCGCTTTCTTGTACATTTTTTTATTTTTATCTTTATTATTATATTGTCATCGATACCATTTCTTCCCATCCACCCATTATTCGTGTACCATGATGGACATGGTGTCTACCATTCTTTATTATTATTATTATTATTTTTATTATTATTATTATTATTATTATTATTATTATTATTATTATTATTATTATTATTGTTCTCTTTTTTTTTTTTTTAATTATTATTATTAATTTTGTCTCGTTGTCTTGTCGAGATACGCAGAACGAATCTATCGAACAATCTTTACAATAATCTTTTAGACTTATTCGGTGGTTAAATAAGCACAACGACAAGACTGCTAGGGATCGAAATGTATTATTTTTAAATATTTTTTTTTTTGTAAATACAATTTGTATAATTCAGGGATTGTTCGATCACGATCTCATCACATGACATAAATATATATATATTTTTTTTTTAATTTTATTGTTATTGAAATATTATTGTAATTATTATTATTATTATTATTATTATTATTATTATTTTTTTTTTTGTAATTTTATGCTGTGGACAAATAGGAATATTATTATTCACAAAAAAAAGATACATTGTATATTTTTTTACTCATACAAATTACATATTATTATTATTATATTATTATATAGGTATTAGAAAAATAAATTATATTATTGTATAATAATTATTATTAAATAATAAAATCATTAAGGCTCTCCTTCAGAAATTTATATTGTAATAAATTGCGGAGAACCTCGTTATGGGTTTAATATTTTGTTCTGTGATTCTAATATTTAGCATTATAATATAAATGCAAATCCACGGATCCGTCTGTGTGTATGCATTAAACCTAGGCATACGTAATACGCATTTTATATAGTAAACATAATGTTGTTTTAGGTATAGTTTTAATAATATTATTGTATTTTAATAAACAACGAATACATCAAAATTGACCAAAAACTTTTATTATTTCTCCCAGTCTCATCTTCACATTCTGTGTTTAAGAATATCAAAATTTGTAACAGTTATTATGCATAGACTTGTAAGACTATACAACATATTTAAAATAACGTAAAAGTTTTGTATCAAATTGTTCAAATTATTGTCTTCTCTACTTGGTAATAAATTATTCACCCAGTGTAATGATAATATAACAGCGCAGGTTTATAATAATTTTAATGAACCTTACCATTTTATATGAAATATAAAATAAAATTGTCCATTAACCTTTTTCGATCTGTGTAAGCCCGCAGATTGCTATAACTATGCCATACAGTCTCAAATTTGATTACAGTACAGTTTTATTGATAGGTTCTTTATAAGTATTTACAACTTTCATAATGCGAATATGATGAATTAACTAAAAAAATTCTTTCAAGATTTTATGACTGGCATATATTTTTTTATATATTTAAAAAAGAAAATCAAAATACAAGTTTGAGTGTCTTAAGAATCCTACCCTCACCCACTACTTTAAGGATGTCCCATGAAGATATACCTATATTTTATTGTAATAAATTTTACTATAATAATGATAATCCAATTTTATCTTTTTTTTATTACCCACAGGCATGTATAAGGACTACAAATATTTGTATTTAAGTTACATTTTTATGTTTTGGCAAAAAACTTAAAAAAAAAAATAACTTTTTATTTTATTATTTTTGAAAAATTTGAAGATTTTATAGAGTTTATTCTTATGAACATTTTAACTAATTAGCTTTTAGTTTTCATTCGTGATTTGTAATACATTTTTAAATTTCTGAGAAAAAAAAAATGTAGATTCAATTAGCCATAATAATAATAATAATAATAATCAATTAATAAATAAATGCGATTGATCCACTGGAAAAAAAAAAAACGTAAAGAAACTGGAGAGTGTACGAATTAACGGTTTTATTTTTTTCAATTCTGTTTTTTTTTTTTTGTAATTTGGTTCAAAATACTCAAAACATGGAAACTGCATGGCATTTAATTAAATTACAATTAAAGTTTAATGTTGTAGTTTTTTGTCACATACACGAGAGTTTAAAGTTCAAATTTAAATGAAAATCTTTAATGTTAAAAAAGAAAATGTTGAGTGTATAAGTAGTCATTTTTTTAAAAACATTTTAAGTTTTCACAACATTAGTACAACCATCGACAGTATCGGCTATTTTAATTTTGAAAGTTTGCTTTCGACAACTAAACATTAATTGTTCGTACAACATATACGTATATAACACTAGAAAATAAATGTTTTATATTTCACGAAAACTGTGTTTTATCCTATTTTCTCCTTATTCCGCCCATATATAAGTACTCCGGACTCATAATTTATTATAACGGCTTTCGTGTACGAGAATTATCGAGTATATTTCAGTAAAATATGGGCGGTCTTTGTCTGTTGAAAATCCGAACGACCAACGTCTGTTCACGATTTGTTCGAGAATAAGGAACTCGTTTATTTATTATAGATTGGTGGACACCTATAAATATTTTGCATTCAGGCGTCTTTTGTTCCTTTTTCTATAAGCTTTTACAGTCCTATCAGACCATTGAAGGACGTAGTTTGCTGCATTCAGATTTTCCACGCCGCACCTCGAAAAATCCGAATTTTCCGCCTGGTGACACTTTGAATTCAACGCATTTTCTAAACTCCTAACAGTTTTTCTAAAATTTAAAAAAAATAAAATCGATAACGAATAATATATCGATTTTTATTTTGTTGATTCCTGGGTTACTGTGGTTAGAATTAAAACACCACTAATACATACAATACGTATTATACGTATACCATACCTGCAGTTTAGCGATCTTCACTCAGAATCTTTTTCTGTATTGCAATAATATTATTTATTGTTATTTTCGGTTTAATACAAACTAAATTGCCATGCACCCTTTACATCAAACTTCTCACCATACACTGTGGTACCTTTACTGTATCGATCAATTTATTTGTTTATCGGAATGGTGTAGATTACTAAGTGCGTAAACGAAATTTACGTTCGTTTTCGTTTTGCGTTACGGCGATATTTCGGAAAGTTTTAACCATCCGAATCCGCTCGACGGACTTTTTGAAATAATTATTATTCGGAGCGTACGGGATTATTAGGATTTATAATAGTAAATGCCATACGCTCTGTAGAATAATAATTTTCAAATCGCGGTTCGTAAACCTCGGTAAACAAACAGTATACCGTATTATTACAACTCGTGATGTAAACGTCCGTACATTATAATATTTTTGTATTTAAATTTTTAAAATTAGATTTAAATCAGCGTTATAAGTTAACTTTGAAACACGAAAAATTGCACAGTTGAGCGTTTTTTTAGTATGAACAAGAAAAAAAAAAATACGCCACAAATTCGTTTATAGATTTCGGAATATTTTATTCTATTATAGATCGATAAAACATTAAAAAAAAATCAGTAAAAAAACCACGAAGTGTCGTGCACTAATCCTTCATGGTATGCAACTGAAAAATGTAGCTAACGTAACTTTCTATTGGACCAATAGAAAAACAAAGGAAATATCTGCAACATCCGAACTATACTTATTGTAGGTATATATTCTTTCCAACCTCTCCCCCCCCCCGGTATTTTTTGATATATCCGATAAAACGCACTTTAGTTTCCAACAACGACGGCGACATTAGTTCGAAAAAATCTGCAGTAATCCCGTTTAGCCGTTTGAATATAGGTTCGAGCAGTGTTGAATCCACACACTTCTTGGGGGGTTGGTACTAAAATTATAGTAATACATTTTTTTTTTCTTTTTGCTCATCTACCCTCTTACTAAGACTTGTCAAATTTGTTTAATTATTAATTTACCTACATTTAACAGGGTGGGTGGCAAACAAAATTCCAAGGAGGAGCTATTTCTCCTCTGTCGTATACCTTTTTTTATTTATTTTTCACACGGTATCGATGTTCGAGACGATACTGACCTTTTGATCATTTTCAACACCATCGTTTATTGAATCAAGCAAACGAAAAATGAATCATCTTTAGCAGAGTTTGCAAGAAAATGCACCATACCTGGATTTAACATACCTGGATTCAATACTGGATCCGGGTACCTATCGTCAGTTTAGCAATAAGCAACAACGGCAAACGCGCACAACGTTTGCCAAAGACAATATAATATCGTGACACTAGGTATATTTCGTATAGATATTTATTTGAATACTTTTTCTACATATTATATTATAATGTTACGTAATACATTTTGTATTCTTAATTACATAAACAATACGTACGTTTAAAAATTTAGACATTAACATTTAGTTGGTCTCGGTTGTAAACACACACGCATACAGATGGGCACATACAGATAATGGGTACAGGCACTAACGCCGTTAATTTTTTTTTTTTTTTTTTTATTAAAACAATAACATAATATGTATAGTGAATAATTCTATGATAAAAATACAATGCTACTTTTAAAACGTCGATGTCGCCGTGTGCCCCGGGCGCGAGCTGCGGAAGCCTGTAATACGATTTGGAAAAGATCAATACGAGTACCGTACGCCTATATTGTTGTGTAACGGGTATACAGTTAAGGGGATTCGCGGGTTTCACAACAAGAAACGGATACGCGCGCAACTATTTCGTGGGAACTTAAAGGCTGACACTCGTAGAAATATTGTTGTAAATTGTGTCGATACGGGGAGGGGGCTGGGCACAGTTATAGTATACAGGCATGCAGTTTAGAACGGCGGTTTTCAACATTTCACGAACGGCGACCCCCTAAATTTTTTTTGTTTTCATTTGAGACGATCCCTTCGAACTAACAGAACTTGAATAACACGGTGCGCGGTACGCACGGTGTACACGATGTGGTTTTTGGCGACCGTTCTCGTCGCGGCCAAAAGACATATTTGGCGATCCCGTCCTGCTTGTGCTGTACCGGGTGACCGCGGACCTTCGACCGCGTTCTACCAAGGACCGACCGACAATAATAGTGAAACACGCTCGTTTACGGCATTGTTGGAAACCGTCAGGTGCGCGACGCGTGTTTCGTACGGTCCGGCACCGGCGCCGATGTCCGGGCGACGTATGCGAGAGAAATATACGTGTCGTTTTACGTGTCATACGATCGGGTGCGCGGAGATTTATGCCCGCGTATTTCTGTCACGCCGGTACGTGTCCATTAGACTGTTTGTCGGTAGGCGCCGTTTTTCGTTTTTTACCGCGGTAAAAGGCGAAACCCGCGGATCAGGGCCGGAAACCCGGTGACGGCGGACGCGGTCGACGATTCTCTTGCGGGTCCCCCCCCCCTCCCCCACGAACAAGCGACCGGTCCGGTCCAACGTATACAGGTAAATAAATGCGCATTGATGTAGTTGGAGGGGGGGGGGGTGACAATCGAACCTGTCGAACCGTCCGGCGCGCAGTTTTCTAATCGCCGCCCGGGCGCGGACGGAGCGAAACCCCGGACCGGCCGCGTGGCCAGGCGTTGTCGCTGGCTGTGGATCGTTCGAACGACAGTCGGCCGTGGCGTTTTCGACATCCCGTAAATCGCGTGGACGCGCGCGTAGAGAAAAACGCGGGCATTTTTTTTCCTCCGGGAGAGGGAGGGATGATGGGGGAGGGTGGGGGGGGGGGGGGGTGCGGGCGACTGCGGACGGCGTTTGGAAAATGTAAACTTTATCGCGCCCGCGTCGCGTTCGTCGCGCGTCAACTGTGAAACGCGCGCGCCGTACGATTTCCCGGTCGGCGAACGCGTCTCGACGGATGATGTCGGCCCGTCTGGTTTCCGGCGCGAAAACCGTGCCGCGCGCGGTTGCAATGACGCCCCGACGCGCGTACGGTACTCGCAGTGATATTGTCGTGTCGAGGACTTTTCGGGCGCGGAGCGCGTACCCGGGCAAGTGTACCGGAGCGTCCTAGCGCCTCGTTTCGCGCGGCGCGCAGTTCGCGATTCGCGTTCGGACGTGACGGCCTCGCAGCCGCGTCGAAACGGGCGTACACGCGGGGAAACGCGCTCCGGGATAGAGGCGCCGCGCGGCCACATCGATCGCGTCTAATACCGTTAAGCGATATGAGTAATAATAACGTAACATTATAATGTCCTCTTATAACATAAAAAAGGTGGGCGGCGTGTGTGCGGTTTTTTTTTTTTTTGGTGTGTACATTTATATATATATATATTTTCTCTATATACTTGATATTATCGATTTCGGGGAAGTGGACCGAGAATTCAAAAGGGCTGTGACGGGTTTTCAAATAAAATCAATAACGGGGGGGGGGGGGGGAAAGGAAAAATAAAATCAATTTTTCGAAGACCGTTAAGTGTGGACAGTTATCACTTGTCTCTTCTTGCACCGCTGCCGCGCCAGGTAGCACAGCGCTATCGTGATCAATATGACGATGGCTATGCTCATGCCGATGCTGATCCAAATCACTTCCTCGTTGAATCCGCCGGACGCGTGCCCTGCGAAAACACAGACGACCCCGTTATTATATATTAATCGCTGGCCAGTATCGACCTGATTTGGTCAGTTTTGTTAAAACCGAAAACACTTTTTCAAGATCCGTGCGAAATGTATTCGAACGTTTTATTTGAAAAAAAAAAAAAATTGTTTTTATATAAATACAATTACTCGTTAAAAAAAAATTCTTAACATTTTCCACCGTTCAATACATTCGATACGTATTGAAAGAATTCCGCACTCGACAAAGTACAGACAAACACTTCGACCCGTTTACGGAAATATTATCCTGACATATTATGTATTTCAGCATTTCCTATAACGCTTACTGACAAGGACGTCCGTAAGAGGGGGTAAAAGGGGCCATTGTCCCTTACCCCAATGGAATTTTCAATTGTATATACTTTTATAACGCATAATAATGGCATGCCATTTTACCAATATAAAATATTTCTAGAATGAAACCGTTTTGCCTCGGGTTGGGTTTTATCCTGGGGGCGCGTTTGCTTACCGAAAACCCCATTTCAATCCAAGGTCGTAGAGATATTTCACGTTACCTCGAATCACACTGTATATTCTTAATTACAGTAAATATATACAAATCATACGAAAATACCGTTCGGCCGGAGTCGGGCGGCTTTATACGGCTAGTTAGTTATTATATTTTGTATACAAACAAAACCCAATGGTGAATATCGATTTCATCACAGAGCGGTTCACCGATTGACTGTCACTGAAAATGTTCTTCTAGAATAAATATTTTTATAATCATCTGGACCAAAAAGAAAAAAAAATTAATAATTAGGGTGAAATTATAGCTATTTTATAGAATAATAACTGGTAATTTGAACACAGAAAATATATGTCTGGAATTATGGCGTACTGAAAACAATGTTATTCAATCGAAATTAATTCAGGCGCTTAGAATACAAATGGTATAAATGACATTTTTTAAAAAAAAATCTGATTTAAGAGCTGAACACTAAAAATATTCCATTTTATTTTGTGGTAAAGAAGTATAAGAAAATGATTCGTTATGTTCTGCGATCTAGTAGCAAGTACTAGATTTTACTCAAATAGTCTTCGAATGAAAATTGCATAGAAGTAAATAGGTACAAGAGTTTACAACAGCTGTACATACACTTATGTCTCTTTACTGCGAAGTGGCTAAACAATTTTTTGTCATTCGAATATAAGTGATGATATTATGATAATATACCTACTGAAGTAATTATATTAAATACAAATAACTTTAAACTTGATTTTCTCGAAATCAATAAAATGCCACTTATACCCCTTGTGTTCTAGGCATCTCACTTTGATATTCATTTTTCTGACTTATTTCGTAAATTATATTGTCTTTACTGACTAATATTTGTGCGTAGTGAACTCCGTATAGTCAATTCAACAATGATTGATCACGTTTAAATTAAATTCCGTATTATAAATGGGTAGCCAAAAGCTATTTTGGACAAATATTTCATGCCACTTTTAAGTTATTACGAATTATAATTCATGTTCATTGAGTAGCGAGGGTTATAACATTTTGAGATTATAACAAAGTAGGTAATATAGGTACACCACGCGTCTTTAAATCCGAAAAGCCTGCACCGAGTTGTAAAGTATTATTATTATTTTTAAACTTCTAGTTTGTCACGAATAATTATGTGCCAACTTTGTCGTCTTTAATAAATCTAAACGTTATGTTGGTAATCTCCGAACGGACAGTTGTTTAAGACTACATAAGTAACGAAACACAAATTCACAATAATTCATTAATAATTTTAGATTCGTAGCGCAGCGAGGTATATTGGTTTTGCAATGACGTCTATTTTTCCTTTGTTTTATCCTCTGAGCAACTTTTCTATTCGAAAGCTTGCTCTTATGTATCAAGTGTAGAACCTTTCTGAAAAGAAATTTGATCTAGTTGGTACTTTAGTGAGGTCGTTGTTTTTGATTTTTCAAACGGTTATCATAATAATTGGTAAAAACTTAGGAAAAGCGGGAAAATTAATGTCTATGTATAAAAAAAACTTCGCTCGGAATCGTTAGCAATGGTTTATCGTTCCCTCTAAATCCTATCTACCCGACAGTGCAACATCTGCAACAGTGGCCTACCCTTTATGCTAAGTATACCTGTCTTTTTCAATTTTAAATTCATATTTATTGTAAAAAAATTACACGAATGTGATGTGTACATTTTGGCTTTGGTGTGTGTAATAATTATCAACAACGAATATATTACACTCGTATTATATTTTAGTTCTATGCCTTCGAAAAAAAAAAAAAAAAAAAAAAAAAAAAAAATGTAATATCGGATATTTTACCGTCGCTAGATCCACCGGAATTGTAAACGCCGACACCTTTACCGGCCACTCTTCCTCCGACCGGCATGATGGATTTCCAGAAAACGACCGCTTGCCCGTAACTTTTAAAAATTCTTTCTGCGACTTGCCAATGTCGCTGTCGTCGCCCCTGCCGAATTATTGACTCGTTACCTGCAAAACAATTACAAATATCTTCTTTAGATTATCGCTATTATACGATTGTAAGTATACAGAAGAGAGATGCTTGCTGGATGACAAACAGTATCGAAGCCAATGAGAGGAGGTTAGGTGTTTTCACCCCTCATTGTTTCTTTTTACAGCTATAGGTAAGATTAAAAAGGTTGTAGACTTCCTTTTAACCAAATTATGGGCCCTGCGCCGTTGCAGGGCCGGCGCTATATGGGAGAGTGTACGACCATTTTAGTTGGAAATTATAAAAAAAAAATTAAAAAAAAAAGCTATTAACAAAAGATTTATAGATTCCGATTCCAATGAAGGCTGACAGGCAAAAAATAAACATCAATCCCCATCAATAATTGCTAGCCCTGGCCAAGTGCCGTTATTCGAGTTGGGTTCCAATTTACACAGTCTTATATTACTTAATTAGGAAAACAATGGTTATCGTCTGTTTTTTTGTTCACCTGTCCATCCGTTGAAAAATAATTTTTTGGACCTCGATTTGGTGCCCCTAAATGTTATGAGTCAGTGGCTTATTGCCCGTTATGCCATCCTATCGGTACACCACTGGTGCGCAGGAATTTTTCGCAGAGTGTGCCATAAAAAAAACGGGCCCTTATTCTTTAAGCGGGCCTTATACCCTCCCCCCCCTAAACAAAGAAGATAGCGAATACGAAATATCAATTCGCTAAACAATTTATCGTTCACCTACATAGCGTATACTGGTATTTTATTATCTATTTATCTAACAATATTACACGAAAACATTGTTACATATCTTTAGTAATAAATTATAATATAGTTAAAAAATGTTAAAAAATTCAACATCATCACAATACAATAAGCAAGGCAGTGATAAGTAATATCAAAACGAGTGATTGCCGGCTGATTTGGTTTATAAGTTACATTATAACAATTTTTCATACCAAATGGGTTAGAGTTTAACCGAATAAAACTGGTATACTCTGTATACCGGTTCGATAACAATTTGAAGTCGGTAGCCATTCGCGGGTGGGGCAACGACGATAGTGAATTATCGGTATAACTATTGTACGAAAAGTATACGCAAATTGTATTTTACGTTAAATATCCTTTAAATAACCATACTACCTATCTTCAACCGTGGCATACCTCCCGTATTTTTAAAATATTCATAACCAGTGTCATGCTTTTATTGCTACTCGAATAACTCAATATGAATTCATACAAACGCGACAAAACTGTTTTAAATCGACATTCTAAACTTTTGTTAATATAACAATACCGATACAAATAAATGGTGTGTTATCATGATATCATGAAAAATACTGAGTAGGTAAGTATATATGCATATAGAAGGTACATTTTATACTATCTAATAGACAACGAAATATAAAATACGATTTGTGCAACGTAAAACCGTACGAGTAATGAATTCAAATGGTATAAACGTTCATTCCGTACGAGAGCAATGTAATCATATAGACACTCACTCTACTCACAGCGCCCTCGCCCGTCTATTGTGCCCACCCACGGTGCGACCGCAATAGTACGTTCAGGCGAAGACCAAGAGAATAATAGAAAATTATTACATTTTCTATTTTTTTTTTTTTTTTTTACGATTTTTCCGGCCGCGCTCAAAGTAAAATCGATTTTTTATTTCGTGGTTTGGGTGGGGGGGAGGATTGTACAAAATTTTATTTTATTTGTACGAAATTCAGTACATAATACCGTGTAGGGGTGGTATTAAAATTCGAAAGCGGCAGTGCTGGCGAAACGGAGCCGTCTACCCTAACGGCCTTATGTCAGACACGCGTTGTTCATTTGAAACCTATTTCGAAAACGTTGTCAAGAACGTCAGGGGGTACGCCGTAGGGATTTTCACGCGCGTTTCCGGCGACGAAAATGTTTTAGCCTTTATATTTTTCTCTACGTTAGCGTCTCGCGTAGCCGTCTAAACGGTTTAATTCGTTGCTACATCGTATATTATCATTATTTTATATACTTTTTGCAGCGCGATCCTCTAAACTCCCGTGTACAGTCGCACATCCGTCTACAAATTCGGAATTAAACCGGCAGGATTTAATGCAACGGGTACAATTTCACGGAGATACAGGCCCCGAGCTTAACTAGATTTAAAGTTCTCCACAGAATAAAACCGTAGCGAACAAACTCGCCGCGTAATTATATTACGCTCGCGTTACCCGGGCGAATACGATCGCAAGCTTGTTTTCGTTCAATTGAACGCCGCGCCGTCGTATTTTTATTTTTTCTAATTTCCCGTCGAATCGGTTTTGAAACGGTTTCGCGTCTTCTTAATAATCGAACGATAACGGCTGGTCTCTGAAAGATACTACGCAAACGACGAACCTAATGCCTACCTAAAAATATTCTAAATAAAAAAAGTTGTAAGGTTTATCATATCGTATAACATGATTCAAAGTATGGAAAAAAAAACTGAAAACAAGACAATTGTCCAGAGAGTTGTCAGCCGACTTTTTCCTGGTGTTTCTTGGGTAACGCTAATAGACTACAGCGCTCGTTCAATATATTATCGATATAAATCGATAATTTTTTTCAGGACAGTTTCGTTATATTTACATTTTTACGTTAACATAATATTATTGTTATTGTTAATTTTTTTTTTTTGTTCGTAGACAAATATATTGCGTTTTACAGGTACCTATCGCGTGCTTTTGTAGTTCTGTGGGTATTTATTGTTTTTGGCTCGAACAACCCGGGTCCGTTTAATAATTACGGTTGTTTGGTCTGCACTACCAATTTACCGCAAACAAGGACCCTGTTTGCTACGCGTGTTGGTATTCGTTTTGTCGGATATTCCGTTCGCCAAATCGCTTTCCGTGAGGTTAAAAATACCAGCTTCCGGATTAACAATACCATTGTATGNGTTAAAATAGTTATCGGACGGAATCTAAGAATATAATATTTCTATAGCAACGGCCACAATGTTCTCGATAACGTACCTATAGGTATACATCTACAAATATAGGACACATCGTGAATGCAGACGGAAATATTTTTTTTCAAGAAATAGAATACGTTCCAGAATATTTTGCGATTTTCTAGTTGTGTTTTTTCTCGAAAAGTTATTGACGCTGCTATCTGTACGAATTTCTGTGAAGCATTATCCGAATCCGTGGCTCGTCTACAATCGACTAGATCGCGCTTACCGTTTATTTTGCACGGCAAGTACCTTTATTTTCCACACATTAATTCTTTCGGAATTCTTTCTTTTCATTACACGTTACGTTTACGTTAAAATATTATCGTTCCGAGCTATTTAATCGTATCTTCTTTAAATATTTGAATAATAGATTCTCATAATAAAACGTTTAATATTTTAACGTCGAGTTTTTCCCGGCAGGAGTCCTATACTAAATAGTTATTAGGTCATTCCAAAACTTATTAGTGTTGCCGATAAACCGTTTTAAATAATAAATAATTAATTACCACCCGAGAGAGAATTTAACTGCACTTTTCCTCTCGTTTACGGCATTTTTAAAGTTTTAACGCGTATAAAATAGATTGCCGTACTTAGTTGTTATGAGTGCACTAATGTGCGGGTAGGTGTATATAGGTGCGTCTATTATAGTGGGCCTTTTCGGAACATTAAATAGTTAGTGTTTGTAATAGTCTAACGTCTTTAGGAGCGGCTCGGTCTGTACACGTTTATAGTGTATTTGTGCGTTTTTAACGTTTACATTTTTTAGTCTTTTTAGAGCCTTGGGATAATACACACCGAATAATTAGCTTCAGCGAATTGTTTAGTAGCATAAAAATTACGTTCGGTAAACAGCGTACCGTAGAAACACAAACGAGAGCGTTTAAATATTTTAAATTCTCAATTTCGAATTTTTACTAGGTAAATACTGTTGTATTTTTCGATTACAGACACGACTGTGTCGCACAGCGCAATGTTACAATATAGTACGCTACCGTTTTACTAGGCCGCGGCGAGATGTCCCAAACACACTGCCTGCTCCGCGGAGCTGAGAAATAAACATAAAAGAAAACAAATTATTTTAATCTAAAACACATCAATATAATAGGCGGTCGCTATTGTTGTATTATTCTAGTTCGAGGTGCTCCAACAGAACAAAATCATCGGATTCACGGGTGGTTGTGGCGGTAGAGGATTTTGATGATTTTTCTTCTTATTTCCTCATTGGTCCATACAGACGATTACCCGTTCGCATATTATATTATTCTATACACCGAAACGTTTTTTTTTCTTTTTCCAGTATTTATTGACACACGACGTATTCGATGTTGATTTGTTCATTTTACAAAACATACGTGCTTTATAACGGTATGGTATGGTTATGGTCGGGCGAATTAAGATTGATTGTTTTTCTTTGAATTTAGGCATGGGCGCAACAAGACCGCCGACTTTTGGGAGTGCTAAAATTACGGACGCATTAACGAGGGGGAATAAACATGCTCCCATAATCCACTTTACACGACTCTTACAATAGTCAACGACACCTTTCATTTATAATTTTGCATACACAAATTTATGTATACATGCAGTATCCGTAGGAAACCGTATTCCGTTCTGCTTATTAATTATGAAACACACCGATGGAGTATTTAGTCGATACTACGCCAAAGATTGTTGGGTTATTTTTGGGAGTACTAGTTTTAAACTCGGGGGTGCTAAAGACTCCCCAGCAGCCCCCTAGATGCACCAACGAATGTAGTTACTATAGGTATAGTTGTTATATTACTGTATTAAAATAAATTATTATGTGTACATATTGATTTTTTATCATACACAGTACCGACTTGATAATAATTACCTATAAATACTGTTTTAAATTTTCCAAAACAGCTTTTCATTTTGAACAAATTTACTAGGTAGCTGCGATCTTTGTAAAACGGTACTATTATGCTTAATGATTCAATTTTATTATTTCTATAGGTTTTTCTTATAGTACCTATGTATTAAATATCGCTAATAAAATAATAACGACTATACAATTTTCTCGGCTAGTTTTCCCCCCTCAAATTCATATTTTACTATCGTTCAAATCATTTAGCTTAACTATGAAATATCGATTTTTAGCAGAGTTAATTTAATGGTAATTTTAAAAATGTTGTATTACTGGTTTGTATAGTGTTAATTTGTTTAATTGATCATATCTATTGGCAACAATGTATTGTGCGTGTCTTTATTATAAACAAACTTTAACAAAGATACATATTTTCATTTACTGTTGTAAATTTAAAATGTTCGAATCGTCTTGTATAATTTCTTAACGTTTATTTTTTGTTCACTTTATTTATTTCGTTTTCTGATGGTTTGAGAAGGAATTTATGCCTACATAGATTATTGTTTGTAAACATTAACTATACACGGGTAAATTAAGTATACCAACTCTTTAAGTAGGTATCTAACATATGAATAATAGGTACATTTTTTTTCAGATTTGGTGTTTTGCAATCTTATTTGTTGTTTACTGATTCGTAAACATGGCTAACATGAGCGATAGTTCTAGTGAATCGTTTATGAAATTAAACGCTGAATGTGAAAAAAACCAAAAATATTCCGATATTTCTGGAAAACATATTATTCCACAGCAAATGTGTCACTTAGACGACGCANCAATTCCACGTATTACTGTTTCTCAGTTACCAAATAGCAGCGACGAAGATGATGAGTTATTAGAATATTACTTGGAAAGTGTAGATTTCTTAGATACTGTTTTGAATAACTGCGAACGACGTAAGGCTGATAAAGAAATAAGAAATATTATTGACGACATTATAGAAGATGTGTTGAATGATATTGAAACTGAAGAGCTCTCAGAAAAAATGAAATTAATTGGTATACTAAAAGAATACCTTAGAAAAATGCATTCGACCTGTTTATACTGCCACAATGTGACATTCAATACATTAAACGGTAGAAAATTAGCATTGCATATACTCAAAAATCACCAATTTGCCATTCTAGAAGTCGGATCTTCTCAAGTGGTTACCGAAAGATTAAAATTGAATTTGAATTACTTAGAAAACGTTTTTTGTTCAAACCAAGAACATTTGGATTTTAATGATAATCATCGACTACGTATAAAGGTTTGTAAAGTTATAGATGAGCCTAAAATACTATTAAATAAGTGGATAATTCCTTGTGACAAAGATAAAGTAAAGGAGGAAGATGACGAACTTCCCCAAATAAAGTATAAAGTTGACGAACTTCCTCAAATAAAAATAAAACAAATGAGAATTGCACATCAACAAAATTTATCTTTGAGTCAACCTGAAAAAAGGAAAAATGTTTGTGATAAAGAAGAGATATTTCCTCAAACAATGAAAAAACAAAAAATAACTGTACATAAACAAGATTTTTTAAAAAACATTATGCCATCAAATAATGATATCTTGCAACAGAATAAAAACCAGCTTGAAGAGATGAGCACGTCCTGTGATGAAGACGAAGTTATGAAGAATATTCTTCAAATGATGACAAAGCAAAAAAGAATTGCACATAAACAAGATTCTTGTATAAGTCCACCAAAAAAGACGAAAATTGCGTGCGATGAAGAACAAACCCAAAATGAAGTTGACCAATGGCCCCAAATAAAAAGAAAAGCAAGAATTGCACACGTACAAACATGTTCTAAAAATATTGCGTCATTAAATGGTACTTTAAAGCAGAATTTAAAACCACGTGAAAAAGGAGAAGGTACCAGTTATAATAATATTGATGAACCGCAATTACCGGGTGTTTCGGTAAATATACAAAAACGGAAACAACCTGCAAAGCCACAAAAAGGCAAATCAAAACTAATGAAAATTAAATATGTTTTGAATAAGTATAATCCAAATGGTAGGTAAATTTATTGTATTGGCGTTGGTGTATCTCCAAAAGATATTCGGTATTGCCCGGATTGTTAATAGTTAAAAATGTTCATTGATTTTGTTAGTTTATTTCCATTTAAATTTTGACAATGTAATAAAGAAATCCTTCACTATATCCATAATTGCATATAATTAATATTAATAAATATTTTGTATAGTTAATATTACTTATAATAATTACTCTTATATAGAGTAATTTAATGTATACATGTGTGCAATTATAAATAACTGCTTACTAAAACGAATCAAAAAGCAGAGTATTTTTGTTGGTATATTTTCCCTTGTTGTCAAGGTAACCAAGGAATCAACAAAAGTTTCCAGTTTTTTTTCGAACTGTTATTATTATTAACGTATCAACTAGATCAAATATGCTACAAGAAACGTTCCTATAACGTTGTCGATTGGAGTAAAATTTGTAGTTGATAAGTTGTTTACAGACACACATAAAATAGCTTCGATTCGAATTTAAAATATATATAATATCAAAAAGTCAAAAATCATAGGTAATTATCATCTTTGCATGCATAGTAATACAAATACATTATATTCCGGATAGATCATATGTAATCGGTTAGGTTTAAGTGAAAATCACACTTATCACATATCGTTATTTATGGTGTCCATGGAGATGATGCAATTTCGACGAATTTATTTTATATTGACATTTTCTAGACACTGTGTAATATTTTAAAAACATTCTAACGTTTTTGAGTCATATATTTCTACTATTTAAATATTTTAAATTTCCGAATTTGTTTAGTTTTAATTTGGTTTCATGAAGATTATATTTTTTGCGACTATTAAAAAATTGTTGGACATTTAGTAAAAAGTGCATGATACGTTGTTCTTATGGCGCTATACAAACAACGAAAGTCCGTCTACACGATTTAATCGTGTCCCTAAACCGCGTTCTTCTTAACGTACGGTACAATCAATGCGGTCGACTTAGAATCCTACGACCACAGACCAAATACGTATGTTAGGTTTTTCCTCCTTTTTTTCTCCTGTTTTATTTAAACCCGTGGCGGTTTTTCAGGGGCTAAATAATATTGGAGCAGTATGGAGTGAAGTTGGTAGCGTGGCGAGCATAGGTAATGCCCGAGATTAATAAATTATGGCCTATCATTTGAAACAATTGTACATTTACATAATACTATTATAATATATGTTTTTTTTTTCAAAATGAAATGAAATAGTGTTTGCTCTTCTTGGATTTTGAACTAATTTTTTCGGGGACGAGCACAAGATAATTTTACTGTCGTAAAAATCAAATATCTCTCGCCACGTCACTGCTCTAATGGCGTGTCTCAATAAGACGACTTGACCGTCTGATTCTGATTTCCTGGTAAGAGATTTTAAATGTTTCCCAATTATTATGAAAAGGGCTTGGTATACATTTCAAAAATGTATTTGTCCAAAGTATCTACTAAATTCAAAATGTTACAAAAAAAAAAAATAAATAAATATCTCAATTGGAGCATGTATTCGAGTTGTAAACCCAGCTGTGCAACCCGAAAACGGAAAAACGGTCGGCCGGCTTTCACGTTGCAACGGCCACGACCCAGGGATCCGCATGCCCGCCAGTATCAAGTTTGGATCAACAGCGAAAAACATTTGATAAAATAGAGTAACGCGCATTTATTGTTAATATATGTTATCATTGAAATTATGTTACCGGCAGAATACGCGTTTTAGATTTGTGATGAGCAATCAAATAAGAATACCCGACAATCTGAGGGATTTTATTCGTGTCTGTGGTTAGTTTCATATAGGAAACGTTAATGCGCTACCCGACTTCGCGGCGGAGGAAAACGATTTTTGTGCGATTCTTCGTTAAACAAAATTCCACTCATAATCGTTTTTTCGTTAGCAATAGTTAATCGATGCTTATGATACAGATATACAATAAATTCCCGTCTGTATTTTACCTTCTCAACTTCCCATCCGCAACAGTAGCCCACCCACGTGCGAAGTAAATCCGTCTTATTTATTTAATTTTTCCTTGTAGTTTTCTTAATAAATGACAAAACTGATCGTTTTTGTTAATTTTTGGTTTACCGTGGTAACAAGGGAAACCCCAGTATCGACTCTTTTTTTGAATTCATAGGTATAGGTTATATTATTTATACATTTATTAAACTCGTATATGTATTCATAATGATTTTAGACTATAATTTATAAACTCGTCTTTCCTATCATAAAGCGTTTTTATTTTTGCTTTTTAATTGCATAATATAATTATTTATTATTTATTATAATCTAACATCGACAAACAACGGACTTGCAACGTCAAAGGTCAGTCATATTTTTATCATATAAATTATGATATAGATGCCTAATATAATTAGTTAATAATATAGCAATTAAAAAAAAAAAAACTGATACTGGGGATGGGTGCAGTCACTGTTAAATATGGGTAGTGGGGAAGGTTGGATATATAAAATTATTTAATTTATACCTGTAATCAACGATAAACCATTGATAATGAAAAACGATTCGAGGCGAAGTCTAGTTATACATATTTTGAAAAGCCGTAATATTTACGATTTTCGTCAAAATTTGATTTTAGAAAAAGTAAATACGAGTTTACTACAAGATGTATCGATACCATTACCATAGGCACCACTAAGGAGGTGGGCTTGGGGGCTAGTCCCCTCCAGTTTTCCAAATAGCCTTCCAGTTATGATAGATATAGTTAAATATATTAATATTTTATAAAAATGATTTGAATTTGTTTTTATCATTACAACAATGTAACATAATATTATATTTTCAAATTTAAACAAATAATTTGTTTGAGGTAATAGCCCCCCCAGAATTTTCACTTATTTTTATTACGCCTATGACATCACACACGAGAAAACAAGCGTAAATATAAATGAAGACCTTTTACATGCGTTATTTACATTATCGGATCCGATAATATCGACTTTGAGAACGCTTCCAAAAAAAATTTTACTCGAATTATCCAACAAAGTAAATGTTATTGAATATTATAGACGAGGCAAATAATGGTGATAGTAGTGATAACAATATTGACGAGCAGTAGTTTATATTTCTTTAAAAATAAGTAATTTAATTAGTTATACCTAATTAATATACAGTATACAATTAGGTATGAACAAAGTAATATATTTATAATTTATGATTAATTAAGGGCCCAGATTTAAATGCATTAAAATTCATCGAAAAATACTCTATAAAAAGCTGAAAATGCCTTTGAAATGACATACATTTTTTAAATTAATTGTTTTATTGGGTATAGTTTATATTTTTTTTTTCATTTAAAAATAAACAACAGAAAATTGAACAGTTTGACTTGTGACCAGCGACAATAGTATTGACTGAGGAGCTGTATTTGATTTATTGACTGGAAAACCCGAAAAACATAGGTAATATTTTGAATAAGCTAAATTTAAATTATTTGACATATCATTGATTAAATTTACCTAGTACCCATGTTAAATCGATGGTCGTATAACGTACAATAGATCCAGATATATCTGGATATACTATAGTGGCTAGGTATTAAATGGAACAAGATCGATCTCTCGTCATTTTTTCAATTGAAACAAGATTTGGGGTTAGAAAACATCGTTTGCGAAAATTAAAAACAATGAGATCGGTAACACCACGACGAACCGTCATATTTGCCGTTTCACCTACAATTATTTTTCCGGTTTTTCCCGATTATTTTGAAACCCCTTTGGAAAACTCTAAAAGTGACTTCTGTATTACACCAATTAGGGAAAATTTCCTTTCAGAAAACGTGCTACATTTCACCAAAGGCGCCCGCAGGGTGGTCCCGGTGGTGGCCACGGCCCTCCTCCCCGCTATTTTAGTTAATACGTTAAATATTAATTATTTTATTACTTGTATGGCTTAAATATTTAAGCCACAATTGGTTGTAAGTTGTAAAGAAAATCTCATACTTTTGATTTTAGCCCCCCCCCGTTTATGTTTCAACGGGCGCCCTTGCTCTTCACGTCGGAGTAAGATTTCTTTTCGAAAAATTGATTAGACAGAAAAAAAAAACTACACATCATAGTAAAACCAATAGATCCCTCGCTACGCTCCGAATCTAAAAGTAACTTAATAACTATAATAAAGTTTCCTACACGGCTACAGATTTCCATAAAATGCTCGGTGCCTGGCTTTGGATCGCATTTGAAATGTTTGAATGAACGATCGCTGGTCAGTAGGTAGACGGCGGTCACTGCTCAGGTGTGGACGCGCCTTAATGATAAAACCGTTTAGGTCGTCAGATAATACGCACAATGTCCGCAGGTTATCGCGTTTGCTTTTGTTGTGTTATTATTTACCAATAGTCCGAAACGCAAACATTGGGTTCTGGTGCACAGTTCAATATTATTGTAATACTTTCCTAACTCAGTAAGTACTCGTTCTTTTGTCCAGCTGCGAACTGCAAGTACCGTATCGTTTATCACCGTTCAAAGTCCCCCGAGACCAATTGCATCAAAATTCATTCATACCGATGCGTATAGTTTTCAATACTCGTTGCACACAATAACCGCGCCCGACACGAGAAAATAAAGTATTCTGAAAAATGGCCAAACCGATAGTCGTGCTTTTCGGAATTTTTTTAATATTCGTGCGCAATGGCGCGCTACAGGTCGCCGTTCCTGAGGATCCACTGTCGGACGAGTTCATCGATCACATAAATTCCATTCAAAATCTGTGGACAGTACGTCCTGGCCGTCGATGTCGATTATTGCATAAATATTCGTACAATTAATTGGTTATTCTTTTTTTGTTTTGCTCTTTCAGGCGGGCCGCAATTTCCACAAAAACACTCCGCTGTCCTACCTCAAAGGTTTGATGGGCGTGCATAAGAGCAACGAGGATTATCCGAAATTGGAACAGTTGGTGTCCTATTCGGAAGTGTCGAACCAATTGCCAGAAAATTTCGACGCCAGAGAACATTGGCCAGAATGCCCGACCATCAAAGAAGTCAGAGACCAAGGCTCGTGCGGATCCTGTTGGGTACATTTTTCCTTTAAATTAAATAATTGCACTCGTTATACATTATTTTTTGTTTTAGGCTTTCGGAGCCGTAGAAGCCATGTCCGATCGTGTTTGCATTCACTCTAAAGGTGCGGTTAATTTCCATTTTTCTGCCGAAAATCTAGTCTCTTGTTGTTGGACGTGTGGTTTTGGATGCAACGGTGGCTTCCCCGGAGCTGCATGGCACTATTGGAAGACCAAAGGTCTCGTTAGTGGAGGACCCTATAATTCTCATTTGGTAATTTTATTATTTTGACTATGCCTATTGTTAAATTTAAAATCAAATGCATGTAACATCGCTTGTATAATAATTAAAATGTTTATGTATACAGGTTTTTTTTTAAATAAAGTTACATATTCAATATTAATGGTGAATATTTTGATTATATTTTACTCATTGTTTGAATATTATGTATGGCTGTTTTTTTTTTTTTAATTGCATGTTTTCATAACTACATGTATATTACTAAATTATTGAGTATTAATTATCAGTGACACAATATTTTACAGAAATAATAACTTTAATTTGATACTATTGACTTAGGGATGTATCCCTTATGAGGTTGCTCCATGTGAACATCACGTAAATGGTACTCGCGGACCATGCAAAGAAGGAGGTAAAACTCCTGCATGCGTTAAAAAATGCCAAGATGGATACAAGATACCATATGAAAAAGATTTGCATTTTGGTAAGCAATTTAAATCTGTTCATATTATCAAATCTATTAACTCTTTGAAGGTCAGATACTTGTAATTTTTACAATATACTAATAAATTAAAACAGCAAAAAAATTACCTCTTTTAATCAATAGGTATAAGGCCTCTGCCATTTCTGATAATAATTTTTGAAATGGTTATTATTAAGTTTTTTCTCAGTTCCTAATGCAAAAAAAAAAAAGAAATAAATAGTAGTAGTACTCATTTTCACCTCTCAGAAGTAAATAAGTAATACAAACGTTTATAACTAAATTAATATGTATAACAACATTTATTAGGTAAGTCTTCATATTCAATTGGAAACAGCGAAGATCAAATCAAACAGGAAATTTATAACAATGGCCCGGTGGAAGGAGCATTTACAGTTTTTGAAGATTTTGTAGCCTACAAATCTGGTAAATTTTAACATTTATTAAATTGCACTTAGTATTTTATAAAAATTTTAAACCACAGTGAAAAATTAAGAAAAAAAAAACTACACCTTTTTTTGTTCATTATTAAATTAAAATAAATAAAATGTTATATTATGTAAAATAGCATTTTAATATTTTACTTATTATGATATTTATTTTACCGTGTTCTATAATAATTTTTTTTTTCTATGATTTATGACTAAATAATATTAAAGTATAAACTAATATTTATTTTGGGTACGCGTAACTATATAAGTATAGTACCTATTATCTATGACAGAAGTATAATATATTTTCTGAACGATAATGAATTATTTAATTATTCACTGAAAATGTTTCAACAAGAAATTTACTTTGCATTTATTTTATATAATTAAAGATAAAATTTTAATCTATTAAAAATATCCAGATGTGAAAATAAATTAATACTAGAATTTATATAGTAATAAATGTTTTTAATTTTAAAATGTTAACTTTTTTGTTGTTATTGATGTTTCACAGGCGTATATAAACACGTTGTTGGCAAGGCTCTTGGTGGACACGCGATTCGAATCCTCGGTTGGGGTGTAGAAGATAGTATACCATATTGGTTGGTGGCCAATTCATGGAACTATGATTGGGGCCAGAATGGATTTTTTAAAATATTGAGAGGATCTGATGAATGCGGCATTGAAGGACAAATTAACGCTGGTATACCAGCTTAACTAATAAATTATTGTAAGATTAAAAATGTGTTAAATCTCAATTTTTTTAAATTTAATTAATCATCTGATATATACTTATAGATAATTTAAAAAAAAAATTATATTTATTTATAAATACTCATAGACACTATATTTTGTTGAATAAGATAAAAAAAATAAAAAATATTATTTTTGTACCATCTACTTATATAATCTTGTACTTTTCAATTAAAAATCAAATCAAACTCTCCTATATTTGATTATTATTGATTTATATTTGTTATAACTAAAGTCCAGATTTATATTCTGTTATAACGTTTAACATGATGTTTAAATGTTAAATGCATCAAAAATTGATGAAATATTCTTGAAATTCTTAAAATATTCCTAGTATTCATAAAATATTAAAAAAAAAAAATTATTGATTGTTATTCTTGGATCAAAGATAATAAATTCTATTATTATTTATTGGTGTATCGTGGCTTTGTGGATATATCAGTATAAAAATATATTTGCTCATGAGTTTACATACAATAATTTATCACAGTAAATTACTGAATCAGTAACAAAAAATAAATAACTAAACTAAAAACTTGACAATATTTCTGTAAAATAATCTAATAGAGCGGAAATATGCTAAAATATTCTTTATATGTAAAATAAGCTAAAATATTCTCTTAAGTCAAAATATGCACTCAAATGCAAAAAAAAAACTTTTAATAAATTTTACAGGTTATCAAATACAAACATTTCATACTCCCATCAAATAACATATGTTTGTTAAAAATATGTTTTTGCATAAAAATCCTGACTCTAGTTATGACTATAGGTTTGATTTTATTGTATATTTTTGATAATCTTCATCTCTTTTGTCAGCTCCATATTTTATCACATTTAATAAAAGTAATTGTGTAAAAATAAAATGTATTAGTTTCATTAATAGCAAAATTCAAAATAAGAAACAATTGGGGTAAAAGTATGTTACAATTTTTAAACCATGAACTTAATATTCTTAATATGTAATCTAGGATTATACAAGTTTACATACTTCTGTAGACTGTGAACATTTTGATAAATTAATAGAATTTGTGATAAGTAAGATGTCAGTTGTACAGAAAAGAAATTTTAAAATATTTCATATTTATATTCAATAATAATGAACCAACAAGTAGTAATTTATTAAACTCTCATTCCAACATTATTATTAAATTACACAGGAAGATGAATGCTGATTTGATTTTGAATTTTGGTTTTAATTTCTTTAACAATATTTTTGTCGTGTCTATCTTTTATAGACAATTCTTCTAGTGAACACAATTGCTTCTAAAGATTGTTCAAATTACATAATAAGTATTATAAATTATTCATTAAATTAATATTATTTACTTGTATGTCTGCAAGAATTGAATATTTTACAATCGCTGGTTGATCATTTGATAGTTCATTGATAATACCATTACGAACGGCAATCAAAGTATCTTGATCAATACATTCTAGGATTATTGTTTTGGTAATTTTGTCATCTAAAACTATTGAAATAATTTTTCCGAAAAAAAACAAATACAATGTTTTATGCATATTTTCTAGAAACAAAAATAATAAATTATTAAACAATTTAATTTTTTTACAATCCATGTTAACACAAACCAATTATATTTGTATACAATTTTTTTGACATTCTATGTTTATTTCTGTTAGTAATAATGGTTAAACATTCTGACAAAGAATAATGATCTGGAAATTTAAAAACATATTTATGTCGATCTTCAAGTGGATTCAGTGCTGGTATATTTGCTTGCTTTTCAGCCTTGACAAAATACAATGCATTTAATTTGACCGGATTCAACGGAATAACCAAACAATGGTTAACCAAATTATTTTGCATTAGACAAATCAATTCACAGTACACTGTACCAGATGAACAATTTTCAGCTGTTGTATCTAATAAACTATGTTTAATTGTTAATGGACAGTTATTGTTGAATACATCAACATCAAATACATGTAATTCACAATTTGTTGATGAATTTTCATTGTCTGTGACACGAACCAAAAGCTGCCATAATTTGGAAGGAAATGATAGCCACGAACAATCAGTGGTGATTCTGATTGCAAAAATATAGTTATCTGGACAAGCTCCTAATTTTACTGCTTTAGCACCTATATTTTTTTTGTAAATTTGAATGACACGGTACAACAGATTTATAAAATGTTAATAAAAACTATAACCTGAATAAATCAAAATATTCAATGAACAATATTGTGCAACTAAATCTTTACGTGCCACAATGGATACGGCATTGATGTAATTATTAATTTGGGTGTGCTGCTCTTCTAGGGACTCTATGCTTTTACACAGATCTTTTATATTTGTAAGTATAAATTTTTCATTCAAGGAGATTTTGAGTTTTTCTTTTTGGGTGCTTACTTCATATTTCGGAGATAATTTATACATTTTATTCAGTTGGGTCATTGCAATAAATTTGTTGATCTGAAATCTGTGTAATGCAAGTACTCCTAAAAAATAAAATAAAAATGTAAACAATTTATAACTACTTTAAATATTATTTCAACAAATTCATATTTTAAAAGTACCTTTCAATGGGGTAACGACTTGTTTAACTATTTTTGAAAATTGTTCATCCAATGTTATTAAAAATAAATAAACACCATTGCTTACAATCACTGTGTGATCAATAATGAATACAGAAACTACTTTTGTAACTTCCAGGTAAATAAACGCTGATGGAATATTTTCAGCGCAGTAGAGGACTGTAAGAATCCCACTGGATGATACCAATAGTAATTTTTTTGATTCTAAAAAGCAAACAAAAATATATTATAATGTATTAGAAAAAATGTAATGCAAAGTACTATTACCTACCAAAATCGCAAAATTGAATGTGTACAATATTTTGGGGACAGTTTAAGAATATCGAAGCCATTTTGGAGTTCATATCAGATGTAATACAATATATTTTTGATTCTTCTGTTGCTAATATAAAAATGTCTCGACTGTTGACTACGTTTTGCTGAAAAAACTCTCTCGCTCGTCGAGCGCTGAACCAATCTCTCCAAATACACGATATAAAAGATGTAACTGAAAATTGAAACTAAATTTACCTTTATAAAATTGCTAATGTTGGATTTGAATATTACGTATCTACTTTTATTGAATAATTAGCTACCTGATTCTGTAGTCTGATTTGTTTATTACAAGTATTTAATACAATTATTTCATTATTTTCGTCTACAGTAATTTTAAGTAACTGTACAATAATCCATTCATCCAATGTTGCAATTAATGCGATTCCATCCGAATAACAAGTTGCTCCGAAAACATCACATGGATACTTTTGTGTGTACACTGGTCTCCAATCATAGTTGTAAGAACGTAATTGTTGTGTGACTTGAATGGTTGGAGAACAATCAAATAAATCTGGAGATTCACTATTGTGTATAATATAAATTAATATCATTTAAACCCCATTGATAATATACTTTATGTTACCGTTGAATTTGTTTTAGATTATAAATAGTTCCGACTTTATCCACGCAATAAATGTTTGAATCAAATGTCAAGATTGACTGTACTGGATTACTTACTGGCAAAATCTAGAAAAAAAAACAAAAACAAAAACCATTGATTGTAAAAATGTCTCCTTGTTTTGTTTATTGTGTACTGTAACAGGCAAAGTGAATGAAGTTCTAAAAAGATAGCATCCGGCGCAAGTTGGATACACGCTTAAAACAAACAAAAACTTACAACACATTCAATAGGATTCCAAAGACTAGCATCCGCCAGAGTGTCTAATGAATACAAGACCGTAATACAATTATCCCACGAAACAAATAACGGATTTACGCTATTCTCGTGATAGTATGTACGTCTGGGATTAGTGTGTAAATATTCAGATTTTAAATGCAGTTTCTCGATGTTTAAGGTAAGTTCCATTATTATTAACAGAGTGACGAAAACGCGTTATAAAAGAGTAATAAGTATTATCTATCATTCGATTCACATCAACGTAACTGCAAGTAATTAATATCTACAAAGACATAACAATATTGTCGATTTTATTGGACATTATTTTACTTGAAAGTAAAAATCGGTAATTTTCATTAATTTCGACTATTCACCGGTCACATTTTTTATCAATACGACAATAAGTATTACATACACAGAATATATAGATAATACATTTATTATCTATATCTTTGATTACAAATTATTATAAGAATAGATAAGAATAGAAATAAAACAAGTGGGAGATACTAATTGGACCGTAATATTGTTGACAATTATTATTGTTTCCCGCGAAAAAACGTATGGTTGTACGCAGACAATCGGTCCTCGTCATAATTTTTTTCACGTCCCGGCCAATTTTTTTTTCTGTGACAGACCATTTTCTCTTATCAATTTTATATTGATATCGTGATTATTAACTATTATAATATCATATTTTTAAATAGGATAACTAAATAAGACACGATATGGATTTTAATAGGTAATAAATTGGCCCAAATAGGCCCAACTATAGATGGGTGCCAGGAAGTCTTTAGCACCCCTGCGTTTAAAAATAACACCCCCAAAAAAACCCAATCAGTTTTTTCATAGTGACGAATACAAATTGTATCCATGTATTTCATAACTAATTAACGAGTAGAATAAAATACAGGTTTCATACCAGGAGCGTGTAAACAAAAATATTTCAAGGGGGGGGGGGTTAAGGTCATACTCTTTTAACAAGAAAATTGTACATACTTTCAATTGTAAAATTATTTATTTTTCATTTAAAATATCTATATTTTATAACATTAATTTTAGATTCTGAGTGGCGAGGAATTTATTGGTTTTACAATGATGTTTACTTTTTTTTCTGTTGACAACTATTTTACCAGCAATTTCGCTTCGATTTACAATGATAAAACTTTTTCTGGAAGGAAAACTGACTGGGATTGTACTTTAGGGAAATTATTTTTTTACTTTTTCAAATAAATGGGAAAACCCGGAAAAAACGAAAAAATAAGTACAATATTAAACAATTATTATTAAAGAAAATACATATTAAGAAAATGCATGTTATGTAATTGTTTCACCTGAGTATGACATAGAGTTGGTTGACAAAGCAATTCTATCAATCGAAATCCACTCAGAATCGTTTTTTCGTTAGCAATGGTTAATCGTTGCTTACAGTTATTCATTAAATTAACTATAACAGTGATTGCACTCGTCCCCATTGTCCTAGGACAGCTTTTTAGCTTTAAATTTAAAAAAATTATTAGGTACTAAATTTTACATTTAATATTGTTTTAGTGAATACAGCCTAAATGATAACGTAATTCATATTATTGAATGACAATAATAACAATATATACCTAGTACCTACTATATAACAATAAAATAAAAATATACTACACAATTGTATTTATCTTCCTCATTGATGGTAACAATTGTTGCGCCTAATGAAATTAGGCCTGCCGTAGGTACCGGTTTCTAAAAATTCTTATGGCCATGTATGGAGATCAAAAAGTCTAATTGATCAAATAACCGCGTAGAAACCAATTACCAAACACAAAGAGACCCAGAGGACGGCCCAGACAAAGATGAGCAGACAGAATGAAGGACCACCAAAAGATGTTGTGAGTAAGGAACGCAGAAGATAGGGAAGAGCGGAGGCAGTATATTGTTGCGAAAAAGGGCCTGAAAGACCTGTGAAAGCCCAAAATGAAGAAGAATGTAAATCATCATCCCGACTTGTCAGTAGTGGTAGTTGGAACTATCGAAGTATTGATTATTATATAATAGTCGGTTGTATACACAGATATATATGTATAAACTAGATAGCCGATTCCGTATACAATAATGCATACAATTATGATGCCCAGCGCCATTTGTCACTTGGGCAATGTTTACAAATTCTTATTATTTTTATGCTGTCCTAATCGCAGACACGGAACAAGATATAATGGACTGTCACTGAGTGCAATATCTGTCAGTCGAAAATGTTACGCGAACGAGGAGTGCAGGGGGTTACGAAAATCGACTGGTTTTAGCGCCATCTATGTGTACATGACCGATAAAAATAATTATAAAAATTAATTTACATCAAATTTAATTTTAATATTGTATTTTACATTTTAAAAACTATCCAAACAATTAAAGAGTAATAATGTAAATCATATAAGTAATAATTATAAATTATAATATTGTAATATTATAATATATCTTGCTAGTTGCCGTGTACATTTAAATGTTATAATTGTGTACTAACGAGTTTTGAGAACTTTTTCTGGTCCTTGTTCATAAGAAGAGTGTATTGCCGCATTCTCATAATAATATAACTAAACAAAATATCACCTAGTACATCACTAATGATTTTTACACGGAAATTTTAACTCTGTATTTATTTGAAAAAAATTATCAATAAAATCATCAAATATATTATTAAATATTTCTGTAAACAATCGAGTTTCGTATCTTCTCTTTTAACTACTAGATAACGTTGAAATCACTGGGTTTTCATTCGGTAGGTGGAGTGAAGGAAAGGTCATAACATTTGATACTTATTCCCAGCCAGTTCGATGCCGGTCCATCATATCTTAGTTCGTATTTTATGCTTCTATCTGGACGTGGTAGCTATTATCATACAATATTTGGTTGGATTATCGGCTGTAATATTTCCGGATACATTTTTTTGGTCTTAAATACTGTTCAGTGTTTAGATAAAATAATTTTATCTTAAATAATTTTTTGGCTGATTTATTTAAGATTTTTTTGAAGAGCCCCGTCCGTACTTATCAAGGTTTATAGATAATAGATCGTGTACTTATCACGTCCTAACCATCGCATAGAGTTTATGAACCATCGCGGTAGTTTGTATTTTGTTTGGTTCGTCTTGTCAGTAGCTGGTATTTACAATGTTGTCACGTTTTTTTATATGAATATTATTATTAATTTAAATTGTTTGCATTCCAATCCTTCCATTTTTTTCAAATCATTATTTTGTATTAATAGTTCGTCCATCATAATATTTACATTTAATAATATCGTTTAAAACATATATCCTCATATCAATCAGTTATGGAATTCGTTCGTGTCAAGAGGCGTCACGATGAAGATCCATTCAACTCCATTGTTGTATCGCACAAAAAATTAAAAACGAACGGTTCTAGTTTCAGTACAGATTGTGTATTTCAGTTTGCAGCCACCATTAAGGATGAAGTGAGTATCTACTAAAAAACTAATAATGTTATTATGTTACTTATGTTGTATGATAGTTTGATTTTCATCTTATAATACAATTTCAAAAGATCTTTTACTGCTCTTATATATTCTCATCAATGTGTCTAAGGATTTGTGAGATATTTCAAACAATTCTTTCAAAATCTCAATATTTATTATTTTACGATAGTATTATTTGAATTGGATTAGCATACTAGGATATTATGATTGCCTTTTTAAATAATTAATATTAACATTCCCATATAAATGACCTCAACTTGTCAGTATATACTAATAATATATAGTTTTTATAGTAGGTTTATAACAATTATAATATTGTTAAAATTAAAATATATATTTTTTTAGAATGAAAATTTATCACAAATACTAAAGGATGTACGAGAATCAAAGTCTGTAAAATGTTTAACGAAGATTAACAGAAATAAAAATACAAACAATGTAGTCGCACATTCAAAAGCAGAACGTTTAAAGGTTGGGTGTACTTATATTATACCTACTTATTGCTTGTAAAAATAACTTATTCAAAATGATGTTATGTAATTCAAATTTTACATGAAAAAATTGTACTTATAAAACTAAGTAGATTTAACAATTTTATTTAAATAATTTAATGAATTTTAAGAAATTTTGAGAAATGTTATTATTTTACCACATACTGCAATAATGTTTAATCATAATTCAATAGGTATTTCTATTTGTTTAAATGTAGATATTGGATACACTTAGGGCAGTCAAACAAGACACTGTAACAGTTGAAGAAAAAGATGGAGAGAATTCCGAAATAAAAGTTGTTGATTTTATTACGAAAGCAGATGATGAGACGAAAGCTTCAATAGATGATGAAGGAATTTCAATAGATTATGTATATGATGTTTATTATGCATTAAATAATGATAATAAACCACTTGATATTGATGATATCGATAGGTAATTATTATTTTGGTAAATTTTAATAAGGTACTAAATAATTTTTTTTATTTCTAAAACATTTAAATATATACATATACATTTATAAACAATTTTTTTAGTGTACGTGAACTTGAACCAGCCTCTTATTATAGTATGTATGAAAATCAAAATCACTGCTGCAGATCTTTGCAATATGAAGAAGTAAATGATGATGATGCTGATTCTGATGCTGATGATAATGATGATTCTAATGATGAAGGAAATTGGAGAAATGACTATCCCGAGGAAGATGAAATGATAAATAGGTATGATGAATGATTAAATTTGTTTTTTAACTTGAGTAAAGTTGAAGAAATACTTATTCATTAATTAAAATAATAATATATGAAATTAATTTGATAATCAAAATATATTCATTCAGTATTATAATGTGAGATTTACTCATAAATAAAATCTAGGTAAGCTAATGAATGTTTAATTTGTTGAATTTTGTATTCTTGATAAAAGATAAAACTATTAGTACCAACATTGTTGTTCTTCTTCTTCTACTGGCAAACCCTACTCTCTAAGAGTTTTAGCCGCCATTACTACACTTCGCCACCTATCCCTATCTTGGGCTGTCTCTCTCCAGTTCTCAACTCCAAGGATTTTTAAGTCTTTTTCTACTACGTCTATCCATCTTTTCCTAGGTCTCTTGATGAAGCTTGTTACTGGTGCTAAATCCAACATATTGTACAGCTCTCTATTGTACCTCCTTCGCCAATTCCCCATTGTTTCATCAAAGACAGGTCCACATATTTTTCTCCATACTCTGTGTTCAAAAGTTCTCAGGTTTCTTTCTACTTGTTTGGTCGTTGTCCAAGCTCCGCAGCCATACATGAGAGTCGATCTTATAATAGCCACGTATAGTCTTACTTTCGTTTTCCTGGACAACATTCTGGATGTGAAGAACTTTGTCAGTGCGTAGAACGTTTTCTGAGCTTTATTTATCCGCATACTTATTTCCCTTGACCAATNGTAACTCACCTATTATATCTAAGTCATCAGCAAAACCGAGGAGCCGTATCTTATTCTGACCAATTAACAGGCCCCCTTCACTCTCTTGTAGTATCCTTACTACCTTCTCAAGGACAAGATTGAAGAGTACTGGTGACAGGGCATCCCCCTGTTTTAGTCCGGTTTCCACTGTAAAGGTTCCTGATGTTATATTTTGTGTTCTTACTCTGTATTTCGTGTTTTCCATACACATTTTAGTAAGCGCTATTAGTTTTTTTGGGAAACCAAACTCGTACATAATGTTGTAGAGACTCTCTCTGTGGATACTATCATAGGCTTTTTTAAAATCTGTGAATAGTTGCCACATATTCTGTCGATATTCGTACCTCTTTTCAATAATTTGGCTTATTATGGATAATTGTTCTGTGGTTGAGCGACCTTTCCGAAAACCGCATTGGTATTCACCTAGAGAGTCCTCCGCATATGGGACAATGCGATCTAGTAAAATTCTAGAGAAGACCTTGTACGCAGAGTTCAAGAGCGATATCCCTCTATAGTTGTCACATTTTGTCTTGTCTCCTTTTTTGTGTAATGGTATAATGATTGCCTCATTCCAGCTACCCGGTACCCGTTCTTCCATCCATATTAGCTGGCACAGTCTGTGGATTACTACATGTAACTCCTTACCTCCATATTTTATGAGTTCTGCTGGAATATCATCGGTACCTGGTGCTTTCCAATTCTTTAGGCCACTTATTGCAATTATTACTTCTTCTAGACTAACATCTTCTACGTAAGGCTTCGCTCTTTCATATTCGGTATGTGATACAGGCTGGGCTGGCATCCTACCATTTAGTAGTTCTTCAAAATNTTTCTGACGTTTTCATCTTTAAGTAACTCTAGGTTCAATTTAGCTCTTTTGCCTTGTTTTAATCTCGATTGGCTTTTTAGCTTTGATCTAAGTTTGGCGATCACCAAGTAGTGATCCGTGTCACAATCGGCGCCTCTATGACTTCTTACGTCGTGAATGGTACTACGATATCTAGTTTGTATGAGGACGTGATCTATTTGGTTCAGGGTTTTGGCATCCGGTGATCTCCACGTGACTTTATGAATATTTTTATGTGGGAACGTGGTACTACTAACAGTCAACCCATTTGATATTGCAAACGCTATCAATCGTTGACCATTGTCGTTGCTGTTACTATGCAAACTTTCCTTCCCTATACAAGGGAAGTACTGTGGTTCCCGTGTCCACATTTTGTATTGAAGTCACCTAATACAATCTTTATCACGTTCCCAGTGATACTCTCATATGTTTTAGTCAGTTCGTCGTAGAAGATGTCTTTCGCATTGTCATCTTTTACTTCCGTTGGTGCATGACCATTTATTAAACAAACATTAATTGGGCTAGTGTTGATGGTTAATGTCGATATCTGTTCGGATACTGGATTAAATTCTTTAATTCACGATTCAAATATCCTATGAACTGCAAAACCGCTACCGAAGTGATGCGTATTGTCCATTCCTGAGAAGAAAATTGCGTACTCTCCTATCGTTAGTTGTCNGGCTAGTGTTGATGGTTAATGTCGATATCCGTTCGGATACTGGATTATATTCTTTAATGTACGGTACTAATATCCTATGAACTGCAAAACCGCTACCGAAGTGATGCGTATTCTCCATTCCTGAGAAGAAAATTGTGTACTCTCCTATCGTTAGTTGTCCTACTCCCAACCATCTTATTTCTTGTATGGCTGCTACTTTAATGTTGTAGGTGTTAAGGACATCAACTAAATTTTGACTTGCACCTGTTTTATACATACTTGTCAGATTCCATGTCGCAATCTTAAAATCAGCATTCCGTTTCCATAAACCAGTCTTGAATCCATGTAATCTTGTCCGAGGCTTAGGTGTAGTTGTTTTCATAACATAGTTCTTTTACTAGGCAGGGTTGTTAACCCTACGCTTAACCCCCAACCTGGGGGACCAGTCAACCCCAACCAATTTAGGTCAAGGTAGGGCTGCTGCAGTTTACCAACACTGTTAATGTTAAAAATTAAAAACTTAATTAATTAAAATCATTTAATCTAATAATTCAGTATAGTTTTAAAATGTTGAATTACATTTTGAAGAACAATAATATAGTTGATGTTTATTATATTATAGTTTTATATTGCTACAATAATGAATAAAACCAAGTATTATAATATTGTAGCGACTAGTTAATATATTTAATGCTTGGGAAATTTAAAGTTTAAAAAAGTTGTAGTTATAATTAGGTTAAATGTATAAATGAAATATTAAATTAAGTGCATTGGTTTTTATAAATTAATAATTTTTATTAACCATAACCATTATTTGTGTTTAGAGTATATATTAAAAAATTATTAAAATATATATTTGTGACTAAGGTATTTAAATAATTTTAGTGATAATGATGATGATTTTGAAAGCTTGGTTGTGCCCACAAGACGATGGAATATAAATAGTGAGTTGAATTATTAATTTATTATAAAAAAAAACCTTCAAATGTTGGTTAATATTATTTACATTGTATTTTTGTCATTTTAGATTATAGCAGTAGTGATGATGATGATTTTGACAACAGAGATCTTCCCAATGATTATGACTCGCGTTTGGCTAGATATAAAGAACGTGTAAAGGCCCAAGAACATTATTATTATAATAACGATATTAATGACAGTACGAGTGGATCCAGTGATTCAAATGATTAGATATGATGTGATTAAGATTATGGTTCTTCAAGTTGTATTTTTATACCTATACTAATTAGAATATGAATAAGTTGTGTTCACGATCAATTTTAAAATTTGATATTTTATGTTAGAAAATGCGTATTTTTAATAAATCATAATAAATATTAATTCATTTATTATTGGTATTTTATACATTTTATTTTCAAAGTTTAATGGCAGTTTTATTAAGTATTACTGTTTGTATTCGGTTTGGCTGCAAGTTAATTATAAGACACATGGACTGTCAACGGTCTCAACAGTTGGAAGGCAATTAAATTAAGATTTGTTGTACAAAGTAAAATCATTTTGATATTTTTAGTAATATATCGATATGGTAACTTGAAGACATTTTCTGTGAGTTTTTTTAATTTATATCCTATATTGTACAATAGTATAATATACTGTGAGTAGCAAGCTGTACTTAAGCGTAAGTTCCATAGGTCACAAGAATTTAGACCCACACCAATACAAATTCTAAAATCTAAGTCTATATTGGTCAAATTTTTTTTTACTTTTGTTTTTTTTTTTGTCTAATTGGTATAATATGTGTGTGTGTGTGTGTGTGTGTACATAAAAATATACCTAACAAGTTGCTATGATGCACTTTTTTTGCAATAAATATTGAATTTTCTTAGTTTATATATTTGGCTTACCTATGTCAAACTTTTCAATAATATTTGAATTGTTTTATTTGAGTATTAAAGATTAGATTGTATTTATAATAAAAGAGCTGGCGAATATTCGGCAAGATATATCTGTTTAAAAATAACAATAAATAAATAAATACTATTTTAAAAAAAATATCTACAATAAAATTTATCTAAAGAACCTACCTAATATATAACTCCCCTAACCATAGATAACATAGACATATTGTAGTAATAAATAATATATATAAATAAATTATGTATAAAGTAAATAAATATACAAATAAAAAATGTATACATACAAGTAAAAAATAAATAAACGAATAAATGTGTCGCCTGGTGAATTATAAGTGTATTATATGATCGGTTTTGAATTAACACTTATAATACTCCAAGCGACCCATTTATATATATTTATTTACAAGTATTAACCATTTTAATAATTTTATTTTCATTTTGTTATTTTATAATAAATTATTTTTACCAAATAAAAAGGTATAATGTATACATTATATATTGTATACTTTACCCATTTGTACTGGTACTACTACAGGAATTGTGCACACTGTCAATAGTGTCGAAAAAATTAAAACAGGAAAAACAAATAAAAATAATATAACCTATAGGTCCATGTTTATTTTTTAAAATTAATTACAATTTATTAAAAAAATAACATCAGTTTAATACCATTGGTCATTACTCGTTTTTGTAGATTTAGAAATTGATTAGGTACTATTGGTGATTTATCGTAAAACTATTAATTAAATAGTTATAGTTATCTGTTTTTACTACCTAATGCAATCACACAATACACGCTACAGCAGTCTAGGAATAGACTAGTTATAATACGACGCGTTATTTTTAATATTATGACAACTACTTCTTATATTAATTGTAAAATTGTACAATATTTTATACTAAATTACCAATGTTTGATGGTAGGTATACCCACCACATTAGGTTTGGTACCACTGTGGATACATGAATGTATAATTTACTTAAAATCAGCTATTTTAATGTTAGTTAAAATATAATAAATTTTACCTACAAGTATTATAATGGAATATTATGAGTTGATATCGATATACAAAAATACAAATTAACTGTTGTCTTAACGAGTCATTTATCGGCTATACCCCAAGGTAGTTATACTTATAACCATAGTTGATATAATTATTGATTTAACGAGCGTTAACACCTTTATTTTCCATCCGAATACCAAGGTAGGTACTTACCTATTAGAAATTGAGATATCCGTTTACACGTTTTTAATATTTGTATAGAATCGGTTTATTTGCATTTTTGGCATTCATAGTGTATTATATTTCACGGTGTTCACGAGGTGGTAAGAGGGCGTTTTTCGTGTCTTTTAAACAACGACGAAAATCAATCTGAAACGTTATATCGTCTTTGAAATTTAATATATTGAAAAGTTTTCATTTAAACGGGTCCCAGAATTTTTCGAGTTACCAGAAAGCGTTCGATTGAAACTTTACGACGTCTTGTAGGTAGGTATATGTATCCTATACTTAAAAGTAGAGCGTGAATTTAACGTGGAATGCGTTTTATTTATTTACAAAATTTTTGCTGCGGCCTCAACAACATTATTCACTCCCATTATCAATTTAAATATTCATTAAAATATTAAAATTCATTAAAATTTATTGTTAATTTGTACCGTGTAAGTATTTAAAAATAAATGTCTTGAAAAATAATCGATTGAACTTTCTAAGAATTTTCTTGAGATTACACTCACACTACCAATATATTTAAAACAATTTTTCATTTTTTTTAAAAACGAAAATTTATCTACTCAAAAACATTTAAATTAACTGTTATACACGTTTTATAAAAATGGCCCAGAGTTCTCACGATTATTTCTTGTGTTAGCATGCGATTCGAAAGAAAAAAGTACCTCTCAATTATCATTGATCATGAGTTTAATGTGATTTTTAGAATGTTTACTCATAATTATTTATATATGATACATAATATACATACTGATTATCAATTTACTCGAATGAGACAGTAGATATTCGAGATTAAAAGATAAATGGATGTTTTTTTTTTTACAGAAAAATGATTTTTCGACAAACATTTTTATGTTCAAAAACTATCACGCTATCAGTATATTTAAAGATTTTGAGCAGACTGCTGAGTAATAAGCAATAAAAAAAAAAAAAAAAAAAAGTGGTGTTTGTGTTTCTATTGTAAGTGGGGAGTTAAGAACGTGTGATACATAGTTATTTAATTTAAATAACCTATGTGAGAAATAATACAACATTGTAAACGAAAGCGAAGTTCCTCATTGTACATGATTTTTGCGATAAAAATGTTAAATATTACAATGGCTCAGTATTTGACCACGTCTATAAAAGGCTAATATAAGTATTCTGTGAAAATGTCAGAAAGTGAATTACAAAAAACTAACAACATCGAAAATAATGAAATAGTTATTTCTGTAAACTATCCTATTTTTCCTATTTTTTTTTTTATTATAATTTTCCCAATTATAATAAAAACTGCAAGAAAAATCAAAAAACGACTTCTTCCAGAGGTTTCTTGTTGTTATGATTGGAACAAGATTTCTGGTATGGAAAAGTTGTTTACAGACAGAAAAAAACAAAAACCGCACATCATAGTTGTGGTTGATACACACCAGTACACGTAGTTCGTACCTTAAATAATAAAATGTATGAATGTCCGTGTATTTAACTACACGTGTTTTTGAAGTTCGTGTACACTTGTATTAAAAGTTCATTTACCCGTGTAATTAAGTTCCAGTAGTTTTTATAACGTTTAATTTAAAATTCAATCCGACGGGATAATTAACTTTGGTGAACATTGAATTACAAATTATATTAAATACAATAAAAATTCCCATTATTATTATATAATACATTTTTAATATTATATAGAATATTACTCGGATACACGGGCTCTAAATACACGCACTTTAATACCGTTTCCCGCGAAAACACGTACGTTCGTGTTGTTAAATACACACGTAAAATAGAAACCCTTACTTCATAGTAACGCCAATAGATTCTATTCGCAGCAATGAATATATAATGATAGACAGTGGCGTACGCAGGGGGGAGATTAAGGGTTATAACTAGTGACGGGCACAACTGACTATTTATTACTACCGATTATCAGTCTGTTTTAATCGAATACTGCCGGCTAATTAGTAGACTAAACATTTACATAACCAACTAATATAAAATCTTTGTCGGCTAATTGTTCGTTAGTCGCCTAAATTAGTTATTAGTCGTTAGGCAATTTAAAATTAATTCTAGGTTGTTAATCGAGTAAAATAGTTAATTAATATCTATTCAATAACAGTATTAGTTGAATATTATTCACAAAGGGTGGCTTGTTGTCGAGTGTCGGGGCACGGCAGCGAATAGTGGTGGTCAGTCGGCGAGACAGATGTTTGGAGATAATATAATATATTTAAAAAAAACTTTAAAAAAAACGCACATACTTTGCACAAATAGGTGAGCCACTGTTGTAGTTGACAGCTAGAATATTTATAATTGCTTTTTCCAGGCGTGGTTACATTTGAACCTTTTTTGAGCTATTTATGGACTTTTTAATTTTGCGACTTTTTTTTACGTATTTTTTATTTGGTAGGTACTCTGTGAATAAAATTGTTGGACCAAACAGATAGGCGGTTCATTATAAGTCGTACTTGGTGGTTGGAAAAAAAAAATGAGTACAGTCGTTAGTTGAGTTAAAATTAGTCAATATTCGTTAGTTGAATAAATTATCTCGTTAGTTGACTCGATTAGTTACACGGTACTACCGACTCGGTCGGTTGAGCTCATCTCTAGTTATAAAATCCCCCCTCCGCATTGGCTTAAATACACAAAAAAATTTAAGTGATTTAATATCGAAATGTATATATTTCAGCCAAATTATACGAGGATAAGCTTGATGTGTTGATTAGAAATTGTTTTTTTAAGGATCCGGCTATTAAACTACCAATTCCCACAGTCGAGTTGAATAGACATAACGGTTTTACGATTTTTACTTGCTACATCCCCTCCCGTGTTGAAAATTCCCGGGCACACCACTTGGGACGAATAGTTTAACACGGAATATTTACCCGTTGGAAAACCCATTTTTTCGTCTATTACGTTATCCATTAGCTATTGCCAATATAATATACTTTTGTAAAAGCGTTTGTACCGCACGACGAAACACGATTGGCTTTTGGGCGGAAAATCCGCAATCATTATTTTCCGACAGTTTAATCGTATACACAGATAGGTAGGTGGCAGGTAGGTAGGTAGGTAGGTAGGTAGGTAGGTCGGCAGGTAGGGATACGAACCCTTACCCCGCCGGTTTCCCGTTTTCGCCACCGACCCGCCGCAGTAGTAAGTAAAGTACCGATACGGTGAAAACCTGTGTTTTAGGGCGTGCGCCGCCAAAATTGTCAAATTACCGAAGTTTATTGCGCACGCTCTCCCGCGGGACGGCTACAACGCCGGGTGCGCGGTACGGGCGGCGTAAAACTTTATTTTTCGCTCGCGCCAGCGTTTTCCGCGCGGAGTAGGCGGACGCGGCGGCTGCAGCGGCGTTCGTTTTCGACCCGGCCGTCCGAACGAGAGCATTTAATCGTCTCTTTTGCGCGATCGCAATGCCCATCACATAATTGTAGCCACTCAGTCGGCGCAGTCCGCGCGTCGTCTG